AATGTGGATCCTTTAGTATTTGCCCTGCCTACCTGCTCTCCGTCTCTGCATCTCGGTGCCAGGGTTGATCCGGGGCTCTCTGCCCGCTGACAGCTGAGCTAACTCCAGCAGGCGACCGGCTCAACTGCCCGCAGAATACATAATGAGAGGCCATTGTCACGGTTGGCAAAAGGACAATGATGTGGAGCATGAGCTGCCATGCATTGGGGTGGGCACAATAAAAGGAGAATATATAAAACCCGGACATAAATAAAGACCCGTAGTTCTCTGCACACAATGTATTAGATGGTTCATATAAAAAAAATCTAATACAACAGTTTGATAATTGTTAACTATTAATTATGTATAATTATTAGTGTCATTAGCTTCATACTGTATGAATGATTGGCTTGAATGTGTGCAGTCTTTAATGGAAACACACTAGGAACACCGTGCAGCCTGTGAGACGTGGCTGTGTCTCTTAAAGGTGACGCGTATGATATCCGCTGCATTTCCAGTGACTCCACGTGGTCGTCAACATGGCAGCGCAGAGCACGCTCACGTGCACTAAAAGTGCACACCGCCTGCATAGAAAGAAGAAGCTCGGATTACGACACACAGTGACTTTATTCTCTTTGCAAGGCTGCTTTACTCCACAAAAGCTTGTATCTATGTATCAAAATGTTATTTGCTGCTTTATTAATCATTTAAATGTTTAATAGAGAACCGTTAAAATACAAACCATTTGATCTTGAAGCTGCAACAGAAACAAACCAAATCAGCTTCACACAACGTGCACTTTTATGGAACGGATTTTTCAAAGCGTACAGGTTTTCCTTTTGTTCTGCTTTGAACAACAAGAGGCAAGAAATGTTTCCTGTCAGTCAGGGTCTATTTTACTCAATGGTTACATAACTGCAGAGCTGCAAAGCAAAGTAACTGTCCCGTCCCCGGAACTGTTTTAAAATAACAGGTGCTTGTTACGGTGTATAATTCTGGGTGAAAATGTCAAATGCAAACAAGCAGCTCCGTGGCAATGAAGGAATAGATACAATCTAAAAAAATGTCACGGTAAATTAACGGTATTTTACTGGCAGCAAGGACGCCAGGAATGTACCGTTATTTTACAGTATAATACCATAAATGGTTTTTAACACTATTTTACCGTAAAATGGATTACTGTATGTTACCGTAAACTTGTTTTATTTACAGTGGCCTAGCGTAATTTTTGGTATGTTGTCGTATATTGGATTACAGTTTCTTACCATACGATTACTGTTTTTGTGTTATAAATACCAGAATGTTACCGTTTACTTATAACCGTATACTTTTGCATTTAATTCACCACAAATTAAAGAAAGACAACCGAACTTTTTTCGGTCATAGTGGTAGTGGAGTTTATTAGATGCCTTTAAGACAAAAATGTTCGACATTTGTAACCCAGATCAAAACATAAAATATGTCGCATGTATACAATAATAAAAAAATGAATCATAAAATCATTAGGAACAAGGTAAACTAACTGCAACAATACGCTATGGAACACTTTCAATTGACCGCAGCAAACGGCTGGCGTCCTTAATCCAGTGCCTCTATAAAACAAACCAAAATAAAATATTTGGAAACACTGTCATTAAAATCACAAAGTTGAGGAAGACAACAAGATGTAAGGAAGGAGAATGTTAATCATGCTAGCCAAATAACACTTATCAACGTTACTTGGAGAGACGAGGCAATGAGAAACTCCTCCGATGTTGAACTGCACAGGTGTTCTGGATGAACTGAAATTACGCGTCTGACGTCACGTTCAGGATCAGTCGGTCACGATTAACACTCAAATTACTTTTAGGCAATGAACACTTTGAATAATACAAATATTTATAATCTTTACATTCCGGCCACTGAAACGACAGCGAAGGCGGTGCATGGGATAGGGAGGGTGTGCTGTGCAGCACAAGGTTGGCGGTTCGAATCCTGGCAGCTTCCTGTGCCAAGTTGAAGTGTCCCTGAGCAAGACACCTAACCCCCCATTACTCCACATAAAATGATGTCAAACCATGGGCGTTTGGGATAAAAGTGACAGCTGCATGTGTAGTAATGTCCTGTAAGTCAAAGTCATCATCGTATCTCATTATAATGACTTACAGGACCTGTTTTTCAGTGGCTGACATGGGCTTCCATACATTAACCTACAACAGATGTAGATGGATTGTGATTCACTGCACTTGTATGTGTATTTCCACCACTTCATAAAATATATGTAACATGCAGTTGAATTACGGTAGTCTGCTATTATTGTAAATTGTCAGCTTTAACTGTATATTCATGACATTGGCCGTTAATTTACAAGCAAGGGATGGAAATGTAACTGTATGTTACAGTTATTATATTATTATGTCACTGACCGACAGCAACATTTTTCAATGGGTGCCACAACTCTTCGAATACAATTGATCTGCAAAATAATGATGAAGTTAAAACTGGCTATCTGTGAAGACCTTTGGGAACTCATAATGTTATTAATCCAATCCTTTAAACTGACGGTTGTTAGTATTTTGTTGATTTTTCTTCCCCACCAAGTGATATTTATTGCATCGCCCTCCCGAGGGAGTCGTAAGTAATGTGTTGAAATATTTTACTTTTCAAAGAATACGTTTTGAAGTTGGAATGAAACATATTAAACAAGCCTACCGACAACCCGCTTCTATTGGATATTACATGAAATAGTGACTCTTCAAGTGTTTCGTATTAAGTTTTTTACGATTCTATATTTAAACAGCGTCAATGATCTGGATTGTTTGTCTGATTATTCTCACATAAGATGGATAGATAGACGAAGGAGGGCTCCTCTGGGTGAGTGACGCGCCTGGTCCTCACACCCCATGTGGTGGTGATTCGTTCAGCTTACTCATGTTTCTCCTCCGAACCAATTAATATTTGTTGATGTCACTCAAGCATTCGGCTCAGGGGGCTGACGACTCGCCTCGGACTGTACGGCGCTCTCACATAAAGGGACGCTGTGAGATGTTTCTATTTTTGATGGCCATTATCTTCTCAGCTCTGCCCGTGTGAGACACAGGATGGTTCACAGAAGAATCCTTTGGTGACGCTGCTGCGAGATGTCAATGAACAATATGGCCTCTGTCTGTGGCATCTCCGAGCAGGCGGTGTCCTAGACGGAGACGTCATATGTGGTGACGTGTAAAAACATCTCCTCTCTGAGATCTAATCCAGTCAGCTATTAAATGTATCTTCTGCTAGCAAAAAGGCATTAGTAGTCCCAATAATGGAGAACATCAGGATTAACTAAAAGACGTTTGCCTCCAAAGCAATTGTTTTGCTTCAATGTGATCTTAATGGTGTTCAAATGTAATTGGTAAAAGATATTTTTCCAGTTAAACATTTTTTCAATAAAAAGTATTTTTCACAATCGGTTTCCCAAATCCTGAGGCCATATCTCCATATTCATTATTATCTCTATTCCTCAATAGCATCAAAACAATAGACACTATCTGACAGCTAACTGACGTATTTCAATTAGTTTGTTTAAGCTTTGTGATATTCTTCTACAAATGGAATTCGTGCCATCAATATTTATGCAGTAATATAACAAGTACGTTACAGATTAAGTAACACACATGTATTAGCTTTGTATACGTTCATTGAAAACTGGACACTATTGAATACTGAAGCTTTAGATTTCTCCAAACAACGGCTGATGAACTTTGGAAAAGCTAGAACAAAGCAGAGAACTCCCACCTTCCGAATGACTCCGTGGTTTTCTATGTGATAGACAGTATCCAGGCTAAATGGGAGCCTGGAGGCCTTTCCAGCATGCACAGTTGCGCCGAACTGAACAGTTTAATATTCCTGTTGAACCCTATATTGGATTTGTATGAATGTATATTTAATTTAAGTTTGGAGGCGGCAGGAACTTAAAGACGATCTGTACCTGTAACAGAAGGACAGTGATGTCAGAAGAACGTCCTACCAAACAGCAACTAACTCCAAACACCATCAATTTGCCATTGAACAATGCTGAGGTGAAAGTCAGGGGCAAGCAACCGTACATGTAGAAAAAAGAGCTGATATGATTCCAGAGGCTATACAGTCATAACAAACAAAATCTCAACTGTCAGTGAATACAATGAAACCATGTGAGAACACGACGGAAAGGAATCCATACAATGAGCAGTACCGGCTCAGTACCATGCAGACACTTTAAGAATGGGTAGGGCGGCATGAATGCCTGAAAGAAAACATGTGTTGACAAGAAGCTTCAGCCCGTGACTGTACACATCTATGAGCCTTAATTCCTCTGGATAACAGATCAGTCAGTGTGGATTTAGTGTGTCAATGCTGGAATTCAAATCCTTTTATTGAACAGCTAAATTTAGCAGCATCTCAGTATTAAATTAAAACCAGAAAGCTTTTTGGAGGAAAAAAAAGTGTTAGTTGTTGGAAGGAGTCCGTCTCTTTTGGCACATAGACCCACAAAAATAGTTGAATTCTCGCCTGTGGAGTTTAGTTCTGCAGAAGATGAAAGGCGTGAAGGGTGATGGAAAGCCTATCTCAGGTACCACGTTTTAGCTGGTTCAGTCCTTTTTGTGTGTGTTGTGTGTGGTATTGCCCCAGGCTCACCTCTACAAGAAAGCACTCATGGCATGACCTATGAGTTATATTTAATAAACCTGGAGTGAGATATACATTGCCAACATACAAGTCTGCACTCAGCCCCAAATGCTCATCTGGTATACTTACAAATATGTTCTAGTAACTAGCATGTGGGAACTCAAATCTGAGATGTGTGTGGCCATCAGACGGAACACGACACCGGCGCGCAAAGCGAGCGCGGAGATCAGGTTAGAAACACGCATCGCAACATAACATCTCCAAATCGCATTCCGCATATACTGAAATCTAATCCGAGGACATCAGGATGTGTGACATAATCCCCAAGACATCCGAAAACTGCGCTGCCCGAAACGGGGCTCCAGGGGTGGCTTGGAGAAATATGTGGACCTCTGTTTGCTCTTGCGGGGACATATAAAAGAGGGGCGGACTCCAACCAGCCGAAACGTCAGAGCGCACTGAACTATAAATCTCTCCAAACTGCCCTCTGCGCGCGGTGCGGTGTTATGCACAGACATCTGTCCCTGCAGCACAGTATGAGGACAGCGCGCGTGGAAACTCTTCGAGCCGCATGGACAATTGTCTGACCCGGAGAAATGGAGAACAAATACCCAAATGTGTGTTTATCATGTCAAGATATCGTCACATGTCGGCGACTATGAACGATTAACGCAGTTGTGGATATAACGGCGCGTTGACAAGAGCTTCTTTAATCCTGGGGAACAGCTTCTTCTTTTTTTGGAACCATTTGGTGCCTTGCGTATGGGCTGGAGACGCTGATGTCTTCATTGAACTCCTCTCGGTCGGAGATGGTGGAACTCGCTCGGATTTCCAACGTGGAAACGTAGCATTCAATTAATCAGCGACTGCAACTGTACCCCGCGAGGCGCAGTGGCACTTGGTTCGCTCTCTTCAACACCCACCTTTGGACTCCAAAGTGTGGGAAGACGCGTTGTTTCGCCTGATCGGAGAATGAAAAAAAACTACTAGTGGTATTTCAGCTTTTATTTTTTTTATCGTTTTAAGGACGTTTTCGGATTGTGGTTGTTGAACGATCCATGCGGCTGATTCACCTTTGGACACTAACAGAGACGGGATTTCTGTTTTGGATTTTAACACCAACAGTCAAGCGAGTTTCAGGTCTGCATGGGCCATATTTAAGGTAAGTGGAGAAACAAATATATTTTTTTAATTAGTTTAAAATAAAATACCCTCAAATACTCACATTATTTTAGCGCAATGCGAGCCCCACTAATTTACATTAAATAGCAACTAGAAATAAAAATGCTGCTTGTGCATTTGTTAGGACGTTTGCACGACATTTTAAAGCACAATATTTATTCATGCATAGCTGTTTTGGTTTACTGCAGTCTCAACATGCCATTAGGCAGAGTCACGTAAGCTTTGGGGATCGCCATCTGGCCAACTCACCATTATTTAGGCTATCGTTGCCAACACGGTTTGGTGCGTGCTTTAACCAAAGCATTTTTGCGTAAGGCGCACCCTACGTTCCTCATTACAAGTAGCCAAGGGGTCGCCTGATATCACAACAACATGAATATAGTATTTCTGATGGGTTAATGGAGAGATAGGCACGAGGCCGCTGGTAACAACACAGTACTTTTACGCACACATTTACGCAATATTCTCTGTATAATTAGTTCTATATCTTGGGGATACATTGGCATTATGAAGTACTTTGGACACTTTTTCATTGTTATTGACATTTGGAATTTACTGGTAGGTTTATATTTTCTATATTATCATTTACAACAAAATACCACTATGAGGCGAAGAGGAGTTCAAACGTCTCGGCATGATGACACAGTTATTAATACAGAATGAGTCAGTCTGGTTTGGCCTCACTGTTTTCAAAAGCTTTGCTGACTCCATTATACACAGTTGGCCTACATTCTCATTGGACAGTGGGTGTATCATTGCAAACTTTATTATAATTCATTCTAATCATTATTTATTTCTTATCACTTGAAATAAAAATAGCCTCTTTTTGCAGCTTTCTTCATAGGAACTGAGTCTAAGATGAAGTTATGGGATGTTTTGGCCACGTGTTTGTTGCTCCTGAGCTCTGTTGCTTCACGGCCTCTCTACCAAAACACTCAGCCAGCCAAGAGGACTTATTTCCGCACCAGCTACAGTGATTCTGCGTCCCTGTCTGTGGAGGACGAAGAGCCAAAGTTCCAGCGTAAAGATCACAACCTGAAGGAGATCTCCATGGAGGATCAATGTAAGGCTCGCGGCATGTTCTGACAAAAGCTTTTGTGAGGTGCAGACACTGTCTTAAATTGTGGATAACGGAGGGTCACGTACTGTGCTGCTTGTGCAAACTATCTGTCAACATGCAGTTGACCATTTGATCATTTTGGAAATAGTGAAGCCAACATATTTTTCACCTAATTCTCACGCACCGTGTTGACTTTTGAGAGGAAAAGTAGGCAACGCGTACAAGCTGACGCTGTAGGGGCCACTTTGTAAATAGGGGGAATTCAGACACCTTTGGTTTACTGGCATAGTAATGAGCACTAATCACACGTGAGCTACAGCAGGTGTTGAGGCAACAGTGGAGAGTCCTACCATTGATAAGGCTCTCAGACATGCAACTTATCAGACGGAAGATCTTAATTTGTTTTTTATTGCCGCGCTGGGTTACAGCACAGCGATGTCAAAACAAGCCAGCAGAATGAATTAGAGACTGAGCAGCTCTGATCCCAGAGGTTGCTCTCCACATTTCCCCTTCTCCCTCTGTTTACGTTCCCCTCTGCCACTGTGAAACACAGCGACCTATGACCCTTCGCCCATCTGCCGAAAGTCAGAAATGATGGTTGTAAGAGACGTGAACCACATTGCACGCGAGGAGCTGGACAACAACGGAAAGTTTGGAGAGTGAGAGTTCTGTGTTTATGTTCATTTTAACAGCAACAGTGGGCAGGGATTTATTTTGTTTGGATCAGAGTGACACAGTATCATCTTCACGCAGAAGTAAACGCAGCCAAGAACTAGATAAGGAATGGAACATTTGGACAAATGTTTGTCCCGCCACCTCATATTCTTGTTTGGACCTTGGTGACATCACTGATGTGCTCGAAACCAAAGACCGTTGACTGTGCACTAACAGCGTAAACAAAACCGTAAAGCCCTGAGTCGGCTCTGTAACGTCAAAGAAGTGTAGAGTTTTCATTCACCTGCACGGGAGGATTCATATATTCCAGCAATCAGCCAATGACGGCACAATTTGCACCTTGAATTGCCACCGGCCCGATCCGTCAGCAGGTGTGCACCGTGGCCAGATGACACGTAATGAGAGGTGTCTGAATCAAAGGGCAGGTGTGTCTAAACAGATTGGCCCGGGTTCAGCCAACGTACGAGCAGCGGCCCAATGGTCTGTGCACCACGGGCAGATCAGGTGGCGAACAGGCAAGAGAGATAGGGGACGCTGCAATAAGAACGTGTGTTAACCACAACGCCACCTGCCAGACGTCGCTGCGCACGCGTCCAAAAGCGCCACCACACGCGATTACAGTTGGACCGGTTGATTCCCCTTCAGGAACAGTTTGCCTTCGTGATTCGGCATGCTCACTTCAGTGTTGCCAGACCTCCAGGGGTTGACTTTGCTCCGTAATAGAATCAACATGTAACACGGGAGGGTCCAAGACTTAAAGTCAGTTCTCATCGCTCCTCACAGCAGATGGCGGGGGAGCTGAGCTGGTGCGCATGTTTTCAGTTTTTCGAGCACACCACAATCTGCTTCGTCTAATTGACCCGAAGCGTGGGATTTCCCTTTTTTCTTCGGCCTTGGAAGTGTGGGCAGTGGTCTAAAATTACGGCCTTGAAAGAATAAAATGACCAAAAAAAAAAAAAACCCTGTCGCTCGCCGCGTCTCTCTTGGTGGTGTAATTGGTCCGTGCCTACTGTAAAATCACTGGTAATGGGTGTGTGAAAGAAAACAGGGGTAACTGTGGATTTACAGGAGAACAAGCTCTTCATTACAGATGTACAAATGTGATGTATGACTACCACCAAGTGGAATGACAACGCCCTCTGAACTTCAGCCTCCAACTCATCCCCCATTAGCCATCGTGAACAGAGTCAAAGCACCTGAAGTCACGTCCACGAGAACAACTCAGAACTCTCTGCATTCCTCCTCCCAACACCGATCTATAAATCAGCACGCACTGCTTCTGATCTGCACATTTCTCAGTATTCATGGACATCGTCGGCACATTTTTTCCCACCCTTTTCCGCGCCTGCCTGCCTGCTAAGTTCGCACACACATCAACCACGTAGAGTAGATTTCTAAATGTTTGTTGAACTGATGGCATCACAACGTCAAATGTAATACACAAACTTTGGTCAAATCACAAGCAGAAATAATCCACAGACATACATTTTTTTAAAGACAAACCGTGTTAAATGTGGCATGTTATGAGTTTGCCACAATAACGTTGTTTTGCAAGTAAACAAATGGGTCAAGGTCAAGCCTACAATGTGTAGTGTATGAATCCTTTAGGCTCAATGCACATTTAAAAAGACTGTAACTTGAAAAAGATTCATACTTACTAGCCTATTGTTTGGTGGTTAACTGAAATATAAAACAGCTGCTGCAGGGCTCTGCGCTGCACATGTTTTGGGAAAACAGAGGGTAAAATTCATATTTATCAGCATGCTGCATGCTTTTAACCCAAACATGCCATGTTAGTTTTTATTTGCATTTACCAAAATAAAGCTTCCTTTTAAGTTGTAGCATTTCTACAAAGTGAAATTCCCAAGCTCACCATCCCTTGCAGATCTTTGTCCCCTCTAGTGTCATCCAACATCCATCATGATTTTTGCTTTTTACTTACATGCATCTATGTGTTTTTTCATCTGTGGTTCTGCATTGTCGTCACACCCTGAATGCTGTTTCACGAAGCATATATTCAAAGTTGAATCAGTCTTTGAAAGGCGTACATCATTGACTCAAAATGACTGAATTATTTGAATAACACATTCTTAAGAGAATCTGTCCCTTCTGTATCTTTCAGATGACATGGCGGGTCCTTTTCCAGAGCAGTTTGATGATGTGATGGATTTTATTGAGGCAACCATTGGCAGACTGCGGAGATCGTCGGAGCCCAGTGGCGCCTCCAAAGGCCGCAGGGAGCAGAGACAGAGGGCAGCAGCAGCAGCAGACGCAGCAGACGCCAGAGGAGAGAGGAGAGGACACGGCGACAGGAAGCGCGGCCGAGGACGAGGCGGAAGCCGAGGCGGGAAAGGAGGGCGCGGCGACAAGGGGAGGGAGACCATATGGGTGCAGACCCGAGGCTGCCTGCTGAAGGAGGTCCACCTCAACGTGACGGACTTAGGGCTGGGCTACCAGACCAAAGAGGAGCTGATCTTTCGGTACTGCAGCGGCTCCTGCGCGGAGGCCGAGACCAACTACGACAAGATCCTCAACAACCTCACGCACAACAAGAAGCTGGACAAGGACACGCCGTCCCGCACCTGCTGTCGGCCAATCGCTTTCGACGACGACTTGTCCTTCTTGGACGACAATGTAGTGTATCACACGCTGAAGAAGCATTCTGCCAGGAAGTGTGCCTGCGTGTGATGTGAAGCGTCAGGCGAGAGCTGGGCGGGTGACCTTCTAGCAGCTGGTGGGATCTCCGTTGGACTGTGGATGTTCTCTTTGTTTTTGATGGCGGTCATCAAAAACGATGCGACGGGTATTTAACTGTACGTTTGACTTTGACACTCAGTCCTGCAGAATCCCTGACCAGTATTTGCAGAAGAAACAAGACTGTTACACTTTTTTTTTTAAACTGTGCCGTCTCAAAAGGTGAGAGTCAAGAAAACATTCAATTGGTTTCTTTTCTTTTCTGGCGGAATTCATTTCCCCAGGAATTGGATCCGTTTTTCCAGAGCTGCTCCTAAGCCTCCAGATGAACACAGATATATTTGAGAAGTATGTTCAGCTGCAATCTGAATTACTTTCAATGCATAGTGGATTGTGACATTTACACTGGGAGCAAAGGGATGACACGCACCACAGCAGAGTTAAACAAAGACTTTTTGTTGCAACGCATCTACATAAAATCCAATCTTATCTATATATATATTTGTATATATGTATGTATATGTATTTACACACAAATGTGTATATATACATGTATATATTTATATACATTTGTATGTAAAGTCATATATATATATGTGTATATATATAATACATACACGTGTGTGTAAGAGGTATATTTATTGAGATGGGAATTAACTTATTGTTATTTATTTCAATTCATTTTATGAAAGAAATTGTAATTTTTCTTATTTATTTAAACGTTTTGTTCGTCCTTGATGGTGCCATTGTGGAGCATTTTCTCATGCAAAATTTCAAAAGGTGATCCAGAACTGCACAACATTCACCCACAAATCCTGATTCACTTCACTTAGATTCCAGTTTCTCTATTCATGACACCAAAGCATCATCGTCAGCGATCCAGTTAAGAAAGGGTAGTGAGAAACACAGAGGAGGGGACCAGTAGATTTGATTGAATTGACAGTTGTCCTTACCTTATTTTACACGTTTATTTTACCACGCTTACACACAGAGGGGGGGGGGGGGGTGGAGGGGGGGCAAATTATTCTCCCTTGCTCTTCATTTCCAAATGAGTAATCCATAACATGCCACCAAACAGCAGCCGTGGCAAAACAGCCCCGTTACTCCAAAGCTCACTCAGCACTCGCACCAAGTCTGTTAGAGATCTGCAGCGGGTTCTGTCCCAATGCGCTTTAAAGTTCACAAGACCGCTCGCGGTTTTGTCTCGACTCTGACAGACAGGTCTTACTCCCTGGAAAGGGATTTGAAAGTGATCCTCTAACACGAGTCTTAACCAAACATCTCTGTTGGGCAAAGCCATATTGATGGAGGCAGTTCAGGGGAGATCCAGCAACTGTAGCGGCTGTCATCGCGCAACTGCTGCAAATATCTCGTGTGTAGAGGCATGGACAAAAAGAATATGTTTTGGAATTCGAAAGGAGACAACGGGTAGGCTCACCACGCTTTCTACGTGTAATAACTAGTTTCGGCCGAGTTTCCTTCCCAAACTACACACAAAAAAGCCATCCGGGAAAAAAGACAGGAGGCCTTTTGAAAGCACGTTGCGGTGCCCATGGAGGGGATGGTTTTAAGTGGAACAAAGAGAGCCCCCGGGTAGGTCTCCATGTACGGATTAGGGACCAAGGTATCTGTGCCCACCCAGCAGCAAGCAAGCCAGCTTTACTGTGTAATCCCCCCCCCCCCCCATACACACACACACACAGAACAAATCCACTGCATCAAGCTGAATTAAGGCCAAACACTGAGGAGAAAAAGAAGAAAGAAAAAAAAATCAAGCTTTTATCACAGCATACCTCATCAATTGGATCATCTTCCCGTTTAACTGATTCGTGCATAAGCCTTTCCAGATGAGAATGTGCAGCTAGGAGCCTTCCCAGAAGCCTCGGAGCGCCCGGCTCCCCTCCGATACCGTACATTAGCGCGTGTAAACTGTGACCACTCGCCCCAACCAGCCCCCCCCCTGCCGTGGAGGCAAACAGGTAGAAAGGTAAAAGGTGCAAAGGAATCTTCTGTGTCGACATTAGAGGGATTGGATTTCTTTTTCAACTCGTGTTGACACCTGTGTCATGTCGTCTCACTTGTTTTGTGTTACAGAACCAAAGCTTTCTGCAAACTTTATTTTTGTACAATATTCATTTTATAACTTTTTACAGAATTAAACCTGTTTCTATTAAAACAAGCGTGTCTTTCTAGTATTCGGCCTTGTGAAAAAAAACACGCACTGGTGCCAAATGGTGCTAATTTTGCCTGCCGTGTGTTTACACAGGCGTCGCGTAAAACGGGAGGATGAAAAGTTGAGGCCAAAAGGGAGAAATTGCGAGGACGGTCCGAGAGACGGCTTCTACAGCGCATTCCTGAACACGGGCCCGGGGCCGTACAGTAAACAAAAGCAGGCCGTAAAGCGCCACTGAGCTGTAAATCCAGGCAGCGTTTTCCACCGTGCGAGAGGAGCCGGGAGGCGCTGAGGAGATGAAGATGGCAGCGGTACAAACAGCGAGTCATTAAGCAGGGGCTCAAGGTGTGTGTGCGAAGCTTAGCTGGAGTAACGCAGGAGATGCTGAAGGCCAAGTAGAGCCTCAGTTCTTCGTGATAGCAGGACACAAAGTCTCAGAAGTATGAATTATTTACAGCTGTCTAAATCTTGTGTTCGGCAGTGCAGAGTCCATCAGCATGTAGTCACAATTACAGAAAATGTGAAACTCAGTTTATTATTTTGTTCATTAATGTTTTGGTTCATCGCTTAAAAAAAAGGGATTTAGCAACAAGCAGGTGAACATAGTGGAGGATTTACAGCAGTAGCTGAACATAAACACATATTGCAGGTGATGGTGGAGACCAAAAACAGAGAAGAAGAAAGAGAGACTATTTATCAAGTAGGAAGACATAAAATAGCATCATCTGCATCCTCTTGTTCACAAATCTGGGTCCCATTAGTTTGTTCTGATCAAGTTCAATTCATTCTTGATCCGACAGGGTCCACGGTTCCGACAATATGTGATTTCTTGAGGCTATAAAAAGAATGTTTTTTTTTTTGTTTTTTTATGAGATAATTTCTTGGAAAGATTGCGAAAGGAGTCTGGTGACAAGGAGGTCTGCAGAATGTTTTGAATAAACTATCTGGGGTTGAGTTTTCTAGCGTTTGATGCTTGGAGCAGCACTGAACCTCAGCAGGTTCTGTGGTTTGGGTTCAGCTCCACAGGCAGGTTGAGAAGACTTTTGCTTGAAGGCCTCTCCCCCTCAGCTCACTACTCCGGTCGCTCCTAAAAACATTCATTGTTTTAGCCCGTCCATATTTCTTGTCCTGGTACTTATCCGTCCTCGTATTCATTTTATGGCCGCAGGAAGTTTGCCAGGACACGGAGACATTAGATCGCCTGCTTGTAACTCTGGTTGGTTGGGAATTTAAGACCGCTTATACGGTTTCACCCCGAGCATAAAACATTCAAAATGTATGCGGTGAAACCGACCGTGTGGCTTGAATGTCTCATATTAAACGGCAAACTAGTATTTACTGGTTAGTGGTCGGTGTACTCAAGAAATGAAAACCAGAAATGAGTTTAATTAGATCCGTATATTGCAGCTGTTCGATCAGTTGAAATAACTTCAAACACTGTACAGGTAATTAAAAAAGAAAATAAAGGTTTACCCATTTAATAACTTGGCAAAAACTACCCTGTAAAATGTTTATTTCACCAAGTGAATCTAAACACCAGCTTTGGCCCGGACTTGGTGAACTGTGTATCTGCAGGATCGAGTCAGCGCCTCATAAAAACATATCTGGCAGAAGAATTTCTTTGATCTGCTGGTAAAAACAGAAGTATCGCTTTAATTTGGGTGAAATATATCACTATTTGACAGGACCCCCACAAAAGGAATTTTATTCTCTTGAGGTGGAATCAAATTAGCAGATTGCTATTTGGAGTTTTGTATCACATCCAACAAAACGGCAGAGAGAAATTCAAATGGCTGCAGGGTTTTCTTCCTTTTTAAAAACTTGCAAACTGTTCTTCATAGCTGATAAACACAACCGGACCACAAAATCTGGAGACACTTTATGAGGCCTTAAACTCTGGAGATGTGGGTTAAGAGAACAATGGAAATTATGAATATAAAATCCACATAATCAAAACAGACATTAAAAAAAACAGTTCTTCCTAAAGTTGATCAATTGCAAAGCGAAATAGAACATAAAACTGTTAAAAACTATATTGTGCTTGCAAAGTTAAAAAAAATAAAAGAAAGTGGGGGAGGACTGACACTGTTCAATTGAGTAACGTAATTGAGATCAATCCCAAAACACAGTTATTGTCAGAAACGCCGTAGAAGCATTTATATAAGCACACAAACACAAGCCCATTCGATGTGACATGAGCTGCTTTCGCGGCGCTTCAGATCTTGCGTTTCTTCCACTCTGGTTCCTTCTCGGCCTCCTCGTCCGATTCCGATTCCTCGGCAAACATCGGCACTGGCTGGGTCCTAAAAGGGAGACGAGAGGGAGTAATGCTTCAACAGCTCTTCAGAGAAAAGCAATAAACTTCAACAGAGCCATGAGGCCACGAACGGTTTACGACGTTTAATTTTCCAATTTGAATTGATGACTAAATTACGTCCTCCCAGAAAAGCAAAGGGAGCTGTGACACAGACTATGAAACAGGCTGAAGTGATGCACTTTATCAGGTCAATCTATTATAACGTACGTCACAAGTAAGTCATTTTGAAATGCAGATTCGGCTTGAAGCTTTTGGTCGACGTTCACGTCGTGGTCCGAGTCCGATAACAATGTAAAGTTGTCCATTGCTTCTCCTGTCTGCGGTTTGAAGTGTGCTTAACGCTTTAAACATTAATGTGCCAGGTAGAAAAGAAACCCAAGCACCATCACACTACAGCGAGCTGCGCTCTCGGTACTCATCTTACCCCGTCCGCAACAAGCGCAAACCCAGAATGAGAGAAGAGGGGACACGACTCATGTCGGGGTTTCTTACTGCGTGTATGCCGGGGCGACCCAGTACGGGTTGTCCGAAGCCTCCTTGGCGTGACGCAGGATGGCCTGCCGGGGGTTGCTGTCATCCGTTTTATCTAAAGCGATGTTCTTCACGATGAACGAAGACAGCGTGCCGCCGTGAGCCGCCACTCTTCCTCCTCGACCTGTCGGGACACACATGTCGCGCGAACGCACAGACACAAACCGTTCACGTGTTGACCTGCCATGACAATCTCACTTCTCTATTAGTCCACACTGCAGTCTTGCTTCCAGACCGCTGGTCTCGCGGCAGTTAAATTACGTAACAGAGTGGTGAAAAAAAACGCGCTGCTTTCCAGAAAGAGCATTGTTACGGTCGTCCTAAAAGGTCAAGGAGTCACACGTGCATGTGTGCGTTCCCATAGCTACACACCATGGGATGCCCGCCTGGGGCATTGAGGATTGTTGGGCACTGAGGATTGAAAAGGCTCCTTTTCTCATTGCTTGTTAGCATCCGTCATGCAATTATGTCATTTTACTAGTCGCTGCACTGCTAACAAATAGCAACTTTATTTTTAATAAAAATGACAAACATGACTATTTCCCTCTCAACCCTTGTTTTGACTTTTTGATACGTACAAAATGTCCAATAGTTTGAGTGCAAATCATTTTATGAGTCTTATTTGGCTGCTGTGAATTTCTCGGGAGGATTTTGTAGGCAACATGTTTTTTGACCCCCATTTAAAACCGTTGCCAAGTCCGACATCTAAATGTGGGAAAAATAAAAACATCTGAAAAGTATCGCACTGTGGAACCATTAGATTTCATGGAGTACAAAGTTCTGAAGTGAAAGTTTAAAAAAAAAACAAGCAAAAAAGAAAACAGCAGCTCAACTGGAACGCCGTGAAGCGGAAAACGTTGTCGGGCGTCCCGGCCGATCGTGACGAAGCCCAAACGGTCGCCGTGATCGCGCGTAGCTGTGGCGTTTGGGAAAGTGTTGATTTAAGGGGCCAATGCAAAACACATTGACCCGCGAGAACTGGGTAACCATCCAGTTCAGTACATGACAACCAGAGGTACGACTGTGAGTGTTTATCGCGTGTTTGCGATTTGGTACATCCGTGGTCTTCAACTCGGTTCTTCCCGGGACGCTCGTCGTACACAGCATCGCATGCCGTTCCGGTTACTTCTTTGTTTATTTACCTACTTGTTATTTTGTTTGTTCTGTGAGGTTTATGTTCTGCACTACTAAAAGCCCCAAATAAAAAATAAAAAAAGAAAGAACATGCACTTCACCTGGTCCGGACACAGGCGGCTCGGGTTTGTGGGATTTCCTCGGGTCAAGTCGGTCCTTCTCCAGCTGTTTTCGTGTGCTCCTCTGCCGGGCCTCTCTGAACATGGGTAAGGCATGAGCTGCAGACACACAGGGCAAACAGGGATCATCAAGTTGCTTAGGTAACTTGCGAGATCACATGACACAGCCGCACAAATAAGCACATGGGGCACCTGGCAACATGCACAGTGTTTGGAGCTCATGAGGGCCGATTACAGCTTTGTTTTTACACCACGAATGCATTGTGGTTCCACGCCTTGAAGGAGATATGCAGCATTTATGCAGGAACACACACACACACACACACACACACACACACACACACACCTGTTGGGCAGCAGGAGGATCTCTCCTCTTGTGTACTTTTTCTGCCGTGGTGCACACAAACATATTCATTACATGCCAGTGTTTAGACGGAGACAATCCCTCGGCCACTCTTCACACTTTTGTGAGCACCATCACAATAAAGGACCCGAGCACTTAAATCCACGAGTGTGTGAGTGAACATGTGCATGGCAGAGTGTGAATGAGTGTTCTCAAAAGGTGTGTGTGAGGAGGAGGGACTGCGTGTGTGCGCGTGTGTGTGTGTGTGTGCGTGTGAGAAGAGCCGTAATTTGTGTTTGTGTAAAGTGAGTGTATGCTCTGCTCTTATCCTCAGGGGTTACAAAGAGACACTTTAGTAAAGGGCCAGATAAAGTGATTTTCCATTCACGGGCCCCGTCCCTGTTCAGTGTTAATTCTTCTTCCTCCACGCTACATTAAGCAAAAAGGTTACTGTTAACAGATTCCCTCGCTTTTCTCAATGGGCCATCACTTGCTTCCTGTCCCCTCTAATTTTCCAGTCTCGGGGCATCGAGTGCGTCACTCGCCGCTGGCGGCGGTCAAAGCGCCCGCCCTCTTCACACCCTGTTGGCTTGGCAATGCAATCACGTGAAGCATCTGAAGAGGCTGCGGGAGCCCAAACAATAAATGCCGTCTGGATTGGGCGTCAGCAGCCAATCGGGGGGGAGGGGGGGGACGTGACAGCAGCTTGTGCATGTCCATGACTTGACAGCGGGGACAAAAGGAGCGCGAGGCACGCACTGAAGAGATGACAGCCTCGTGTGCTGGTGATGTGACAGGATGACAGGTGGGGGGGGGGGGTAGCTTGTAAGTGTGTGTGTGTGTGTGTGTGTGTGAGAGAGAGAGAGTGGTGTGGACCAGCCGGAGATCACGCCAGCAGAGGTGGGAGAGGTGGCCGTCCCCGGCGTGATCTCCGGCGTTACCGCAGACCACACGGCCGCCGCGTGGCCCAGTTCCCCCGCGGCGGCGCCGACCCACTCATCCACACGCTGCTCCATCAGCTAATGGGCCTGAGAAAGCTACACACACAGTGTGTGTGTGTGTGTGTGTGTGTGTGTGTACGTTAACACAGGTTGGTATTTTGGGGGGTTTTCTGAGAAAGAGGATTCTAACATTTTGCTCTCGCTTGTCACAACTTGCACTTGGGAGTCATTAGTGTTTATAGGACGTGTCGGCTCTTGTTGGAAAAAACGAATTGGCTCATCATGTGAAGGGCAGATGGGTCAGTGGCTCAAGGTCGACCAAACTGCAGCAGAGCTTTGAGAAAGGCTCTTTTTAAGTTAATCCCTTAAAAGAGCAAGGATTCATGTGCCACGATTTATTTTTATTCTAACTGAACGAAATGTGAGGGTAGAAGAGGAAGAACTTACGCGTGATGATGTAATCCTGTGTCAGCGTCTCTGCTTGCCTCTCTTTCCGCTGGCTCTTCACGACACACAGCTTGGCCCCTCTGGAAAACAAACCAATTTTTACCCACCAGGGAAAAAAATAACTGTCCCATAGAGCCCAAATTATTGATACAGTTAGGTCAACATATATAAAAGGCTAATGAGGTTAATTTCAGGGGTAATTGTTGGCCATAAAAAACCTGCCTTGTATATGAAACTGAACTTACCTGTGGCTTTTAACAGGGTCATAGTAGACCTTGGCCAGTCCATTGGAAGTTCCCACCATTATCTGGTTAAGTTTCGGATGCCACAGACAGCGGACGACGCTCTTGGAATACACAGACAGAAACAGAGTGTTTAAAGTGGGTTTTGTACAGTAACCGAAGGAGGGACGATGTGAGGAAAGGAGGTCGCAGTGTGAGACAGCAGCCCCCGGCAAGTTGAGTACTTTCTCGGTTGTGGGTCTGATTTTAAAAAAAAAGGATGTCTCCATTTCTCTGTGAACAAAATGTAACAATCCTATTCCATTGTCTCACGTATTAGTGTTAGAGACAACTGTGTGTGTGTGTGTGTGTGTGTGTGTGTGTGTGTGTGTGTGTGACCCAGGTTGGTTGTGGTGCCGTGGGGATCAGTCCCAGCGTGCTCTGCTGCTTGACTATATTTGGTTGTTGGGATGAGGGCTGGATCCCTCAGTCTGTGTGACAGATGGCTCAGGGCCAATAGGGAAATGTGACCACATTTATCCAGAGAGGTGTGTGTGTGTGTGTGTGTGTGTGAGATAGAGAGAGAAGTACAGAGAGAAATGAGCACACGGTGGTTGGACGGCTGGATGAAGACCCTCGTTGTGCTCCCTGCAGTAGTGCCTCTTTTCTTTGCACACGTGATTGAAGCATCACCACATAGGAGCCCACTGGTGTATTGATTTATGCACAGTTATATTTATTGGTGTGTATATGCTATAGCTGCAGAGAGGAAGCCCTTCTTTATGTGGAACAGGGTAGGTTATCGGGCGGCGGGGGTGGGTGTGTGGGGGAGGTCTACGACTGGGACGTCCAGTTTCTGTGATGGGGAAAGCTGCTTAGCGCCCAGCTGTTCAGCTTCCCACCAGGATACCATGGGAAGGAGTCTTTATTACACACACAGAAGCAAGAGTGCACGCGCGCACGCAAAGAGACTCAAGCACGCGGGCAAGCATGGTTAGTAGGTTGATTTTACATTAATATTACAAGATGAAACCAGTGAAAAACAACACCTAAAACAAAGCATGAAGCATTCAAACATCACTCATGTTCCGATATTCAGGACCAAGTAGCCGACGTGATTCTTGAATTCCCCTCACAGTCTGCTTCCACTTGGCACTAACCTCATACATAAATACATGCAGTATCTACGGACCAACTGCTCGGCGGCGGAGTGAAGCTCATGGGACAGATGAGGGTTAATCTGCTCAACCAGATCGTGAGCCGGCTGTAATTGATAGAAAGATCTGGAAAATGCTCTGGACAGCGTGCAGCATGACCTTGACATGTTCCAGCAATACGCTGGCAAATAAATCATTCAAATAAAATACTTAATACGCACCAATTCCTTTAACAATGTTTCACCTTAAGCATAAAAACTGTTAAATGAATTATTCAGAACAAAAAATCTGCTGGATCATAACCGTTGCTGTCATAACTCAGCAGCACCGGCTCTCACATGCATGTGAAGCTACGCAGGAACTTTGTAAGCTCGAAGAATTCCCCCATTACGGCAACAGCCAACTCGGGCAGTCAAACCTCGACCCGCCTGGATCCACCGAGGAGCCCGGAGCCAAGCACCGCTCAGTCCGGTCCCACGCTGAAACCGCTCCCCACATATTCAGAGCAGCATGTTTACACTCTAGGGACCACTGTTTACGCTCCACGTCCACAAAATTACATCACATCGTGCAGGAGAAAACTCCTATCGGTCCTCCGGTAGCAGCCTTCTATGTCCCCCCCCGTCGGATTAAAACACCCGGAGTCTGATCAGGGGGTTAAAAAGGACGACAGCAGCCAGTCGCACCATTTGTGTGATGATTATGGAAATAGAGTTATGCGGCGCTAGTGGGGCACAACTGTCCCAGCTGTGTGTTGTCCACATGGGCGATGCCTCTGACCGGCCAACTGAATTCAGAGAGAGAAAAAGAGAATTCTGATGAGACATCCATAATTAGTACGAACCACCGTGTACTATGAAAGACCATGGGTGGGTCGGATGCACAAGAAAGAACATAGTTAAGGCCTCCCCCCTTCCGCCCTTCACGCTTGGCTGCTCTTACGGAGGATGAAAGGCCGGCCTTTTATGTTAGAGGCCTCCCAGAAGAGCATGGCACCGGCGGCAGCTCATTGTTCAGTAAGGGCGGTGCAGGTGGAGCTTGGGCAAAGAGCCACTAGTGAAGGTGACCCCAAAGAAAGGATCCACTCCATTCAGACAAACCTCGTTCCTTTTTTTTTTATCCAGCCAATAGCTTCGTCCTTTGATAGTCAACACGGTCTCACCTGGTCCCTGCCGCGTTTGATCAAACTTAGATAAGCTTGACTGAAGTATTTACCGGATGGCCCTAAAGCAGCCTCTGCTCCCAGGATCCAGGTCCGGGGTTATGTAGACTGTTTAGTCAGAAATGATTGGTGGCCCTTCCTTTCACTCGCCCAGCGGCCACGCCACTTTATGAAGACTGCACTTAGATCCCGGGGGCCATCCGAGAAGCAGACAGCCGACGTAAACATAGTAAATAGCACATTCGTCAGGTTCACCGAGTGCACGTCAACCAGAAACAGCCGATCTGACGCTCAACTGAAGTTCCACTGCGTCAAATGGATGTGTGACGAATGGTGGTACGGCTCCCGATACCGAATCGCCGTGGGCGATGCAGACGCACAGACTGCTGGAGTAATGGTCGGCGGGGCGGGACGGTCAATGTGTGAAGTGGAAACAGCGCCGGCTGCAGCGCCTCCAATTCCTATGAAAGTTGCTCAGTGACACATGAAGCTTCCTACGAAATAATACCCAGATCTTACACATCTTTGAGGGCCGCAGAATAAGCACAGTGTCTTTTTCTTACAGTTAACACAGTTAAATGCAATTGGCCATTGTGTAGGATTTAGAAGCCTGCTGCTCTTCCTGGAGGGTTGGAAGGTATTAGAAATGTTAAGTGTAATGAGAGTAAAATGAGGCATCAATCCAAAAATGTGGATCAAAGTAGTAGTCTGGACAATCTGGAAGCTGACTAAACATTTCTCCGATGATTTCTCACTGTAAATGCTCCTTGTAACATCTTTATTCCAACATTGGTTGAATTAATTGCCTAATGTTTACGTGCTATATGAAAGGAATTCATCGGAGTGATGAATATTACCATTAATGTCCACTTTTTCTCAGGAAATGGAAAGATTCTCCACCACCAAGTATTTTCCCAAGGCCCTGGTCATCCAAGCGGACATGAGGCTCAACATGTCAACGCACACATCAAAGCTTTTATCTACACAAAGGCAAGTAAATGACTTAAGAAGGCAAGAAACTATTCAAATATGTGAGTGGCTTCAAAGGGATATTTTCCCAGACTGCGTAGCTGTTGCGTTTTGCGAGGTCACAATTGAAACAAATAGAACCACTGGCGAGGCAATTGGCAGCCTGCATGTTTTACAGCCTGCATTGTTTTCGGTAGAACGCTGCGGGAAATCTGCAGCACAGAGAGGGAGCCGACAGGATGAGGGTCTGCCGTCTATCCAGTAAAAGTGAGACGAAGCGGGGGGGGAGTGGGGGGGTGTAGTTTCAAATGTTGCATTGCATTTCAGAGAAAGGAAAAGATAAAACGGCCGCGGAGCCATGCAGAGGAGTGCTGTTAAGCTCTTCACAGACTCTTCGACCCAAAGTGTCCGGGGTCGTCCTTTGATGCTGCCTGTAGAGATTTCAGCGCCGCAGAGAGCTTTCTGCTAATGTTACAGCCACTTCCGTTTATGTACAGGGGGGACCTCGAACGCAACACGTGAGCGGACCAAATGACAGACGTCACGTATCGTGCAAATTGATAATAACGCAGACCGTCTTTTAGTGAGACCATTAATACTTGATTGGTGTTCTTTGATTGGAGGAGAGAGGAGGCTTCATCTACAGAGTCAAGAGCACGAGGTTCTGATGGAGAATAGTGTTGCTTTACTGTGATGCTCCTCCTGAATGAAGATAAAACAAGGCACTGACACACTGTGAATACTATTAACACGCTATTGCTAAAGATGCTCTTTTTGGCACTTTTAATCGTCAAAGTAAACTCAGAACTTGATAAATCATTATTAAAATTACATTCAGACAACCGCTCACTCAATTGTGATTTTGACATAAAAAAAAAAAGATAATTAAATTACAATGGATTAAAATGGTTTATCTAATTTAAGTTAGAATCTCAGATGAAATGGGTCAAACCAAACAGTAGCCCCCCCCTCAGCTAGTGCATCTGTGCAGTGGGTTGTGCACTTAGTGTCGATGCCGTGCCAAGGTTTGCAGCCTGACAGCAGCTGGCTGGCCGGACACCGAGATGCACAGACACACAAACGCAGCTTTTGTCTCTTTCCCTCTCTCCCACGCGTTGAGTCAGTGGCTGATTTAAAAGTGGTGCGTCTCAGCCGGGGAGACCAAGTTAGAAGCCATTAGCCTCTGTCAGACCTCTGTGTTATGACTACAGATACACACAGTGCTAAATCTGTTGAAAAGGAGAGACAGAGGAGGAGCAGGAAGCCAAAAAAACAGAGGAGACAGCACCTCTGCCCTTGATTTCACCACCTATGGCTGGTCGCCCTCACCGAATGGGTTTCTGAGACAGCGGGACTAGCAGAGATATTATGCGAAGGTGTTTGACAGTGAGGCGAATGTAAGTGGAACGCGCCGGTTGTGTCCGTAGACAATTTATTTATGAAAAGCGTCAATAGCTGTCCTGCTAGGGGCTGGTGAGAATGACTTCCTGTAACTCCACTCCCTACTAGCCCTTCACCATTATCTTTCCTCCCCCTTTGCCCTCATTCCCCGCGTTATTTTACCCACAAAACCCCGGCACCATTGTCTTTCACCCAGGGAGGGATTTAAAGGGAAAATGTCTGGGTTCATGATATTTTACTTTCCTGATCTGGTGGCCTGATACGTTGTGTTCTCGGGGAGCCAAAGCCAAAAAAAAATATCTCAAGGCTGGAGTTCAGTTTGAACCAAGACTACTTAGATTTCATTCATTCTGCCTTCATTGGTCATTACGCTTCATTGTCGCTTCAATGGTTTGATCACTGCAAATTATTTAGGGTCATTTTGGTTTGTAAACTAAATATATCAAACAGTTGAACAAAAACAAAATAGCAGTTGTGGAGTTTGAGAAAGGACTTACGGCATTGGTGACTTCTATTTCATAGACCTTCTGAAAGGAAACTCGGTCAAAGAAAACCAGCTTCCCGTTTCCTCCGTCCTTTTTCACGGAGGTCCCCGTTAAGAGAAGCCGGTCATCGGGGCTGAAACAGCAGTCCGTCCTAACGGTGACAAACGCACAGTATTTTAATCAGTTCTTAATCCACACACAAGTTACTAAGTGGCTATGAGGAAAGTTGAGAATTCTCACATCGTATAGTAGTTGCACAGTCCAGTAGCAACGTTCACAGGCTTCTTGAAGTTCCGGATGTCCCACATCTTGAGGGTGTCGTCCCCTAGAAAGAAAAAAAACAAAAACGATTGAGACAACAGGTTAAATACAATTTGTCATATTTACAGAAAAGTCACCTATGTGGACCTTTTTTCCCCCGACTGTACAGCGAGGTTGAAGGAGTTCCTTTTCTTACCTCCACGAGAAGCGAGAGTCCTGCCGTCGTAGGAGAAGGAGAGGCAGGAGGTGTCGGATCCCGGGACGTGTGCTTGCCGACAGTGGAACTTTGTATGGACCTAAGAAAGGGAAATGCAAAGCGCATGCATCTTTTATAGTGTACGACAAGACCGACAAAGGACGGATGGCAGCAGCTCACTGGCGTCTGTGTTAGAGAAAAAGGTGCGCAGGTGATGAAGAAAAACTACACTCGACTGGAATTGATCGTTCATGACAGAACTGGATCTGTAATTAGTGCAGCGCCCATAAACATGCTGCTGATCCGTATTAAAAAGAGCTCTTATGATCCGATGAACTGCTGTGTGAGAATCCTTTGCCTCGGTCTCTCCAGTCACTCACTGCAGTAACAAAAAGAGCTTTTTACTCCCTTCAAAAACAACACACTGTTCCAATTTCCTCCACGAACACAATATGACATATCTGACTACGGAGCCCAATACAACTTGTGAAATACCAGTAACTTTACAGACTGTACCCACCACACTCTGTAGCAAGACTACAGACCACAGATTTACTTTGGCAAGCTCGGGTCTGTGGGAGATTTTAAGATTTGCCCCCCTCGCTCGTACCTGAAGTCGTACGCCAATAGTCCTACTTTGTGCTCTTTGCGAGGCGCCAACATACATGAGACCCGTTGACCCGCAGTCACGGGTCGACATCTGTATTTCCACTCATGGCCCCGCTCTCCGGGGTCGCCGGTAAACGAGTGCTAGTTTTGAGTGTCACAACAAAATCTCAACAACCGGAGGGACTAATGAAAAGAATACGGAGATGTGCCAGAAGCGCCGGGGCCAGCGGTCGGGTGAGAAGTTAAGAGGTCAACTAAACTTTAACGTATTAAAGGCAGGTTCCTGTGGATGTGGCGTAGCACCCAGACTATTATGTCTTCTTTGCTTCTAAAGGAGAACGAGAAAGCATTTGGTAATCTGGTGATAATATTATATCAAACTGCAGCTACTTGATGATGATGGTCTTTCTTTGAGTTCCACGCTGCTGGTTGCACGGGATAAGAACGTTTTCTCTAACATCCTCTTGGACTTGGCATTTCTCATTATTTCCCGACATACACATTATAAATCCCTAATGACAATAATCCTGAGTGGGAGGAATTAACTCATATTTTAAAATCACATGTGATCATGAAGTGGAGAGAGTAGCACAATGGAAAAGGTTTTTGCGGCACACAGCCGTCGTCAGGCAGACCATGAGAATAATCTTGCCCGTGTAACTATTTCCTCGGCACGTCGCTGTATATACGAGGATGACATCTCACTCGACTTGGCTGTAATGCTCAGCATGCATCACTGGAAACCAAGAAGGCTAGGTGACATTTCAGCTGAGGTCATTCTATAGAGGCGAGAACAGACTGATTGCAAACACCAGAGGGAAGGAAATTCCCACCTTTGCAGCTCATGGGGGTAAGACAAAAAAGAAAAGCTGTTTTAGGAAAAGCTGCTGGTAGCATTTTAGGTACGGTTCGAAAACAAGTAGAAGTTACAATTAAACAGAAGCATTCAAGCCTCTGGTCGAAGCAGCTGTTTTGAGGATGGCCAGGCGCCGCGTAGCTCCTCAGTGCTCTGAGCAAAGTGGTGAACTACTGTGGTGCAGAGTGCATGCGAGTGCCAAGGTCTGGGGCTCTGGGCTGGAAATAACCCGCCCATACAAATCCCTCTTATCGTTCTCACACATAAACACAAAGGAAAACAAAGAAGAACATCTCCCCAGAAAGGTACACGGCAACCCAAAAGGTGGACAATGAAAAGGCAAACATGACAATGTTAAAAAAAAGATTTTACGCTTGCCAAACTAAAGTGTATGCATTTTCAACTACAATACAACTCTAGATTATACAATTAGAGATGTGTTATTATTTGCATTGTTGATTCATTCGAAGCATTTCACGTCTTCACGTCCACAACTCAGGGTCACAAATATGTGGAGCTGTAAAAGCAGCACAGTCTCATATTTAAGACAATGAAACATTTGACATTAATGCACGATGAATGCCGGAAATCAGTAATTGATTATCGAGCGGATCAGCTAATTGTTTTAGCAGCGGCTGCAACGTCCTGCTGCCCGGGTCTCTTCTCTGCTTCCTCCCGCATTTCCTCCCCCCGCCGCCTTAGTTCTACCCGAGTACGGCCAGATTAGAGGGATCGATCATTAAAAGACGGCGGTTACGCAACAGTCTGGGAAGTAGGCTGGCTAACACTCAAACAAACATAACCTTGGTTTCTACGGCTACATTTTCATTAATTCTAAACGGAACGCAAATAAATCAGTGAAAAGAGAATTGCAGCAATACCGGCTTTTGACTCGGAGGGGTGGGTGAGGAATTTGAAGTGAGCACAGCGTGTGGAGGACAGATAAGATAGAGCAGTGTAGGGAAATGCAAGCGGAGGGAGAGAAAGCAGTGTGAGGGGAATGAATGATGTGTCCTCACGATACAAGAAGGAAACGAGGTCATACTTCACTTCCAAAGTCAGTAAATGGAGGGAAGTTATTAACTTGGATGAGACAGATTACACCGTTACCTTGAACTGTAGATAACATGGATTACACTTTTCCAGGCGTGGGCCACTTGGCCTCGGCGGGGATAATTTTCTGCTTCCCATCATCATTTTACCCCGTACGTTACCTTGGACCAAAACCCACTCTCCTCCTTTCTGATCTTAGATTATCTTCCCATTCAGCTGCCTCTGAAATTGACTTTGGCGAGAAGTAAAAAGCCAAGAGGTCAATTTAATACGAAAAGTACATTTTCATGGAGTAGGTGTGGAGCAGCTCGGCCACGAGGCATCTCAGGGACACTTAAACGGCAGCTAAAGAATAACGCGTGAGGCTTGAACGCCGGCCAAAAAACACACAATACTCTCCCCGACTGACGGAACAAGAGGATTGACCTCTTGATGGGTCTAAAACCAAAAGACACCGGGGAGACCCCGTTACACTGTGCACACTCTGCGAATGACGACGAGTAATCCTTCAATCCACGCGTGGCGGCACAAATGGGTTGGGTGGGGTCGGCGGATTATGAACACGGGGGGGGGTGCATGACGCTCAATGGCCACACCGTGAAGGCGGGTCAAGTGGAGGGGACGGTGCGGGCCGGGCTCTGTGGCATGTGGGTACGAAAGGGTTGTTTTTCCTTCCAACATATGCTCAACAGAGCCTCATATTTCCTCAGGTCAACTGGTGAGAAAAGTTATGAGCTCTGGTTCGACCCAGAGGTTTTTCTTTTTTCTTCTTCTATCCGACGTCTTTCTTTCTTAAGATGAAAACCATGTGCAGCTGAGCCCACGCTGTGTTTTAACTCCTTTTCTATGGCTGCTGTACTATCTGCAGTGTCTGTCTGCACTGAATAGAAATGTTTTCTGCATTAACATTTAGATATTTCTTAACCCTAACAAACAAGGTGGAGTGCGGGGAAAAAACAACTTGAACTGTGGAGCAAATTATGAAAAGCAAAAACAGATTTGCTTCGGCAAGAAGTAATAAAAACTATCACATCGACCTGAACATCAGTCGGTGGAAGTGGCGCCTTCAACGGGACGCTAGCGGTTATTCTGGCTGCCTATAGCCAACATAAACCCCTCCGGCTATTTCTAGATCCTTTTACTGCTGTTGTGAAAGCCTGAGTGTTTATTTACTATCCTGATGTTGGCCGGCATTGGCAGATGCCACGGCGTTTGCTTCCTGTGATAATCTACACAGCCGGCCTGTGAAACTGGAGTCTCGTACACGGTTTCAAAGCTCTCCTGCGCCTCGTGACTTCCTCCGCAAACTCTGCCCTTCTTCCCGCCCTCAACCGGGCACCGGCTCACAAATTATCACCAAACATGAGCCCCCCCTCCCCCCCAGCTCACACGCTTGTGCTTGTGCACCGTTTCCTATAATGTAGTGTGTATAGGTGGACATATGCACACACACACACACACACACACACACACACACACACACACACGCACACACACACAGGGCTTATACGTTCATACGGCGGTGGGAGCTGATAAATAGCTGCAGCAACACGGCATTGGGTTTCATTCCTCCGCAGACTATGGCAACTATCTCCCGCCGGGCCAACTGGTCCTGACCGCACTACCCGGGTATCATTTTAGAAATACTGCCTCGCCCCAAACCTCCGTACTTTTTACGGCCGCACACCTGAAGGCTTAATGATGCCCACCGTGCACTCCGCTGTAACGTCTCCCTTCGACCTCTGTTGCTTTCTGAGGATCAAGTGGCCCGACCGCCGTCCTGAGCAGCTGCTTTGATCTTTCATGGAAATCAACAAGCGGTTACGGCGAAGCCGCGGTTTGTGTTTGTGCGTGCGTGTGTTTTTAGCCCATCACACTGGACCGAGTGTGGACAGTGTGTCCGACTGAAGTGGATGTGTACCCGCACGTCTCGGCAACAAGCTGGGGGGGGGGGGGGTTCGGTCCAAATGTTTTGTTTTTGAGTCTCAAAAGTAACACTGAAAGCTGCAGCAGTGACGTGATAGGAAGCCCGTGTTAGTGCCTCCTTGAAGTCACATGATGAACATTGGTCCCCACAGGAACATGAATGAATCAGGAGGATCAGGATGTTGGAAGAAAAAGAAAAAAAAAATCACAATGGAGGCTGAAGGATGAAGGGAGCTCTGGTGAAACTGCTCAGAAACACCGTCTTCCGATTGTAAACCGTACATGAAGAAATAACCAGCACGAGGGCCGTTTATGTTCTCTAAGCAGTTATCAGATTTTCCAATTCTAAACATTTTCATTGGTTATTCTCTGTTTTAATCTTCCACAGACATCTTATTTGAGAGTTGTACGTTTACAGTGACGCAGTGCAGTCCCCTTGCTCTGACACCCAAACTGTACTTCTGGAACAATAACAGCATGTTCAAAGAGTAAGAGAAAAAAAAAAGGAGCCTGGCATCAAAGCAAAGTTTTTGAATATCAAGATGGGCCTGAATCCCAAACGATGACATCTAAGTGGAACCAATCCAAACTATATTAAAAATGTTCTCATAATTAAGAAACAATTGCGCTCATGAAGCCAGCGAATGCAGAAAAACAGGGGAAAGTCTGCCGTGCCATCCCAGGATGACCTTCCCCAACGAGTAGTTCATCAAAACCACATCTTCCAAGGTCCCACTTTGAAGTCTGGAAACAAGTCCACCTATGACATCATAACATTCCCCAGGTCTCTGTAGTTATTTTTTTTGGGGGGGGGGCGGGGAAGGGGGCTGCACCCTCAACCCACTGACTTCCACACAGTGCACATTACCTGGCAACCATTTGGAAAGGCAGTCTCTCGTGATTCCGCCGCCGACCTCGCCACTGGTCAGAGCGGTAGCGTGCATCCCCGCTCGCTCTCCGCGCCGGCGGACTAAAGAGAGACCAGCTCCCGTCACGGGATCAGTCAACTCACGGCAGGCTTCAAGAGCACGATGTGTCACCCCCAATAGCTTCTCTTTGGGCTCGGCGCTAGATCAAGGTTGTGTACATGATTGATTGTGATTGATCCACCTGCATATTCTGGCCATGAGTAATGGTGGCGATAGGACAGGAGATGGAGCTCCTTTGAGTGCATGCAGAAGGAAGGGGGGGGGGGGGGGGCAGCGATGAGGAGGTCAACTCCTTTTGAGGCTCGTGGCTGGATTCGAGTCCGCGGCACAGGTTGCTGATTAGGGCAGCGGGGCACCGGCTGCATTCTTGAGCCATTCAGACAGGACAGGCTCCAGCGGTCAGGCAACAGACACGACTATTGTAAGCTGCTACGGGACGCTGGGTAAATATTTAGTTTGGAGAAAGAGGGGTAATAAATTTGGAGCGCTTTAACCCAATCACTCCAAGCCTGCTGCAATGAGCAACCCGGGCGGGACAACGGCTGATGGGATTCCGTTCCACACAGATACACGGAAGAACAAAAGCTTTTACAATGGCTCTCCTCCATCTAAATACATCTTTTTTGTGTGATAATGAAGTTGCCTGTTGGAGTAATTATCATGTAGCCTACTTCTCATTTGACTAATCTGGATAAGCCCCTGTGTCCAATCAAGCTGTTCCAACTCACTAACTGCGGCTTTATTATCACGATCCCCCAATGAAATAACACAGGCATTCAACCTTGCCCACATATGGGGATTGGACAGATGAAAGGATGTGAAGCGGAACACTTCGAAATTAGAGTGAAACGGTTCCGAAACATTGCGGACCGAAAAAACAACTTCTTAATCTTCAGCTAGTTTCATAAAAATAGGCCGGGCAGCTCTTCATAACTCATGTGGACCGGATACTCGTCGTCAAACGGCCCTTCTTTCGTTTTATCGTCCGTCCAAGAAATGTGGGCTTACGGTGTTTAAGGTCTCCCAGGTGAGGATCCACAAATGCTCGTCCCGCTGCGGTAAAAGCAACTTGTGAAACCACGTTCGTAAAAGAACGGTCCATAAAGTGAGACAAGAAACAATCTGGAGCGATGCCTGCGAGACGTCACCTCTGAAAGTACTGAGTTACGAGAAGTGCAGGTCGCCTAAGCTCTCTCTTCTACAGGAATGCGTCTTTTTCTTTCCCGCCGTGGAGGTGAATTTTGTGTCCGAGTGAGCTGGCGAGCAGTTTTGAAGCCCCAAATGGAAGCCGGGTTTGTGACGATTTGTCAAAAAATCTCAAGTGTAAACAGTAGAATAAGTGAGAGCGCGGCTCCTCGCGGGCCAAGATCAGCGATTACCTCAACAATGTGAAGCTTGAAGAATGGAATGAACACGCTGATCGCATAATTACCTGATTAACTAATTGCTGTCTGCTCAGGGCTGATGGGACTCCCAAAAGATTGAGCTAATTAGCGCTAATAAGCAAATGTTGGCATGCTGACACATTAAACATGGCGGTGGACGCTTCAGTTTCTCCAGAGTTCGGATAGAACTTAAGCGACTCTTCGGCCCATTAGTGTGAAAATCGGGTTCCTTGCCGGTCGGACCGACCATCTGATCATATTTCCAAAAACTCCCAGTTTGGAGGAATGCATTTTGAAGTCAGGTATTTTTAATTCTGGTCAGTGTTTGTGTCATGCTGAACCCTGACCTCTTCTCTGGCCTCTGACCCGACGACCTAAATCTCATCACACTGCACACAAGGCCATAAAAAAAGAAGCTCCTGCACAGTGAAGCGGTTGGGATGTATGTATGTATGTGTATGTGTATGTGTATGTGTGTGTTAAAACTCACGCTGAGGTTTCTATCCCAGATCTGGATGGTTCCGTCCTGGCAGCCGGCCGCGATGAGCTTCCCGTCGCGGCTGTAGGTGCAGCTTGTGGGGACGACCTTCTTCCCCTGGAAGGAACGCGGTTTGAACACAGACTTGTGCTTCTTCTCGGAGGTCAGGTCCCACGTGCGCACGGTGCTACGGACGGACGGACGGAGACAGACGTTCAAGTTATCTTCACAAAAACTGTCACGAATCACACAGAGATACAGGGTCCCTCGGCCATCCTCGTGGGGTTAGGCGACCATGTGCTGCAGAGAGGTTAGAACAGCCGATCAGTCTGACAGGCATGTCTGCAGCTTCCATGAACCCCCTGAACAGATTACACAACCTGCGGAGGAACTGAAATGCCGCCGTGTCACAGTATCTGTGGCAACAGGTAGCTTCATAGCTAAATGTCAAATTTAAACCCAAAAGGAATCCCTGCTTATTACAGATTTAGATTTAAAACATTTGCATATTATAACCACTTAAATATTGTTATTAAATACATTTATTAATAGCTTATCAAATGCAATCTATTAATCAAACCAGTAAATAATTAACACATTGTATGTATGTATATATATATATATATATATATATATATATATATATATATATATATATACACACACACACACACACAATGCAACATGAATACCTAGTTTTCCATTAAACACAAAATACATATGAAAGTTCACTATGAATGTTAAAAATGTAACGATAACGATAATTACAGATAATCATTGAAGCAAGAAGACTATTGTGACCAGTCAGTGCAGTTGTCATTATATCTGGAGTGGACGACCGGACAACAACAAATTACTGAGTTTAAAACAAGGTGGAACGTTTCACCTTTGACCCCATTGGCATGACTGGCTGTCTAGATATCCAAGCAGGTTATGTTGCACACAATGTCCTAACTAATCTAAATATTTTCAATTAACTAGCTCCGTGTTCTTTTCAGCGAGAGACACCGGTGATAACCGGAGACAGGGATAAGGATGACAAACCGCGAGACTTAAACCTCCACATCTATTTATTCAAATACCTGACCCCCCCCACACACACACACACACGCACGCACGCACGCACGCACGCCAGATAGAGCGTGTCCAAATGTGTCTGTGACCCCACTGCTTGCTTTAGTGAGCATTATGACCTTCGGGTCACGAGGTCAGCAGGGGAGTATAAACATGCAGGCAGGGCTGCTACTAACAGCCAGGCGAGGATTCCTCCCTGTGACCACAAAGTCACAGAAACACACACTTGACTGTGTTTGGATAAGTCCCACAATGTGATACAAATGCCAGCTGAAGACGTATGGTGCGAGCGAAAACGGGCACGGGTCAAATAAAACTCGATTTGGTGTATAGTTGAGTTTAAATAAACAAAGCCGTTCATAAATTAAAAAAAAAAAAAAAAAAGGTGAAATCCATCTTTGAAGACCACAGAAACTTAAATGAGCAGATGTACACGCGCATGCGTGAATGATGAGTGAATAGCCTCAAACCGGATGACAAATCGGTCCACCTGCTGCCTCACACAGACGTCTCCATTTTGTTTACAGAAGACTGCAGGCGTCTGTCGGGGCAATAAAGACAACATAACCTTTCGCATAGCACACAGAACCAGGAATGCTGTGTATAAGAGGGCTCCTTCCAGAACCTGGCACGGCCGCGTCGAGCCAACCCCGAGCAACCGGGCGGAGAGGCCACGCCCACCCATCCGCCACGCAGCGGGACAAGGGACACCGGTCCACTCCACGACAGGAGGTGCTTAGAAATTGTTAATTAAACTGTGAAACAACAACAACAAACAAAAATAGGAGCGACTCACTTCATTAAAGTTGCTCCCTTATTTCACGGCCTACATGGGGGGAGGAGAGTTCGGGGAAACCCTGTTTTCCCTTCAATCATCGGCCCTCTTTTCAGCAGAGACGGAGGGATGAATGTAATAAAATGAGACCCATACATCCTCAGTCATGCATTGCGCACTTTACGATCCACCGAGGAGTGACGACTCGCCGGGCCCCAGATGTTATCTGTCCGTCAGGTTGTCGGGCCCCCGTGGGGTGAGATAAGGAAGAGCGAGGGATAAGAAAGACGGACGTGTCGGAGGAGGTTGTTTATTGGTCATACTCCGGCTGCGTTGGCCGACGGCCGGTTCACTGACTAACTGGGGCTCCGCTGTGAGTAACGCGGATTAGGAGGGGGGGGGGGGGGACGCTCCCTCTCGCAGCTGAAGAAGATAAAGTGGGGAAATAACCGGAGCGGTTTCCGGTGGCACTGAAAGCGAGCAAGGAAAGAAACACTTAGGCCAAAGAACGGAGGCGGCGTGTGTACGGTTGAGATAGTGACATACGCTGTTTAGTGGCTCCAAAGCACAAAATCCACCCTAAAAATAAAAAAAGAGCTCGGCAAGGCTGGTGGGAACACACACACACGCACATGGAACAAAATGATTAAAGAAGTCAAAACAGCTCTTGACAAGAAGCCTTCCCCGTAGGAATTGGCCCCCATATTCTGTTCAATTCACTCACTAAAGACTCAAGGCGCTAATGTCAGTCAAACGTTCCGCCATGAGGACGAATGCACTCCTTGAAGGTATGTGCATTCTTGGGCAGGATATGGAACACTTGCAGTGTGAGGCGGGTAACAGTTGGAGATGAGCTGGACTGTGGATGAACCTGCTGCGTGAATCGCCCCACACACACACACACACACACACACACTTTGTAATGTCTGTCCTCACTGTTGATCATATTTCTCTCCTCCAGAGGACACTTAATAACCCATGAGTAATTTCCCCTTCTTTCCTTTCCCCTTGAAAAAGAAGCGGTTATCAACAAGCATTCGGCTGTAGCACTAGAAATAAAATAGACGGCCAACTTAGTGAATACGATGAGCACGCTCGATTAGACGATTAGTTGAGAGAAAGGAAATAAAAAGCATTATAAAAAATTTTAAAAAGTGCCACGCAGAATGAAACCACCTCTATTAGCAGGATACATCCGGTCCCCCCATTGCTGTCCCCGTTTAACAAATTCCTTATTGTGTCACAGTAAATCACGTGCTTGCTTTGATCCCACGATAAAGACAAAGTTTGATCCTCTGCAATATAATAAAAGAGCAGTCATTGGGGTTTTTTAGGGGGTCGGGGGGGGGCTACGCGTTCGCATCCAGCTGCGGCCCTGACAGCGGTCCAGCGCCATGGGAATCCCTGGCATTCAAACCTCGTGGAAACATTCCTTAAATCCTGTACTTGTGTGTCTGTGTGTGTGCACGGGAGTGTGTGTCAGGAGTCGACAGAAGTAACATGTGGGCCCAATTAGAAAGTTGCCGCTTGTCCTGTGCTCCTTTCAACTGGCAGAAATTTCAGACACAAAAAGTGCACTTTTGCGACGGTACCAATAAAAACTGCATCGCCCTTCGACTCCTCTGCAAAGCTTTTGTTAGTTTATGAGTTTGTTTTACGCTTTGACATCTTTATACAGTTATTCAAGAGTTTATAAACTGATACGGTTTAGAATTGCATTAAAAAAAAAAAAGGCTCAAGCTGTCAAAAACCACGACTGCCACACAGGTCCAAGCCGTAGTATTAGTTTACTCCACGTTCATCCTGCCAAACAAACACTTGCCCAAACTTCCTGAGGAATAACAGGTGTTGGGTCTTTCAGCGAAGTCTCCCCCTTGAATCAAACATGAATAATGTTGGAAAACATTTTGCTGTTCAACAATCCCGCACAGAATGTGAAATGTTGACACGTTCACACCCGTCTTCGCACGGACGCTTTTCACCGACTCCCATTCAACTCTGCGTGTGAAAGGACAACCGCTACCACCCTGCTGCTGCGGGGAGAGAAAGTCTGGATGAGAGAATCATTCAAGGAGCCGGGGCGGTTCTTATGAATGGAATTCTATACAACGCGGGGGACCTTCAATTAAGGAGCTGGGCGGTCCAGTGATCGTGCTTAATAACCCATTCAAATGAACACAACAAGGACTCGCTAACTAGCCTGACACACAGAGAGAAAGGCAGCAAACATAAGGTGTTGCTCTGAGGGTCCAAGCAGACCTCGCCGGGAGCGGACTCCCCACTGGCCAACTGCTGGTCCGTTCTCAAAAGGCTCGCCGACCCCGACCCGGCCTCTGCCGACACTGTGGCTGTTCAGGATGGCCTGATGGAAATAATGGACGACGAGGAAGTCCAAAAGAAATGATATTAATACAACATTGATCATTTTTTAGTACAGTAGTTCAAATCAGACCCGGGAGCAGTTTCAGGAAACACGAAGCGGAGAGAAGCCCCTCATATCTAGAAAGGGATCAGCGAGTGTCTGGCTGCCGTTCAGCTTAATGTGCAGTTGCAGTGCTCCGCTCAGAGGATCTCGACACTCTCATGAAGATGCCGAGAGTCACCAATGCAAAACAGAAAAGGGAAGAAAAAAAAAAAAAAACATGCATTAAACTCTTATAATGAGGAGTTACCAAAGCACAGAACCAAGCACTGAAGCGCCTACACGCTTTGTGCACTGAAGCAATGACAGAGACTCTCGATCGAAGAAGTATGAATGAAAGAGCAGCTCTTCCGCATGCGGGAAGCTTCCCTGTACGCTCCCCTCTGCCGATCTCCTCCGAGTGGGCCGGGGGCAACACCCAGTGCTAACGTGCCAGGGGACGATTTCTGGAGTCTAAATAAGAGCTAAAAAAAAAAAAAAAACAGCCTCCACATCTGGGAGAGAAGGAAGACCGGTAAACACTGTAAACAAGGGGGCCTGCCCACAGAGGCCGTGTTTCCACCTAATGATGATTGTCCTGGATTTCTGCAACGCTGCCTGTCGCACTCACTCACTGTGCTCTCGCTCAAAAGTTACACGCGCACTTTGTGCGCGGAAAAGGCCTACAGCCATACAGGAAGGAGGGCTGCTTTTAAAAAACGCGTGTTTGTAAATATGCGCATGTGTGTGATGCGTTACTATCTCCAGCACTGAACGTTGCTCTGGTCACAAACCCTGCACGCAACCAAAGGACTGCTACTGGACTAGAGCCGGTGTGAACTGTGTAAATGCACAGCCGGGAAGCCAAGCTGCACTCTGCAGAGGCATAATCTGGAACTAGGGGACTCCCTGCTGGTGACAGAGAACGAGAGCAAAGACGGGTCTTTGACACGACACACAGGGTCTGTGAGACGATCAGAACATTCAGCTGGTGGGTCTATTGAAATTAAATCTTGAAATATGCCACCTGAAGAGGCCAATTCATTGTCTTGGGTTGTTTCTGGATGTTACTGCAGAGAATATCCCCCCCCCTCCCCCCATTTCCTGGTAGCAGCATCCGTTATTTACACGTGGTAACAGCACACATGGGTACAGCATTGCATATAATTACCTCTAGGCTCCATTTTACAGATGACGTCAGTATGGTTTAGGTTCACAGTATTTACAATACTTATACAGCTACAATCTAAAATTAGATACAGCCACTCTTTGACACTCACCCGTCATTGGAGCACGTCATGAACTCCTCTTTCATCTTGGGATGCCAGCAGCCACTGTTAAGCATAGCCGTGTGACCCTAAACAAAAGAGAACATGGTGGAAATGAACAAAGACAAAACAGCCGCCGTGCCTTTGAGGAGAAACGTGGTTTACACTCCGCAGTTGGCAAATTGAAATTCAAAGCTTGAGTCACTGCTTCAAAACTCATGTGAAACTGCTGCAACAGTTGGTACGCAGGGAGAGCTCGAGGAAACATGGGGGGGGGGTGAAACGTGTCAAGGACGAACCAACAAAGGTGAATTTGAGGGGACGGATTGTGCAGTGAACACAACTTATGTGCAGAGACGGCTGTTGTTCCACGCTAAAAAGGTCACCGGTTAATCACGTTTGTTTGTTTGTTGTGACGATTGCATTTACAGAGTTGTTTTAGTGTAAACTTTGTGGCAACGACGAGGCCTGTAACCAAGGAGACGCAGTCGTCTGGCACGCAGACGAGAGTCCCCCGGTACGCACCAATCACGCCGCCCGATCCGACTGCACCTCGAGGGGCCCTCTCTCCGGGTGAAGCGCTCTCCTGCGACAAATTAGCCGGTGGACTCTGAGTGGACACGTCTTCAGCAGTAACTGTGGGACGTTTCCTTCCGCTGGAATCGTCCTGCGGTGAACGACTCGTAACAACAAGAAAAGAAAAAAAAAGCGGGATCACGTGGAGAGCCGCTAAGAGGCTTCACACATGACCTGCTGCTGCTTGACAGGAGACCCGAGAGGAGCAGAACAGGCGCGCGAAGCAGAGGTCGAGCGAGGCGCCCTCGGTACGCGTGCATCCGGAGGAGAGGCCTGCTCAGCGTCAAATACTCTAAAACACACCGCTTTGATGAATCGCTAAACGGCTTACTGCCTCCGACCCGCTGTTTTTAACGACAAAAAAAAAAAAAAAAAAAAAGGATGACAAACCGTTAAGTTGTCCAATTTTACGGTGAATAAACACCTTCACTGCATGATGAGGTTACAGCTCAAATGGGCTGTGAATGATTGCTTCCCCGCTCGGTGCAATGACATCAAAGTGGAGAGAATTGGGCATTACGGGAGGTTCAGGATCGGGCCGAAGGAGACGCTGCCTTCCTAAACAGATCGCATTTCCCTTCCTCAATAGTTTAGGACAACAAATTGCCAATGACTAAAGAGACACAGATTGATGGTCGTACTAACAGCAAACAAGAAAACAGAGCGGGTTAATGACAAACAGCACCGAGGACAGAAGCCTCGCTGATAACAACGAGGGGTCGTTTCCAGTCGGGTTTCATTGCAGCCGCATTAAGGAACAGGTCTCTGTACCCGTTTGGATGCTTTTGGTTTAGGATTTGTTCCTTTGTTGTAAAATTAAAGTGGAAAGTGAAATCAATAGATCAGCTTTCAGGTGATTTTTGCTAATGATCCAAGAATGTCTTTCTCGAGCTAAGATTTGCTCCTTTAATACGTTTTTCTCGGGGGGGTTTTAGGGCTGTCGCATAGAGAAACCCATCAGTTAGAAGATTTAACAACATAGGAAACTGGGCTATATTAAATGAAACATAGAAAACCGCTACGCAGCATGTGGACATTGGCCCCGGTGCCGCAGATCTCTCGGGAGCAAGAGGAATGAGGTACAAGGCAAGAAACAATCAGTCAATGGAGTAGGAGCGAAGCCTTCATTATCACATGAGACACGGCTAATGGACTGGGACGTCTGCGGCGGGCCCAAGCCCAGTTCTGTTGAATCAAACTCTCCCCTCGGCTCCAGATGGGACTGAGCAGGACAAGAATGTAGGATGTCCAAATGCACCGCAGCTGGCACAGATGGTTAGTGACCACCAATGGGGCTTTCTTAAAACACAGCTAAAACCAAAGCACGGACGATTAATCAGGATGCTCTTTTGTAGAGGCAGGTACAAGCATGAGATGAACCACGACATCCCCCCCCAATCCCCCCCCCCCGAGGTTGCTACAAAACACAAGCAGACTGGCTCTTGGCTTCAGCTTGCTACCATTACGCGTTGGCGGCGTCCACTCGCTGAACATCACAGCAGAGCGAGCATCCCGCCGGGGTTTAGAATTGGCGGCCGCTTCAATGAGAGGGAAAAGCATGAACGCGACATATCTTTAGTGTCCATGATGATAATGTATCAAAACGTGACTGGAATGTGGGGTCACTCGAGGGCACAAATCCACAGCTCCTCTCAGCTTTAAAGAGTTTTATTGTTTAGCTTGTCGTTAAGCAGTCGGGCCTACAAACAAACTTTCGGGTGCCACCGCCCTCGTAGCGTCGTTTGATAGGTCCACTTAAAACCCGATGTCAGCGTCACCCAAGCGGCCCACACGTCTGTTTTGGCCGTTTTTAAGATTCATTGCAGTGTATTACCATTTGTGTCAATTTATTATCAGTTATTAAGGCAGGAGAACTGGTGACGTTTTGGAACTTCCCAAATTGTCTAAAAACAAGTATGAAAAGGGAAAGAAACATGTTGTTCGATAATCAAACAGATCATAGACTTCAGACCACGTTGATGTGATATCCGATTTCAGCAAATAACTAGGTGATTAAAATATAACTACGTGAAACGATGGCAAACGCCACAAAAACAGGCCGCAGACGATACGCGAACATCACTCTACCTTGGTTTTGGCCATATCCACAATGTACTGGTCTCCCTTCACGCACTCCATGACGTTGAAGCCATCGCGGTCCAACACCTTCGCCTGTGCATTGCCAGAAACCACCAGGATGACATCACCAGTGATGCTGTACTGCAGGGATGTGATCTGATGGCTTAGGACACACGGACACACAAATGAAGAGGAACGCCGAGGAAAAGAAGGTACTTTTTGTTTGCATTTCTGTGGTGCTAAGTTCTGATAAGTGTCTTGGTGCATGTTTGCAAAGCATCTGTGAGCTCTCAGTTTACAACATTTATATATACAAGACGCTTTTTCATCCTTCAAAGGGTTTGGGGAAAGTGTAGCTATAGGAACGAAAACAACACAACAGCCGATTTGCACGTGAGAAAATGTTCTTTGACCTGCCACATGCACACACACACACACGCACACGCACGCACACACACACACACGCACACGCACACACACACACACACACACACATCAAAAACTGAAGAGAATGATGACACAGGCTCATGTTTATGTTATACACAGACATCCTAATGAAACGCACGGAGGGAAAATAGACATAACACAACAAAATAAATAAGATAAAAATGTTTGTGTTTACACTGAATAACAAGTACACATGTGGCCTTCTATAATACACAACAACACACAATAGAAGAGACAACTATGTGGACTACTTAAGAGCGAGATTAGCAATTCAGGTCAGTAGCCAATAGCATTAACACAACAGGGGGTATATACGGGGCACCGACATTTCAATACACAGAGCAAAAAAGTTCCATTGCTGTAATGAAAGTGAGGATAACACCCCTGTTGTTTTAAAGTTGAGGGCTTTGGCGTCCTCGAACGCTCACATAGCACCAAATCCTCATTTTCCGCGCTGTTTTAGTTTGACTGAGCTTCCGGGTCGGCTTTTTGGGTCAGGGAAGGGGAACAGTTGGACCTCGGCAGCCCAGCTCTCTACATGAAGCCCAGCATGTTAGTAAACCAAACAGGCTACTGGATCACATTGTAATCAAATTAAATGTAGCGTACATTTCAGTTAACAAGGGAAGGTCTGCTCCGGGGCAGCCGCCCGGTTCACAAAGCCCAAAAAGAATTTGATCCTTGATGATGGTCCCTGGTGAATCACAGAATAAACGCATGCAGACACACAAACACCCACAACATCTCCACCATCTGCCCCTGAAAGGCTCATTTTGAACGAAAGGAGAGGACATGAGGCTCAATGAAGCTGAACAAGCGTGTTTATGTATGCGTGTACACTTTGGCACACATAAATGCAGCGAGGGGACTGGATGTTTGCGTGAAACTAATTAAGCAAATGTTAAGCAACTGTGTTGATGTTCCACTGTGTGTTCTCAGAAGTGGACTCACCACTCACAGGGCTGGATGGATCTGAAGGCCTGCAGAGCCTGGTCCATCCCGGCGAAATCCCAGAAACGCACATCATAATCCAACCCGCCAGTCACCAGACGGGCTCCAGATGGGTCCAAGGCCAGAGCCGACACCTGAGGAGACAATCGACGCGCTTGAAACCGACAGGCGATCAGGTGGGCAAGATTCAGAGGCCAACCAAGTGTTACAGGTTGCTCCCACTGCTAGAGATGTTGACAGTGTGGTCATACTGCCTCCTCTAAAGTAAGCAAAGTATAAACAGAAGTCAAATATTTAAAGTTTATTCTTGTGTAATGATGGAATTATTCAGATCTCAAAAGTTTTGGAACAGCAATGAGCACTAGATCTGGATGCCAGAGCGTCTCTACATTGAAGACGTGGAGGGATAGAATATTTTGGTTTTGTTACTGCCAAAAATATCATGGGGAACAGATTTCTGCCGCTCTTGTTGCTACAATTCCGCAGAGTTAAGGAACTTTGGTGGGAAAATCCAAAAGCTGCTGCCAATCTCCAGATGTATTAGAAGGTGCTTAGTGTAAGTTGAATGTGGCATCCCTACAGTCATCATAATTCAGCCACATAATCACCGAGTGCTGAAAGAAGAGGGCCTTACTATCTTGGTGCCGTGCTGCAGGGTGATCTCATGAGAGTCTGGAATCTTCTTTACTGGATTCTAGGAAGGAAAGTTGAGTAGAAGTAAACAGTCAAGACTGAAGAAGGCTGAAGTAGGTGTGCAGTTGTTTTCATTTCATACCAAGATTCAACCACACGTGATATTTACACTTTAGGAGGTTGACAACTAATAGAGTCTGCAGCCACAGCAATAGTCGGTAGGTGACAGACTGGGAAAAGTTTGGGAAGTAAAAAGGTTGATATCTGAGCAATTCACTCATAACTTGAGACATTTACTCTATGTGACAATGTGAGTGTAAATAGATATATAAAATACTCTTCATTCCAATATTACGCCATATTTTGAGTTTAAAAGAAGAGTGATCAGGTGACACTTTAGTGCAAGAACTACAACTGACTAATATGATTGTGCTGCCATCTAGTGGTGGAAGTTCAAAAGCACCCCACAAAACAGAATAAACAGGTGCCCTTATGGTCCTTTTACCCTAAAGACAATTTGACATATCACAGTATAAAAGCACAGTGACATGGAATAAAAAGGTGCAAATATAATGATTCCATTTAACTGCTTTGGATCCAGAATCTTCTATTGTGTATGATTTCCTTCCATCAGAGTTACGGATACATTTGCATAAAACTGAGCAATAGTAAGTAAGTAGTAGTAGTAAAGTAATATGTTAGTAACAACTTTGATTGTCCATCATTCGTTGCATTGCAGAATGAATACAAATGCAATGACATTGGGGTAGTGTAACCTCCAATAAGGGTTACTGCTAAGTGGGTTATTTCCAACATACATCATCGTCGTCATCTTGTGCCTCCCCTTCATCATCTTCATCATCGTCGTCACTGTGAGCTGTGGTGCCTGATGCATGAGTCAGTGACCCAAGCTCATCATCACCGCCCTGGGAGGTGTGTTGCGGAGGAAGTGGGGGCCCAATAAGCTCGGAATCTGAGTCGGAGTCTGAACCACTGTCACTGCTGCTCCCTCCACTCTCTTTTCTAAGATAGGACAAAAAAAGACAACATAATTGTATGCATGACATAACGATATGTAACTAACTCCTGAATCAGCGATGGAATAACTAAAATAAATAATAAATATGAAACAGTCAAACTACAAATCCGTGGTTACCTGGCAGTAGCAGCCGTAGCTTTGTTTCTTGGAGCAGGAACTGATGACTTAGCCGATTGGGAGCTTTCACCTTGCTGCTCCATATGATCATCCTTCTGCCGCCCCTCTAAGGAAGTAACAATTACAATACCACGTTACACACATTGTGGAGACAAAACAAACAGTTTGTTGCGTTGGTAAACTTACCCAATACAAGCTGACTCCTCTCAATCGCTGTTCGACGGGTCTGTTCAAAAATGGCTTCCAGGTCAAACGTCCGGGCTTTCTTACCTTGATGAAGCAAAGAAAGCTTATCAGATCAATAACTGGCAACACATATTGTCGTTTTGTTGTGTAGGAAATAAATGATTATTGACAATTAATGTTGGACTGTACGTACCAAAACCTGAGAATCCCATAACAGATGCCATTTCTCCATCATCACTCATCTTGTCCGACGCTGCAATAACAGAAAGCACATTATTCATCATAACGTGTTAATTAATGACGAATTGTGTTTCACTTGAAAGCTCAACAAGCTCAAAAATAAAAGATGCAACTCTATTGGTTGTGTTTTCTTTGTAAGCAAAGCAACTTCAACACGTTGCTGACCAAAACGACAACATGTTATCCGTGAACAAGAAGATAAAGATATCGTCTGCTAAGCTCGAAGAATGACTTGACCGAGTAGAATATATTTAACATTGATAAGAACAAAAAATGATTTACTATTTGAAGGACAGGCAGCTTTTCTGGATATTAAAGCTATGACAAGCTAACGTCACAATTGGATTTCCACGGTATAACTAGCTAGCAAGCTAGCAAAACTAGCAATGATGCATCTTCTCACATAAGGTTACTGGTTAGCCTATAAATGTAATTTTAGTTTAAAATAACGCAGAACATTCTTGCACGTACACACAAGTCAACTGTCGGATATACAAAGCTTCGATTTGATAGGAAACTGTTGCTACCTTCATCCACTTTGTTGGGATCCATGTTTTCAAATTCGAAGATTACCTTTGACCTACGGAAGTTATTTCCTCCTCTTCTTCTTCTTCTTCTTCTACTTCCGGATGTTTCATGTGCAAATCATAACCCAGCACCGCTTCCTTCCTCGTGGAATCACACACAAGTGGACAACTTGCGTAAACTCAGTTAGCATAGTTACATAGTGGACTGTATCTCGTTATTGTATTATTATCCGAAGATCCAGTGTTAAATGAAATGCGTGCCGCTGTAAAACAACTCGTCTTACATTTAAATGTTAATGGTGGATTCAGAAATAAAAAAAAAAGTGCTTTTGTGATCCTGTGGGCAGAGCAACAATATAAATGAGAGACAGCGTTTGAATTATTAAAAACAGATGTTTAATAGTTGGTTCGAAATGAAGTACGCAAAAAAAGGCACAAACCTAAATTCAGTGCAAAAATATGCTATTATAAATTATTCGAGAAAAAGAAATTCATAACACCAAATATTGTATATTTCAGGCCTTCTCTAGCAATAAATAATGAAAATGTCATGACCTAGGTCAATGACCTAACTTATAGCGTTTAAATGCTTCTGAATTACAGTATATTCAATAGGCACATCAGGTCCTGAAAGTGCATCTACTCAAGCTCAAGGTCATCTTCAGCCACCATCCTCTCAATAGCTGCCCAGTCGATTTTGCTGAGGCTGCTGCTGGCGCTCTCAGAAAGATTGTCGAGCAAGTCCAGCGCTGACACACCGGCTCTGGCACCATCAACCTGCTCATCCAACAGTCCAGCAAAACCCTGTGGAGTGTACAGCAATGTATGAAACGGGATATGAACCCACACCATCTATTAACAAAGGTGTGTGGTGTTTAAAAAAATAATGTTACTGTCTACTGTAGTTACATTTGTCTCAGATATGAGCTCATCTGTGCTGAAAGGGATTCTTACTGTGTAAGACTCCTCCGGCTCCAGCAGTCTACTCAATTCTGAAGTGGCCCCCCGAAGGTTCACCTCTTCTCTCTCTTGCATCCTCGCATGCTCCCTTAGGATCCCTCTTTGGGCAACAGTCCAACCTGAAGGACCTTTGTTCCGCCCTGTCTCTCTCTGGCGTCCCACGTGCCGTTCCTCACTCTGGCTGGCCGTGTGCAGTTTAGTGTGGCTCTTTGTGTGCGCGAGCATGCCGCGCCGGGTCACCTGAGACAGACGGTCCCTTGGCAGGGAGGTCACTAACACAAGATTCACAAAACAAACAAATATCGGGAATTTAACATGAATGTTTTTGAGGAAAGATTGGAAATATATCTACAGTGTATTAACCGTTGAACTGCTGTTACTAACACATCATCCAAGTACGTCTTTTTCTACAGGACACCAATGTAGCTGAATATCATGACGATACCTGGTCTATGTAGTCCCAGTCTCTTGCCGAGATCCTCTGAGGGCCGTCTCTGCACCTTAACAGTCCATGCAGCAAGGTGAGGTTGAGCTGGTCCCGACTTAGGTCTTATTTCAGATTTGGCAGATTCCCTATGTGCCCTAAGACAAATACAATACCTCCATAACTTAATTGTTGTAACTTAAAAACTGTATAATTGTGCAATATTGAATGAATGATTAATGTTTTGTTCAGATGCCGGATGGATCAGAGTACAATTATTCTTTAATGAGACAAGATCGTGGTCAGATTACTGTTGCTGGAGGTACCTGTGAGTGCCACCGGAGGGTGGAGCGGAAGTGGGTCGTGTAGTTAAGGGCACCGATGAGCCTTTCGTCTGTACAGACGTACGTAGGGTTGGACGAGTGCTGGGAGAGTCCCTGACCAAAGAACAGGCTTCACGGGTCCTCTGATCGTATTGCTCCAGAAGCATCAACCTATTCAATCATATGGAAATAACAGGTATGCATATAAAAAATGCATGTTTCACGTCCAAGGACAACGTAAACGAGTACATACTTTTTCTTTTCCTCCCTGGCTCCCCAAGTAGATGCTTGATTCTTGTCTGTTGATTTCTAAAAAGGGGAAAATAATATTTACTAAAACAACATGCCATGGAATATCATTTCTAGTGAAAGGGTCAAACATATCTCACCTTTGCCCCAGAGTTAGAAAAGGGTTTGCGCTCCCTCTCCCTCAGGCTTTCTCTGTGTTTTTGATAAACAGCCAGTCCTTCCCTCTGTTTCCTTCTCATCCAGGTCCTCAGCTCTCTCCTCTCATCTTCCGGACGGACGCTTTTCTGCGACATCCAGCTACTTTCCTGCCAGTCCGGCCTGTCGTGGTTCAAATGACTCTCAGTTTACTCTCAGTGACAAATAACACTCCTTTGGGCAGCAGTACATTTTAGTATGTTCCTTACCTGCTGTGGTTTGCAGTGTGTGAATTGGACAGATCCAGATCAGTCAGGGATAAATAACCTTCCCTAATCAAGTCGTCTAACATTTCTGCAGTATCGGATAGCTCAGGCTGACCCGGATTCTCATCTTCCCAGCTAGAGATGGACAGGTAGACAGCCGGGGTTTTGTCAAATAGAAGACACAAACTACACAACACACAATATGAGTCGTAAAATGGTTAAGAAATACTTAAACCTACACAGAAGATGTTCCAGGTGTGTCAGTCAGATGATTTTTCACTTCTGTGGAAGCAACACAGATGAATGTAATATACATATATATATATATATTAAACTTTATAAACATAAAACATTATAATTTGTAATATACATATATATGTATATATTCATAAACTAAAGTACACCTGTTTGCTACTATCCAAGGCACTTATTTTAGGTGGTAACAATTCTTAGAAAATATTGGATTAAAATAAAATAGCATCTTAGCAATAAAAATTGGATTAAATAGCATCTTTACTTGGAGGGAGGTGAAGGTAGGAGGGACCAGCGATGTGACTGTAAGAAGAGGTAGAATAAGGAAACGATGGCTTCTTTTTGTACGCCCAGCAATCATTGTGAAGAACACTTTCTTCTTCTTCCTGATCTTCTTCTTCTTCCAAGGCATTTAGTTCAGTCAACGTGTCCAGTCGTGGTAACCATGCTGTTAAGGACAGATGATATACAACAAACTCTGTTTTCTTGTTTCTGGAGTTGAAGGACTTAGAATGCAGCTTTTGAGATGAATTGTTTTAGGTTTTACCTTCCTGCGGGACAGACACTCTAACGCTTTTTTTAACTGCCTTTGTCGTCTTCACCTCAGGAGCCGAGGCTGGCGTGAGCTTTTCAATCGTGTTCACCAGCTACACAAAGAACGACATATTACATACATATGTCAGCCTTTGATGAGGACGTGTCATTCGTAAAATAACCAAGAGAAATAGTGAAAAACATCATGCTTTCATACCATCCTGGATTTGGAGAAGTCCATCTCAAGGTTGTCCGCAATGTCCTGTAGAGCGGCCAACTGAGCGTCCAGCTCCAACATGCGGGAGGAGAACCAGACGGTAGGAGGTGTGGACGAGGCCCTTTGAGGTCCAACGCTCTGGGTCTTTATGGCACGAAAGATTTCAGAGTCATATCGCTCTACCGTCTCTTGTTGAATGACCCCTTGTTGGTACCCGTTGGGCTCAATGTCACCGAGGGACGGCGACTCCTCGGGGATATCTAGAGTGTACAGAACGACAAATATTTAGTGTATAATATTCGCTTCACTGATGGTACTCAAAGACATATCTGCGTTAGACTCTATACACAATATGAAGATCTAGAAATACCTTTGTGTGACGTCCAGTCAGGATCCTCTTGAATTGTGACTGCGGGTTGTGGATCAGCAGCAGCACCACTCCTTATAACAGAAGTAGCAAGTAAATGCAACTGAGCAGAAGTAGGAGAAGCAGGGCGGGTGGAGGGAACATTCTGTACTAAGTCCTGATGCAGGGCTTCGTCTTCTAGATCCAAGACACTTATGAACTGCCGTCCATCAGGACCCTGAGAGACAAAGACATAAATGTATGGAGACCATGGAGATCAGTTTGTGCCTATCACAAACAGAATAGTACAATCCTTGAAGTAAGTAATCTTACCAGAGTCATCTCTTGCTTTTGTGGGGCCTCCTCTGTGTCTTGAACAAGGCCCTCGCTGCAAAATCCCCGATTCCCTGAGCGTTGTGCTTGTTGGAGAAAACAAACGCACACACAAAGACATAATGTAATACATGTAGAAAGCAGTATGTCGTCCTTGTAACCAGAACCTCAACTCACATTTAGGATTACTAGCATCCACAAAGGCCGACACAGCTTTATCCACAAGTGTGGGAGGACAAGCTGAAAGAAAAATCATTAAAATGTTACATGCGCAGCCTGGGCACGACAGAGAAATTGAAAGTATAGAATTATTTTTAATTGATCCAAAAAATAAAAGTATAAAAAAATAACATAAAAGCATTCTAATTCAATTACGCGTGAAAGCAACAACTGTGTAATTACAAGCAACACTTGGTAACCCAAGCTACAACTCACCCGGGTCCGTGTTGGTGAAAGCATCTTGGCACTCTGGAGGCCTTTTACACGTAGAAGCAAAGGCGTGGAGCTCAGCTGAAGTGGATGTAGCCTGATCCAATAATCTCTGACCAGTCAGCAAAGAATCAAAGGACCCTGGAGGTCAAGAAAAAACACCAACAGATAAATAGAACTGAAAACATAACATTAGAATGTTCCAAAGTTCAAAATATTAGTTTATTTGTGAAATATGTATTTTGACACTTACCAAATTGAGCAAAATTAGCAACATCTTGTCCGGGGCGGATCTCTTCAGCTGCTGCGGGCTCTTCGTGTGCGGGTTCATTTGTTGGCTGTTGAGGTATATTGGAACAAACCTATGATAGGAGAATTGTACTCAAACATTGGTAGAAGCAAAGCAAATACTTCTTACAAGAAGGAATATTGTTCTACCTCTTGATTAGGAATGATAGATTCATTTGGTCTGAATGAGACCTGTGGTTTTCTTCTCACCCTCCCTGCCTTCTCCTCTCTCCTCTTCTGCCTACAAATAACACCGTGAGCAGAGCGAGTCCAATGATCTACTTTGAAAAAAGAAAATCAATAACATGTAAACTAACTGTTTTTTTTTTACCTCATGCAGGAGATGGGCGAGGCGGTGGCTCTTCTGGTGCTTTCAGTACCACGGTCTACTCTGAGCAACCCCAGTTGAGCCTTTTCAGCGTCCTCCCTCCGTCCCACTAAGCTGCTCAATTCCTCCATGGACATGAGACGGCTCATTTGGGCCGAAGGAGCCGCTTTGGGAAACATCTGCGGCAGAGGCGGATCACCGTACATAAACTACAATGCAACATTTCAGGCCGGCCAATGTAAAAGTGAAACAAGTGTTACCGTTTCTCGTCCAGCATCTATGTGTAGAAGCTTGATCATACGCGCCTCGCCCATCGGAACTGTGATCTTCGGAGGGGACCAGGAGGACGTTGGTAAGGGCAGCTTGGGGAACGTGGTTTCGCCGCGTGGAACCGGCTGCCAGTGCAGCAGACGAAGGCCCTGCATTGGTTCAGGTGGCTGAGCTGGTGAAGCGGGGGGAAGCAGGGAGAAGCCTTGCCCTCTGGATCTCTCCCATGTGTCACTCTTGGGTTGGGAGTGCCTTGGGCTGGGAGTTGGATCATCCGGGGCTTTAAGACCGAGTTGCCCTTTTAGAACCGAGCTGGATTGGTCTTTGTGTTTAGGCTTGTGCTGATGGGACCCGCCGGTCGCAGCGTCACTTTGTTTGATGTTATTAGGAGGTAGTAAAACAAGGACCTTCTGAGCAGGATGACTGGCGTGAGTAGTGGTCAGAAGCCCCTGAGAGGGTGCGATTAACCTCTCGTTCTCCCTGAAGTGGGTTTGCGGTGACATCGCCTGGACAGACAGTGGCTGCATTTCCTAAAGAACAAATGATATTAGCTTTAGTTATGGTTTGTAGAAGCGTATTGTGTCATGAAACATGAAAAGAACACTTGAGCCATACCTGATGACTGGCACTTGCACCATTAGCGGCGGGGGGAAGATTCCTGGTGGTGTGATGCCGGCTGCCTGTTGGAGAGATGTTCCCTGAGCTCTGAAAGGCAGACTGGTCAACGGTCGCATGTGCAGCGGCCGGACTGGACTGAGGGTCGAATCTTGAATTTGGCAAAGATGCTCGTGTCTGAGGTGGCACAGAAATGTTGGTTTGACCGGTGATGGGATTTGGTTGAGGGATGAATTTGGGAGCACAAGAGGATGGCGCATCCGGGTGTGATGTGTTCATCTGAGACTGGGCCAAAGAAGAGCTCTGCTGGGCCAGTTGCAGGTTAGAAAACGAAGCTCCCAAAACCTCCGTCAGGCTCATGTAGTTGATATGCTGTAATGAAGGAAAACAAAAAACACATAAGAGTTGGGTGAGACAATGGCTTTCCTTTTGAGGATTCTGTTCTTACCTGAACCAGTCTGAATAAGTCCTCCCCCAGACGCTGTCGCATCGGCACAGTCTGATTGGATGACGGCTGACTAGGATCCACACCGGCTTCGGAGCTTTGTGGGGGGAGGTTTGGAGGAGCCCCGTGCGCGTTGGCGAGCATCACTCCAATCGAAGCGAAGGGATCTGCATGGACTTCTGCCTCGGGCTGGACAGCAGGGGAAGCTTGGGGCTCCGGGTCCGGGGGGGCTTGTAGGCGTTCAGCGTGAATGTGGCTTAAACGACAAAGCAGGCATTTTATACACCCACGGCAACAACGATTCTGTATGTTTCAGGTTGAGGTTTCACCACCACTGTGTTTGTGTAAAATAAATCTCAGCAGGAATTCTGCTATATTTTGGATTTATTCATTGTAAGGGGTGGTGATGAAGAATTTCAGACAACTACAAGAATTACATTATTTAACAAAAATAATGATGCAATACTGCGAAAACCTCTGCCACAGTTTGGGCAGTTTATTTATTGTGGTAATGGCTTTCATATTTCTGTGTGTTAAAGATTATATTAAAAACTCACAGAGAGGTGCAGCTGGACATGTCTTTGTCACTTTCTGATGTGTCCAGGTCTGCAAGCTTCAAGCTCTGCACAGAAGATTGATGGCAGATATTTGTTGATGATTCATAGGAAGAATGGGAATCCTGAATGATGATATTTACCGTTTCAGGTGTGCAGATTTTCCCTTTGGTAACAGACGAGGACACTTCCAAGCCCTCACTGTCACTTCTTTTGCCTACAAATATCAAACAGGTCAATTCATCAGTCAATTCAAGGGTTTGTTTTACAGCAACTTTGATGATCCTATATGACTATACCTTCCGTTTCATGTGTTGGATCGAAGTCATCTTGAGATGTTTTTTCTGAACTGGATTCACTTTGCTGATCATCAAACGTGAATGGATCCTGGTCACTAAGGACAGGTGATCTGAGAACTGTTTGTTCCTCTGGGTCATCTGTGCGAGAACCACTGCAGGGAAACAAGTAATGCAGAAATGTTGTGGGTTATTTACAATTACAGTAAAACTGAAATCACCTCTTAACATGCAGACATTTTTGTTGATGGTGGAGCATTTTTTTTATATCCTTCGTGCCATTTCTTGTCTAATGCCTCAATGTTAATTTTACGCCAATAACAAAGCATTAAGCAGCATTAAGCATAAATAAAAACATGGCGCACTCACATGAACACCTCGCCTTGCTGCAGATTGCAATCAAGACCGATGATGGGGGTGTTGGCTGACCCGGGGTAACCTGTATCCACGCTGCTCTCTCTCTCAGCCTCGGGCTGCAGCACAGGGGCTACACTCCACTGTGTTTGTGGAACTGGGATGGGGCCACCGTTGCGGTCCGACCCGAGCAGGGCATCGTACCTGCGCTCCAGCAGACGGAGGGAAGTCAAGACGGCGGGCGCCGAGGCTTTGACACGGATCACTACTCCTTCGTCGGCTCGCCCTCCTGCCCTCTCTTTCTTCTTTTTACCGTGATGTCCTAGCAGCGCCCTCCTATCCGCCCAGCGTACCATCCACTCCAGCAGCCTGGCCAGCTCTGGAAACTGCGCTTCTAGTTTAGGGTCCAATCCCTGCTGTGGTTCCATCACGGCCTCCACAGAGGTAGAGGGGCTGAACATGTATTTCTCTGAGGGCTGCCCTGTTGCAAAGGCACTTCTACTAAGGCTGCTTTCTGACAGCACAATCTCGCCCTCCTTTCTTTGCCCCAAAAGCCTCTGCTGTCGGAGGCCAAACAAACCTTTCTGCCTGCCGGTTCTCAGCCCAGGCAGAGAGGTGACGGAGAGGCTAGTTCTGGATACGGGGGCTTCACTACAGACAGAGGAAGCCGGCAGATCGGGGGTCGCAACTTGTTTCACGGACTTGTAGCAGCAGCCGGCTCTGAACACTGGAGGATCATTTCCTGGGTGTTTTTTCGCATGATGGTGCACGTCCCTTTGCCGGCGATGAATAGTTGTGAGCACATCGAAAGTGAGGGAATGCAACTCCCTCTCCCTCAGCCGGGAGGAGAAGCCCTTCAACAACGGAAGTTCGCTGCCTGCGTCGCCTCCATCCGTGCTATCCTTCTCTAGCACGTAGCTGAGGAAGAGCTCCAGGAAATTGAGATACTCCTCATCTTCCAGCTCAAACTCCCAGCTACCGACCACGGGTAGGCAGGGCCGCTCATTCCCCTCTGCATGGCCTGGCTGGCTCTCCTCCTCAATGACGCTTTCAATCTTAACAGCAGTCTTCTTTGCATGTTCCCTGATCCTTACTTTTGCTTTTTTGCCCCTGCAAAGAACAACACAACGCGAGCCACAAATTAGACAGAAAACACCCGAGCGTGATGCTAGATGCACTTTCCTACGCCGGTTACCTTGTTGTGACTCTTCCATGCAAGTCAGGAGAGGTAGCCTCAGATGTGTTATCCACGGTGTCTGCGTCACTGTGCACCGGGGGAAACCCATGGTCAGTTAAAGTGCTGGTGCTCAGACTTGTACCTAGTGAGAGTTGTCTCAACACGGCCGCCCCGTGTTTGCTCCCCTTGTCATCCGGCTCCTCCTCTTTCTCCCACAGATGGAGCTCGGGAGGGGCCAGGTGTCTCTTCAAACGTCCTAGATGCTTTCTCCTCAATCTGAATTTGTCTTGGATGACAATCATCATCAATTCGTTCACCTCCCCTTTTTCGCCTTCTAGGAAACAGACGAGATACAATCGGGTGCCATCTATAAATACATCATATATGTTAAGAAGGTCATTATAAGATTGTAAGCAAAAGACATGGATGAAGAGAAGTTTTAAGAAAATACATTAAAAAGAACTGTTTTCCTCTATAGAACTTCAAAGCAACTTGCTAACAGACAGAGGATTTCATACCAAGGACATTGCATCCCCTAAGTTTCTGCAGCAGTGAGTTATACTTTTCTCTTAGAGGGACTCTGACGGACTCTTCCTCCTCTGGGAAGGTTCGCACCAGCGCGTCTGCCACCTGAGAAGAACAAGCCGGGATGAGAAACATACTCCTTCAAGATCAGTTGGTTTTCCTTTGATTAACACTGATGTATGTAGGAGAGGGTCACATTACCAGAGAGAGAGGAGGAAGTTCAGACACAAGGCTGAGCAGGACGTCCTGGAGGATCTCCTCAGCATTGAGAAAGCAAGAGAAAGGCAAGAATCTGCAGGCCCAGCGGAGAGCATCAACACAGGTCGATCTCACTTCTGAACCAATGATCTGACGGATACAAATACACCCAGATATTTATAGGGTATACTGTACATACTTAGGAGTATTTAAACATAAGCATGTCTTAAAAATCAAACAAATTACCTGTTCATCTCTCTCCTGCTGTCTGGCAGCCTGATACTTTCTGCAGGAAATAGAGAGCTGGTCCCTGACATGAAGCATCCAGCACAAAGCACACAGCTCCCTGAAACAGACTAAAGGGAGAAATAAACGCAATCTGATTAGATAGCGGATCCATGATTATGATGTCGGCCGTTCTCTAAGAGAGATGTCTTACTGATCGTTTGAATGGTGTCAGGGTCCAGGCGACCGTCGTTATTCGGCCCCCGTCTGAAGAATCCACCTCGGCTGACAAACCTCATCAGGCCCTCTGGAAAATCTTTTTCTTCTTCTGCTGCTGATGGATAGGCGTATTTCTTCTTGATCTGAACACAAAACCACATATTCCTTCTATATGTCAGGGCACTTCATGCCACGGTGAATGCAGAATGTCAGCTACGTCAGCCACACTTTTGAAACCACAAAATAATCCGTGGGTCCTAGAAAGCACCTTGTGTAGTATGTGTCTGGCGCGGCGTAGATGGCCGATGTACCACTGGGCAGCCGGATGGCAGCAACGTGCAGACCTCAGAAGTAACAGCAATCTTTGGAGAACCCCAGACACTCTGTGACGCGATGCAACTTCCACAAACTGCCCCGTCGTCCCTATTGGGTCCTGAGCATCAGACAAATACAACGTTTCACGTCACAAGTTTAGATGTAAACGCACTGTGCTGTACAGTGAAGTTCGTCTTCTATGGAGCGCACCAGTGTGTTGGGGGAAGGCTGGGGGCAGTAAAGAGGAGGGGAAGGCAGATACAGTCCGGTTGGCACCAAGAACGGCAGGCAAGCACAGAGGTCTTTGACTGTGTCAAGCAAGGAAGCCATTGGTGAAGACATAACATTCACTCCCGCCATGACCGAGGCCTTCAGAATCTCATGGATGGAAATCTGTAACAATTCCCGGTCTTCTCCCTCCAAAGGGTCTAGTACAAGAAAAGCACAAGAAAAAAAAAGCACAGATTATAATTAAAGGGATCTATGCGTGTTGTGGTCAATTTATGGTCGAGATCTCACCAACCTATAAAGCTTTTGTCACCTTCTTTATCGCTGCGCTCTTGGAAGTCGGACTTATTGCCAAGAAGACTCTCCAGCTCCACCTCAAAAATACTCTCCGGTTCTAAAGTCGCTGGGAGGTGGAGCTCTCTCCTCCTGAGCCTGTCACAAATTACGTCATTGAGATGTTAATGGAAACAAACATGCTGAAAGTTTGAAATTGAACTAAACTCATTTGAATAAATAAGGACATGATTTACTAGTTGATTACACCGTATGCGTTCCCACTGACCGAGTAAAGTCAAAGTGATCGCTGCAGAAACTTGTATAGGCCAGGCTGAGAGAGGCCGCTGCCTTCCAGTCACCCAGATGATAAGCCAACCACACAGTCTCAGGAAGCAGGCCTCCTAGCAGGAGCAGGTCCTGGGCGTATTCCACTGTCCATACTTCGGACAGCTGCTGTTGTCGCACTGCTCTAGACACCTCCTCCTGGCACAGTGGCACCAAGCGTCCAACACGAGGGGCTGAGAAAGAGCGCATCACCAAATGGCAACACAAACGAAGAAATGACCTGTTGAACAGACAAATAATCATGGAAACACACCCTCGGGTAGATGTAGCGGAGGCAGGACGGCCACATGGTGAGGGGGCAGGATGTAGACGGGTCGGTTGGTGAAATAGGAGGCCATGAATCTCCCCAGGGTCTGAACCACCGCAAAAGCAGCGTCGCTGTGGAGGTCCATCGGCAGCCACGGGCAAGGAAAGGAGTCAGCTGCAAGGGCATATAGAGGCAGGGCTAAAACTTAGCTACAGATGATAGCCGAGGCTGTGCACGTGAGTTATTCCTACAAAATGCTATTGGTGTCAAACAAATACTCCCATTTCCCACATTTCTAATACAGAAAAATGTCTAAAAGACTGAGGACTTGTTCCCCACGGCTGACCTATTATGCTGGTCACGTTGTCCTTCTGCGGTTGAGCCCTGTGCAGGATCAGCCGGGCCATGTGGTCCCCCAGCTCTTGGCTTTCTCTCAGGCGGTACTGGGATAGCAGACTGTAGAGGAGTGCCAGACAGAGCCGTGTCTCCTTGAAGACACTACGAGCAGAGTCTAACAGAAAGACACGTGATTATCGATTCAGCCTGAATGGGAACCTGTGGTAGGCTAAAATGGAACGGGTTTTTTTTTTTTTTTTTTTTACATTTGTTGCTCTCCTCACAGATTTGTGACCGCCATACATCAGCACTGTTTGAGTACGAGCCGCAGAGGAAAAGACTTTCACCTGGGGGAGGAGAAATGAAATATTAGACAACAATTATTACTCCAATTAGAACTGTTATCATTTTACATTGGGTTTGTTTTCATTTGAACAACCCCCTTTATTTCCTGTAACGGATGCAATAACCAAAGTTAGATACACAGTCCTTCAGGTAAAGACCTTGGTAGATCAGCAGTGCAGGACCCTCTTCTAGTCTTTCTCCTGTAGCCTGCAGAGCGGTTTGGATCTGAGACATGATAACAGACAATTTTTGTTGTTCCTCCTCCCATCCATCGGCGCCTTTAAAGCTTTTCAGATCATCCGTATACTGCTGGGTGATCGTGTAGACCCACTGCCACACTTTCAGTAGTCTGTTCACAAGAGAAAAATCAAAAGACGACGATCTTAAATACCAGCCAAAACATGACACTCAATGAAAAAATGATAGGGGAATTCAACAACAAATAGCTGACGTTTTGCTCATAAACACTGACACATTAAAAGACAGAGAGACAGCTTGTACCTGCTGGATGGTCTCTGGGGAACAGGTCTGGCCTGATGCACAAAACAGGATTCCTCCTCTTTCCCGGTCTGTAACAGAGGCACGTGGTGGGAGTCGGAAGGCCAGCGCCGCGGTGGCCGGGGAAGGGACTCCTTCTCCGCAGAGGACCAGACAGTTCTTTGCTGCAGGCTGTAGGTGTTGTCAAGCGAATCAGAGACCAGCTGCAGGACGAGCAGTACTGAGGATAGACTATGAGACGATAACTGACAGTGACCAGTGTGGTGAGACTCGGGGGGAGGAGTCAGCAGGAGGCGTGTCAGCCGCTTGCTGAGCTCTACCACCAGCCCCAGGCAGCTTGGCCCATCAGTGTGAGTGCTATCCCAGGGAAGGAATGACAGGAGGGCCTTGAGGAGTTGCAGAACGCGGGTGGAACCCGGCACACTCTTTCTCTCCGAGTTCACGGAGACTGGGATCAAATGGAGTAAAGCAGCTAATCGCACCGCACAGTGGAGGGCGTGCCGCAGCAAAAGAGTTCGGCTGTCCACGCCATTTCCTAGAGACATGCCAAAAGCCCAGGCTGTCAACAGCTTAGTCTGGATTTTTCCAAGTTCACGATGAATAACCGGGGTCTTCCTCTCCGTTTGACCTGAATCCTTTTCATAATCTGGGCTAGTAACACGTGCAGTGTCAGTCTGTGTGTCCAAGGCATGGAGTGTGTCAAACATCGAGGCGAACTCCAGGCGGCCACCATCCTCCACATGAGAACCAGCAGGAGGTCCGTCCACATCAGAGTCATCCTCGAAGAACGTCTAGAAAACCGCACAAACCCACAGGTTAAAGGTTAAATTTGCAGAGGTAAATTAAGCAACTACAACAGCCCTACTATTTGACCGACTTGTACTCTTCCAAGGAGTTCCATGGTACCACCCAATGTCCCCTGATCCTGCAGGAAAAGTGGCAGAGTGGATCCATCTGTGGCTGCTGAAATGACGGAGTCTGCAGTGCTGGGCCCACGTGTCATATGGCTGCTGTCAAGGTTAAGGCAAGACAGGGACTCCAACCATGCCCTCAAATGAATCTGGAAAACAAGGAATGCCAGGAAACCATATTGTCAGGAATATTCCAACATAAAGTACACACAAAAGCCAAAGATGAGTAAGAAGTCCCTGGTCAACCACCTGGGATTTATCAAGTAGCCGACTGGCCTTCTCCAAGTCGGTGCTTGTGTCCTTTAGAAGTGTTTTCAGCGTGAGGGCAGGAGAAGGCCTATCCAGCACCCTCATGACTGTGGCCATGTAGCCATCAGACACGATGAGATACAAAAGCCGCGGATGCCAGGTCACAGAGTACCGCTGTCTCAGGACATCCCGCACGGACAAGCTAGAGCTGGACACCGAGGCCTCCGCCTTCCCTGCAGACAATGGCGCCCTGCAGAGGGAAAGAGTGGAAAACCTTTAGCACCAACATAATATCGATGCTGAAATGATTACTTGATTCATTGATTACACTTAGAAATATTGCACTATTTTGCAATTTTCATTCAGCTTCCTAGTTTATAGGTTTCTGTTACAAATAATTAATACTAATACTGCAAGCTGAATATTGTTGAGTTTTGGAAACTACAACAAAGTGATCACACCTTTGCCTTTAAGTAATGCAGGCAGTGTTTTCTTACATTTGAACGGTCAAACAATCACTCAACCAGTAATCAGCAGATACAGTACATCGATAGTAAAAGTAATTGTTACTTGCAGCTCCACATATAACAATCATTATATGTTTCACACCGGTTGTATTCTTTAATTCTCAAAAATTCTAAAAAATAGAAAGCAGGGAGGGAATTTCACTTGGCTAAAGGATTAATGGGACCACAGAAGAGACAAGAGAAATTTGAATGAAAGCATCGGCTGGATTTCTTGTAACATGAGCTAATGTCCCATTGTATGTACCGGTAAGTGACGAGGGGGTGCAGGGGTAGAAAGTGTGCAGGCCCAAAGTCCACATTGCAACCACAGCTTGTTAGAGTGATAAGACCCCCAAGACGAGTCAGCATAAGAAGGGAGCCTCTCTTCAGAACACAAGCCAGGAAAAGACTGCCGGGTGACCAACTCACACTGCCCACCCAGTAGGATCTAAAAGAGAACGTATGTTAAGTCCATTTCCAAATAAGTACACACTGGACAGCAAGATTTTAAAGTAGTTCTAATGACACATTTCAATCAGGTTATGCAACACACCCTTTGGTTGGAATCATTTTCTTGCGTCATCACATCTTAGCAGTGATAGAATTGTACAGACATGGTTGTCTACGACGGTGATGCTGAAATTATTATTGCTTCTTTGGTACATGTTATATATTGACAGTCCAGACAACGGTGTGATGTAAGTAAGTGATACACGTCCTCAAGCAGTATTTAAACAGTGTGATGAAATAGACGTTGACCCCCAGGTTTGCTGACTACTGCAGAACACCAACCACGACACGTGTTCCCAATTTTATTTATTCATATTATACCTTATGTATTTTGAGGGGATATCCAGTTTCTTACTCCCACATCCTCCTAGGCCACTTGACGTTGAGACAAAATTCTGTGTGCTCACAAAGAGGACCTGTGTGGCCTGCAATCAAGAAGAGTCATTATAAATCTTGACTTCTGGCAAAAAAGCATACAAGGATTTGAAAACGAGACCTCGAGGCCAGATGTTCACCTTGGGTTGTCTTTGGTTCAGGACAATGGCTAACAGGCACCCATCTGGAGAGAAGGCGGGCAACAAGGCCCCTCTGGACTTCACTGGTTGGCAGGGCGGGGTTAGCCGAGACATGGGGTACGTCTTAGTGGCCCACTGTATGTTGTATCCCAAAGAACTGCGAAGAGAAACGTGCACTTATAACCACTGCGATACCCAATGAAAGCCGAAACGTCTGTTTCACTGACATATTTACTCACCCCACCCTCACGGGGCCTTCTTCCCATTGGATTTTTAGGCAGGTGATGATCAGCTTCTTCTTAGATGTGAAAACAAAGGCTGATAAGCAGGCATCACCCAGCACCTATAGGAGAGTTTGGAAAAGGATCAAATAAAACATGAAATAGAGACTGTAAGGTCTGTCAAACTGTCATATCTGAAACATTACACAATCGGTATGAATAGTATACAAACCACTGTCTTGATGAAAATTGTGTGTTGGGATGCTTCCTTGTCTTGTGAGGAAGGCAGGATGGAATCTTCAAGGGGCTGTATATTTGCCCAGTGTCCTTTGACTGTGCCATCTCGTACCCCTGTCAGATCCCGGACATCCACGCACTCCCACAGGAACACTTGCCCCGTTAAAGCTACTAGGCACACGCGTGTACCGTTGTCCGAGACCTGGAGCGACAGTCGCGTAGCATTCCCTGAGAGAACATGAACACACGAATGCATTGATTGAAGGTTTTACAAATCTTTTCAATGGAATAGTTGAAATCGGGGTACTCTATGTGCCGCTCAGGTTAGAAGGAAAGAAAGAATACAAATCCCTTTAAAAACACAAATCTTCAGCCGTTGTTGTGTACAGCAAAGAATATGTATGCAAATAAAAATGCCCTCTTCTACATCTTCCAGGTAAATGTATGTTACAGGCAGAATACAATGCATGTACATAATATACAAGCAATGTGCATACCTTGAACGGCAGTAATCAGTTGAAACACTTCCGGGACTGCTGCAGCTTTCTTTAACAGGTCTTTATCCCTGTTCCACAGAAAAATCTCTCCTGAGGCCAAAAGTCCACAAAGCCAAATACCTGGAAAAGGAAAAGCAAGAAACACGTCATGCATACTTGTAATCGACAGGTGACATGGGCTTTGCTTTGAGTTCACAGATGTCACTCACCGTTGTGGGATGAAGCCATTGTGACCACACTGTTGAGCAAAGCATGGAGTTTGGGAGTCCTCTTCTTGGTGCGACCAGACGTCATGTTGATTTCACTGATGCGCCTGTCATCTAACAGGAACACAGACTCCTTCTCCTGGAGAGGGACACGACACAGGTCCACGGTGATTTCTCTCTGGCATGGTTAAAAAACGTTTTGGGATCTCTGGTCGATCTGCTTTACTGTCCTCACCTTCCCAAGCCAGCAGAACCGCGGCCATGGTTTCTTCCGTTTGATGTTGGATGACAAAACAACCTCCAGCTTTAGATCCATGTTTGAATGACAGCATCAGCTCTTCCTTTGCGTGATGCACTCAGGAGGGGTTCGTCGACATTGCAGGAACCCACTGAAAATGCGATATAGGTTAGCGTTAAATAGAACGTTAAAGGTTAAGTTAACGTTAGCTGACAAGTAAAACGTATATTTGTGGAATGTAAACACCCTGCATCGCAGCTACTACTGAATCGTTAAAAGTGTAGGTGCCATGTATTGAAAGGGTGATATTCGCTAACGCTATCCATTGTCAGAGACGACAACAACAACCATGTTATGGTCACCGTAGCGCTAACTAGCATTAGCTACTTAGCTCATTCTGTTTACTGTGTGCTTTTTATTGGCCGAAAAAGAAAGACGTACCTGCGCACTAAGTTACGTCAGCGGGTAGTGGATCGTTCAAACGATGACAACATTTGGTGACGGGAACGTTATCAGAACTGTCGTATTATCCGTGTTATACCGCGGCTAATCATGAAATATTTCGAAACTCCCTCCGCTTCAGCATCCAAAACTGTTTCCCATGATCCTCTCTGAGGAAGCTTCAATGCGTTGCCGTAGCAACGTAGACGTAAACAGCTAGTTGCCATCAGCACTCATTGAGTGTGACTTTTATATCGTATATTGTAACTATAGAGCCTGTTCTTTTAAATACAATGTGAAATTGCAGATAAATAGGCATAGATGGGATATGAAGTTAGCCCGTGAAAGACATTTTGAAGGGCTTTTATTTTGAAATGATGTCCTAACTGGAAGATTACCTTTTGAACCCTTTTAATTTGATGTGTACTGTTATTTTGAAATCATACTAATCTATATACTTGTATCCTTTATTATTATTATGTATTAGAGCAAGTATTCGCACAACTAGAATTATTATATTTCCTCGAAAAACAGTTTGCATGCTATAATTATTATAGCGGTTTTAATGACATTAACAACTACTCATGACAATAACATATCCTAGCGATTTGTTCAGTACTGCACGTACTTCGAAGCCTCAGAATATTGCTGCAAAAACCATACCTCTGCCAGCAGATGGCAACACCACAAGAGACGTTGCTGTCGGTATGTTTACCCTGCAAAGCAAAGTCTTTGGGTTCACATGAAATCCAGTTCCGACTAGAGCAGAAGAGATCACTTTGGTAGATAAACGGTGGTCGGCCAGGAGGCTTTTTGTAATTTGCCTCCGAGCTATTGCAGATATTGCTCCCCAAGGTCAATCTTCTCCGGGAAACCTGCAGGCCTATTGACTATCAGTAAGTGGTCCTCTTCAGCAGGCACATGCTTTGGGTTGAAGTAAGCTTTCTTATTGGCTTGTTACGAGGAGTTATTAGGTTTGCCCCCGGGTCCCTTCTGGTATTTAATTACCTTTGCACTATCTGCTTTTCATCACGATGAAGATGACAGCAGCCATTGCCAATAGGTGAAAGAGGAGACTTCACCGGACCTTAATTGGGTCATTTGCCACTGCCTGCCAGGCGCAGATGGAGCTCTTTATTAGCGTCACTGCCAGGTACATTCTGGTCTGATGAGAACCGTCTTAAGAGGTAGAGCTCGACATCATTTGAGGACACGATGACATGGCCAAAAGAGAAGGAAACAGTTACACATACTGTGTGCATTCTAAACCCATCTTCCCTCAACAATTTGTTTTAATTAAAAATGTACATATTATTCTCATGCTTAACTTGTTTACAGATGTTCACATTGATGAGATACTAGTAACTCTGCATGTGTGAATGGACAATGTTCATAGTAAACATGCTTTACACAGCAAAATACGACACTAGGAACACCATTTGCAACTCTCTATCTTTCTCTCTGACAGAAAACTAAATAATATTACATTTTCCTTAAATACCATCAGCAAACTGCATCGCTGAATGACATAGAACAGTTTGTAAAAACTGCAAACCCTTTAAGACTGAAGGATACCTGTAAACCACACACCTTTCTACAGCAGAAAGAAAGAAAATATGCAAGGGGTAATGCTGGTCTACTCTGTAATTACACTATAATTACTATTTATTTGACAGCTCTCTCAATAAGATGTTGTGCAGTTTGGTTAGCACCTCTGAATAATCCTTTAGTAAACGGAACTACTACACGTGTAGTTTAAAGATTTGAACATTTATTTGACTGGCAAAAATTGCATCAGTATAATGTTTGCATGATATTTCTAAAGCACATGACTGTGGACCCATTATGATAAACCATTTAGCCATTACAACGACAAGCGATCAATTAGAGAACAATAACCCATCCACGTCTTCAGTATTTAAAAAAAGAACATTAGTTGTCATAGTAACCTCATTTGCCATCTGCAGGACTAATTCATACAAAAATCACTCAGGAAGCTGTAAAGAAAACAATGTATTCTTTCTCATGACCACAGTGGGTCGGAGTATGTCTGCTTAAGTTTCCTGGTGTGCACTTAACTGTCTTTATCAGAAAAAAAAGATGTAGAGTGCAGCTTTGTGCGTTATATATTGACAAATGGGTCTTTAAAATCTGATTCAGCATCACAGGATGAAAACGCCTGAAAACAAACGTGGCCTGTTTGCTTTCTTGTTGAGAATTAGATGAGAAGATGTAATGTCATTTTTTACTCCACCGGCTTAGCTTGGCTATGGGAAGGATAAGCAGCAGTATAAAATAGTAACCAGCAGAAACGCTGTTTTCCTGAGGGGAAACTATGCAGCAGTTGCAATACAAAGTAGGAAAGTGTATAAAGTGCAAATTTAAACTAAAAAAAGGTGCGTGTGTAATAATGCAAATAAACATATTTCAAAAATGTACACAGCCAACGTTGACCGACTATTTTGAAATTGTGCCTACATGTTAATGCATCTAAAATAGTAATAAAACAACTGTTGGAGGGGACTTTAGCTGATTTACTTTTAGATCTGTCGTACGATGTGGCATCATAAACACTTCATCGGCTTCTCTGGGAAAACATCTGCTGTACAGGGGGGAAAAAGCTTTTTCTCATATTCTTCTAAAATGAAAAGCTTCTTCTCATATCGATCGGCTTGCGTTCGCGTTTCGATCGACACACGACGGTCTTTTCCCTTTAAATGTTTCCGCGAAACAGCAAGCGCGCCCACTTGGACGCGTTCAGCGTCGCGCCGGATGCCGCCTTCCCTCCCCTCCGATTGGCCGAGCCGTGGGAATATTCAAATGCGGCCTTGATTGATTGGTCCAGAGCCGGTTTCCACAGCGCGGTGGGGGGGCGGGCGGAGGGGGGAGATGGAGGGGACTCATTTCCATTCCGACATCACTCATTACCCGTCACACACACACACACACACACACAGCCCGTCCGAGCTGCCGAGATGAGACCGGGGCAAATACGCGAGAGAGAAAGAAAAAAAAAGCCCAACCGGAGGAGCGATCTTTCTGCGTGACCGCTGAATGTCGTCGCGGGAGTGCAGTGAGCGGAAGCCGGCTTCATCGATGGATGAGCCTGCACCTCCGGAGCCTTCGCGAAATCAGTGGCATCAAGATTGCTTTTGCGGAGGAAATACGCCTTCCGAGCGGGAGAACAGCCAGTCAGCCGCGGAAAACCAAAGATAAAACAAGCCTTATGATAAGACACAACTCTGTAAGCATTATGTTTCTCATTTACATGCTTAATCTTCCAATGCACTGTGTGTGTGTGTGTGTGTGTGTGTGTGTGTGTGTGTGTGTGTGTGTGTGTGTGTGTGTGTGTGTGTGTGTGTGTGTGAGAGAGAGTGTGTGTGTGGGGGTGTTACTCTAGCCGAATTGTTTTTTTTTAACTGTAACCGTGTAACTTATTGACAATAACAGAGTGAGACAAATAATCCGTGTTGGTAAAGATGATGAGAAAGTGGGGAAAGGTGGGGAAAGATGCCCGGTGCGCACTAATGGACAGGAGCGTCTCGCCCTTACTGGATGTCAGTGTGCTTCTACTGGCTAATGCGTATTTATAGGGGGCCGGGCCAACTATGAGGTTAGGCATTATGTTCCCTATGTATAAGAGTAGTTTGGTTTATTGAATGGTAGAATTAAAAACCTCCATGTGTTTAATAGTTGTATGTTAAATATTAATGCACATTTGCAACAACAATCTGTAGTTTTTCTTCTTTCTTCTGGAAACTACTGTGTTGTTGATCCAATTTGTAGTCTCATCCTTTCCATTTGGCATTTGCGCGCAGTGTAAAGGTCGCTTTATATGTCAGCATCTCGGTGGATGCGGGAAGTGCTTTGAAGTGTATTATCGGTCATTCGGAGCTGAGTCAGAAGGTTTCCATTTCTATTGTCTCGAAGCCGGAGGTGGGATCATCGCACCTCACTGCACCGGTGGCAGCCGAGGTTGAAGGTTAGACGCAGCAGAGAAGGGGGCCTATAGATTATTGGCCAGGTGTGAAATTCTACCCCGCATGCTTTTTTTTTCTTTTTCTTTTTCTGCTTGTGCCAGATCCTTTATTACCAAGAGAGATGGGATGTCACAGCCTCCCACCGGAGGCAGAGGAGGAAAGCCTGCAAGCCCCCTTCTTTTCTCCTGGCTGTTTTCTTACCAAAAGAGAAAAATACCTCAACCCCCCACCCCCCACTTGATTTATTTGCACCTTGAGGCATGGGACTCTCAGGAATAGGCTTATCTTTCCCTTCTTACGATTGCCTTTAATCATATTCAAATGGCTTTGGCTTTCCGACCAGTGTCGTAATATAATGTTTTAGTGCCATTTCCCCCTTTCGTCGTAAAGCGTATCGGCACGTATAGTCATTAGAAAAGGTCCGGCTTGGCCTGGTGACCGCTCTGTGCCGCGTGTTTTTCATGTCATATCATTTTAGACAGCACCGTTCTTCTTCAATTACAGAGTGTAATACGTAACGAGTCTTTATGACATACTCGCACTTTGGTTGTATTTGAAATGGGCTCCGCATCGACCTGCAGTTGCTCGGGAGGCTCGTAAATCGCGTCGCGTTGTAAGCAGTCAATGTGCAGGTATCCCATGAGAGAGGGAACGGGGGGGGGGGGGGGGAAAGGGGGGTTCCCTCTGATCTGGCATCACACCCCAGCAGTAATTCCGACTCGGCGAAGGGAAGGGATTTGTCATTTGGCTGCCTGCTTCCCTTTGCCTCCTCGGGAGCGAAGCTGAGCTCTGATTTATTGTGAAGTTTCCCCAGGCTCGCTCAATCTCCATGCCGACCGAATTACTGAATGGAGGAAGCGGCTCTCCACGAGAATGACCTTTTCTTGGATGACTATTACCCGGGCCGGTGCAAGGACGGATTAAGGTCATGCCTCTTTCTGCCATGTCACTAAGTACCTCATATTTAAGGCTTGTTAAGGCTACAGTGGGGGTTTTCCGTTGTGGATTATGGAACCAACCTCTGTTTCGTAGAAATAACGTCTAAAGGCTTGGATGCTTCGCAGTTTGCCTCGTACGCCCTTTTATAATCACCTTTTTATCTGCTGAAAGATGTCATGTGTAATTACGGGCAGCCTACCGTCTCCTGAAATCTGTCTAATTGGTCTTTTCAGTCTAATGGGATGAAGGGGGAGCGGGACGGGGGTTAAGGGTGGGAGGTTAAGGACTGGGCCTCCGAGGTCATTGGGGAGGGGACAAGTTTATTCGGAGCTCCGGTCATCTCTGTTTTGTCTACATGACGGCACTCAGTCATTACTTTAAGTTAATGATTAAGCCTTCCAAATTGCATCTGATGCGTCATCATCATTTGCCCTCCACACAGCGGCTTTGAGATGATGACATTTTTAGTTGGTCCAGAGATCAAAGAAGCATTTTGATGTTTCGGTGACGCATGGTAGAGCACGTATCATTAGGTTATCTCCCACATTGCAGGGAGCATTTTCTCTACAGTTTCTAATGAGTTTCATGTTCGCTTGGAGATTTTAATGACTGGAAGGAATCAGTGACCCTTGAAAGCGTAACAGTAAAGGCCACAGGACGGAGGGTTTGGCTTATTGTGTAGTCATTGTTGGTTTTAACAACAGTTGACCAGAATAGGAGACTTAAAAATGATTCAAAACCGTATCTGAGTTGAGCGACATTGAATTAAAATTCCTCACAGCTCATGTTTCCACAAAACCTCCAGCTCACTCTTTTACCATCTGTTATCTTTTAAGTCAAGGTTTCTCTAAAGATTGGACGGCATGGCTCTCTGACAGTGTGGCTCAGCGTGCATCCTGGGAAAAGGATAAGATAAGGCTCTGTTTACCGTCCAATGCCACCTTGGCATCGCACAGACTTCACCCCCGTGCTGTGTGTTTCTTTTACCTTGGCACCGTCTGTGGGCCAGGGCGCCTTTTGGTCAGTCCAAGGCTTTCTACTCTTTACCGAGGCTTGTTGACAAAGATAAGACTCGATTGTGCAGCTCGGCGGAATTAGTTCTCAGCATCTGTGTATCAGTTAAAATCCTTATTATCGCCTTCACAAACGCATATTCAAACAATGAAGAACAACAAACAAATATTTGCATTGTTGGTTGTTATATCATTTGATATTGATTTATAATGGTGGGTAAACCGACATGATCATCGTTCTACCAACGCCGCTGGTAACGACAGACTCACAAAAATGGCTCCATAGTAAATGATTCATTATTTGTATTGTAAACAAATGAAAGAGTCGTCCTGCTGCTCTGTGGCTGCTGCTGAAAGGAATCGTGACGTCTCTGATCCCGGGGATTTGGACCGTCGTGTGTTTGAAACCATTTGTTGCTGCAGTGAAAAGATGTTAAAACTCCAATTGATGGTGATGCACATTTTTTCACTGTTGGGCAGAAACACGAAGCCACAGAGGATAAAAAGATATTCAAACGTGCTTTTTTGTTGAAATTCCTGTCTCAGTCAAGCTTCTACATGAAAAACACGTTCATTTTCACCCCCCAAATAATGTTAAGCTTGACGCAATATAGGATTCAAGTGAATAATGCTGTTCAAAGTAGTTGGTAACAAAATACTGATTGATATAGATCATTATACAGATTAAAAAATGCATCAGCAATAGCATAAGACACATAAAAACATCTTACACTGATTTTTAAAATAGATTTTTAATGAATTTTAATCCTGACACATTTTCCTACAAAGGGAAACTCGTTGAACACGCAGGGAAAACACACAATTTCAATATAGTGAAAGTTTATAATATAGCGTGGAAGTCAACACTGACAGACCATATTTGATATTGTATACGTCAACTAGTTTGATTTCTACATGCATTGTGAAGAAAATATGTGTGAGATGCTTTAGAGGCTGTTCAAACATACGAGTTGTTTGCCTGTTTGTTTAGCATTTACAGACTTAACACAACTGTCTTGTGATGGCAAAAACGATACACGGTAGAACCTGTAATGTTAATATCTTTTCCCCAGACGGCCAGTCATCAAGGCAGGAGGATTTACACCCAACCGAAGGCGCTGGACATCTGTTTGAATATTGCCCGGCGATTGTATTTCCATACGTGTTGTACAGGAAAGGCTTTTTACCACAGTTGTAATACATTTTAGCTAATCCTAATGGAAATGAGGCTCATTGTTATCAGCCGCAGGCCTGAAATGTTCTTGCAGAGTGGCTCCCGGTTGTTTAGTTATCCTGTATGTGGACCTTTGTGTCCTTCTCTTTTCTTTTTCTCCACAGAAGGAGAAGAGAGAAATCTGGGTCTCTCTTATGTGCTGCTCTGATACCAATTATGCAAACTATTATAGAATTTAACCAGGCCAGCTCTTATCGGCTAATCCAGAAGTAATAGATTCTATTAAAAATGTATGAGGGGTTTGAGGGGGGGGGGGATCAGTGTGTGTGTGTGTGTTGGGGGTGTATACAAATGAATCCAGCAGCTGCTGCAGCGCTGCTGTCTAATTCTGTCTGTATGTCAAACTACTTGTCTGTCTCCATTACCTAAACAGGCTTCTACAGAGCCTGACTTGAAGACAATATAAACGCCATACGGGATATACAATTAATTATACACGGAGTGGATTGTTATTCAAGGTCCATGTCACGTTCATTCTAAGAGAAGCACCTCTTTTTATCTTCCATAATGGCCAATTGCTCTTTGTTAATCATTTATTTCCTCCTAAATTGGGTTTCTTTTCTCCTTCCTTTGTGCCCTGTCCCTTTTTGTGCTTCTGCGGTTACTGAGCGGAAGGAAGGAAAAGCATTAGCATAGCACTCACATGCTAATCCACCCGGGGAGTGAAAAGGGGGCTTGTTCTTAGACCTTTTTCATTATCATCTAATTATTAACTGAGGATTCTGAGAACTGCTAACAGGGGCTGAGAAGTATAGGGAGGTGTGTGTGAATGTTGCAGGGCGAGGGTGTGTGCAGCGCCGGTGTGTATCTTTTTTTATGTGCATTTCCTGTTTGTTTAAAGGGAGGCTCTCTTTGCAATTCCTATCTTTTGATCTTTTGATGCTGCACAAACTCGATTCCAGAAGGTTACACAGATTATTTTTTTTTCTCAGTCTGTATAATACCCCGTATAATTTAGGGTATTGCTGCTGCTTTGTGCATCCAAACAAGGGAAAAGAAAGACATGACGCGTACATATAACAATGGCAGTTGATGCGGGGAATATCTTAACTTAACAAAACTAATTCAAATAGCTGAAGGGTGCTGTTTTTGGTGAACAGATGTCATTCCAATTTAGTTAACATTAAAGGAATCGGTGATCGTGCCTATTCGGCTGAATCAGAGGACACATTTGGGGTGGGAGATGCATTTTACATACTGACAACGACAAGGGAAGAGGCTTGAAAACGACTTTTATCTGCCAAGACATCCGCAGGGGGCAGTTAGAGGGAGCGGAGCACACGGCCTTTATCTCCCTGGCAGGCCCTCAGTGGACCACATCACGCTGCTTATCAACTGCACGGATGTCGCCAGAGAGTTGAAATGATTAGACGTCCCTTAGATTAAACTTGGTGCTCTTTTTTTCTTTCTCGTTGTGCATGTTAGAGAAGTCCTTGAAAATGTGAGCCTGTACGACCTGGAAAGTCCCCAAAAAGCCGTAAAAATGTAAAAGAGTAAAAGTGAGAAGTGAGACACCTGGATCATGACCTCTGCCACAATGTCTAGTGCAAGGACGGGTCAGACACTAATTGCTGAGCTAATTAAAGAAAAGGGAAGAGAGTGACCATTGTGTTAAGGACAAAGGTTGCTGACCTAATTGGGTTCTATGATACATACTGCCATTTTAACATTGCTGACTTTGCAGTTGCCCTTATTCGTTGAATTATTGCAGCCACCCTGTTGGGCGATATTCTGATGATATTGTAAGAAAGAGAAATATACATGACTTTTTTTTATTGTGGGCCGGAGAAATTGCATTGCTTGTTAACTTAGCCCAGATAGTATCTTGCATTCTGCGATGACTTTGATGTCACATCTCTCTTCCCATTTTGGGGGATAATTATACTCAAGTTGGAAGCCAATTTTACGCATAAGTTTTCCCCAACTCCCTTTAAATTTAAATTTGAGATATCGGGATGAAAGCCACCTTCATTATTTGCACTCTATGCATCATTTCTAGCCCATTTTTTATGCTTTCATTTTTCACTGTTGGCTTCTCTTTGAATTATAATGTCCCCCTTGATGTATTTTATTCCGGCGGCAAATTATGGGAGTAATGGAAGGTATTCCAGTTCACGTCTCATTTTCTGCTAGTGAAGGGATTTCCCTGGAGAAGCCTTTTTCTCCCTTGTGTTCCTCCTGCATCTCGAGCACCTCCCCCTTGACAAATGTGTGGTAATGGAAGAGTTGTTGTGAAATGGCCATTATTTTCTAAATGGAATCTGACCACGCTCAGGCTTTTAGCTCTTCAGATGTGCGTGCTCCGATGAGACAGGTTGCACTGAGCATTTTGAAGTGGGCATGTCACCGAGGGACAGATGTTGAGCGGAGGAGGGGAGTGCACACCAAAAAAGGGGGAAAACTGAGGAAACACTCTTTTTTTGTTGTTGCTGGCACCCGAGTTAAATGAAAACCGCTCTCTCTATTCTTCCTTTTTGAGGGGAAGGTAATCATGTTTCGGCACCTCGTCACCGAAAAATCTGTTGTGTAGTTGACTCGCCTCAGCCGCCCTGAGGGATGAATGAAAGGAAAAATTCAAAAGAAACGTATAAGAGCGAACAAGAGAAAGAGGTGATGTGACCGTCATGTGCTGCTGTCTTATATTGGTCTTGTTGGGTGACTCCTGCACTGCAACCCAAATACTGTGTTTCTTTCCATATGGATTTTTTGGACTCATCATCTCTCGCTAAGGTTATACGTTCGTCACATGGTTTTGCACCTGATTCAGACACAATAAGAAGTCTTTTTTTGGTTGCCCCGGGGGGGTTTTAGTTTTGCGGTGCTAGCATTCAAACTTGATGACTCTCTCAGATAATCAAAGAGAATGTTGAATGCGACCACTGAAATATTCCCTTAATGCCTGGCTTTATCCCAAAATGATTGCTTCAATGATTGCTGAGGCGCCTTCTCCTCCAGACTCATTTCCTCTTGACAATTCGTAACATTGTAAACAGCGCAGCCCATCCGAGGGAGTGGGCTGCCTTTGGCTTTCACTGCTGATACGAACGTACATTTCATAGAAGAATAGATCCAGGTCTGAGGGCGAGTTAAAAACTGAGCCCGAGGCAACAGCCGGCCCCTGTGAATGATCAGTGTGATTGTAGCCGACAGAACAAGGCTGATAAGAGGAAAGAGCCACCGTGCCAGCTGAGAAGAAGGAGATGAAGTTGTCATTAAATGACATGACTTTTTGGAACACGCATCTCAGCAGTTCTAACAGAGGCACCCACTGTACAGTTTTAGTGGATAAAAGTACCCAACAGTTTGCAGAGTTTCAAATATAAAACCTGCTGAGGTAAGATGGAACAATCGATTGTTATTATACGATTTTTGTAATAATATAAGAGGGGGGGCTCGTATGAGATTTCAATGTTCTCTACCAGCAAGCTTGCTGCTTTCTTTCACATCAAACTAATGGTTGATGCAAGGCGTTGTGTTATGTATCGCGTATAATTTGTCCTCCCGAAATTAAAGTTGGCATCTACTTTCTGTCCAGTGACCAGGGACACTATGTGGCCTATCAAAGCAATCCCCAAATCATCTAAAGTTAACGTTTTTTAGGCCACTGCGTCACTCTATGGTTCTCAATCTCAGTGCAGCAGTCGGTTGATCCATACCAAAACATCTCAACCATTGGATTGATTTGTTAAAAATGTTTCTTGTTGTTGTTCTGACAAAGTTGAAATTTCTGGGGGGGTTTTATGGCATGCAATGAAATTTTGTTCAAATTAGTTGTTTATGACCCAACACCGACAATAATAACAACATTCCCTCTGCTGTATTGCGTTCTAATGTCCCAGTTGGCCAATGGTGAACATAATAAATGTGTCCCCGCTGAAGAACGGCCGTTGCCATTGTGAGTGCATCAGCTCATCACGTTGACTCATCCTTACGTTTGACGCCAAGTGTACCGGATGTAGAGTTGAAAGCCGTTTCCCTTGATCCAGCAGGTTTACCCCGGCCGTGTGCAGCCCTAGACAACCATCATGCTGGCCTGTATCCAGAGACGGCAGAATCTCTCGTTGCAGAATCTGGCCTGCGTACCCAAAAGCCTTGATGTTCCACCACCGCCGTTGCTGCTGTCGGTACCACCACTGCAGCCGTGCGCCCACAAAGGTGAGTTTGTATCGCGCATGTGAAGACATCAGGTACCGCACAGGAACAACGGCCACGTTGTGCAGTTTAGTAATATGATCTCTGGCGCGATCAGCGATCTTTAGCTGGACTTTGTGGCTTCCTGGTGAACTTGGAAGTCCGCGCGTGGTTTTATCGGCGTGCTAATTACAGATGTCCAGATGTTTTCTAGAATTGAAAATAATTGGCAGCTTCCTGATGATAACGCCTGATGTCGATCGGGCTACTAATCAGAGTGCATTATGCATGCAGGTCAAAGTGGACTAAAATTACAGAGTTAATCAACTCACATATACGGTAACTAATCATGATTCGTGCAGAACATGCTCGGTGTCTGTGTCGTTTGACCTTTATCCTGACTGATTATATACTGCAGTCACTGAAAGGTTGAGTGGGTGTCTCAACCTAACATGGACTGACATTTGCGATTAGATTTAATTCAATTAATTCTTCGAATGTGACTTGTTTGCAGATTTATTTAGTAGTATGATACTAACTTATTTATGTAGGTTACTTTACATCCATATTATTTGTTCTTTTTCTGGGCCGTCTAGATTAACATAATCTTATTCTGCTCTGCTTCAAAATGTTGCTGATTCCGTCATTATATGCAGGTACTGTTTTGTAGCGATTTATAGGATCCATAACTTCTTCCAGTTTAATGATCAGTGATCAGCTCAGACTATGAGCTCATACAAGTAGCTGGAAAGCAAGAGCATGCAAATATTGACCAGTAACATTTCTCAGAAATCAATGTTAGCTTGGCTCATGCGCACAAGTCACATTAGAGAGTGTGGAGAGCAGCGCACTGGTCACGTTTACCTTTTATGACTCATCATGTTGCCTGTCGATGCTTTCATGTTGTCATCCAGGATATCTTTGCTCACAAATCTAATCTTTCGCTTAGTATCTATTACACGGTTATTTCATGGTAGGGGAAGAAAAGTTTAAAAAAGCACATTGTTTTTAGATGACCGTGCAATGGTCACATTTCACTGACACCCGCACATACACGCAGAGGTTTTCATTTATTCTGGGTAATTGGACGTATTCTCTGCTGGAAACGTGTTTTGGGTGCAGGTCAACAGTCTGCAATTAATTAATTCATTTTCCCCTGACCCGGCTGGAATGGCTCCTTCCGAACCCCTTTGACTATTTCACACGGATGCCAGCTGAACTTGACAAAGGTCCGGGAGACGCCTGCATCAATACCCACTCAATCCCGAGACGTTGCCTTATTAGCCAAAATGAGTGAAAACAACAGTCTTGTCGAGGCGATGGACCGTGGAGTTAATTGAAGAAAATAACATGGCTCGCATTATTACTTCCTATAGTAGTAGCCAAACAGTATGTCTTCTATATGTTCTCATATGGTAAAAAAAAACTCTTTATCTCCCATCTTTTTGCTCAGGAAAATGCCTCCTTTCATTTTTGCTATTAAATATTAATTGCGAATCAATGGAGCGCTTGTCTGCTAAACGCTGGAACAGAAGGGCCTGGTTTGCCTCAGGCAGAAGCAGGGGTGCGTTTCTCACCCTGTTTACCTGCAGGCCCCTTCCACCTCCTTTTTTTTTTTTTTTTGTGAGTTTTATGTACTGCGACTGTGTGTAGTGCAGCAGCCTCCAGCTGCAGCCTGACATTTCCAGCACAACCACAGGGAATAGACTGCTGACGGGAGCTCGGCCCGTGTGGCCCGGGCTTCTTTATTAAATGAGTCGCAGTTGGATTGAGCTAAATAGAGACGGTCTTTAGTCACCGCTGCGCTCTCGAAAGCCGGTTCCATTTTTAGCCATCAATAAATGGAAGGCAGAGGCAGGACGTGAAAGCTCTCGGCCCCACAGACCCACGTGAAAGATTTCTGAGAAACGAGCGTTAGGAGTTATGAGGGTCAATGAGAGCTGTTCTCTCCTCCGCTTGTCGGCTGGAAAGCGGGGGGCCAGTTACGCTCTTTCCCACGCTGCCGGCCCGCCGCTCGGCTCGGCTCGGCCCTGAGAGGGTCAAGTTTGCCCCGAGCCGGGGGCCAAGCGGCACAGAAACAAATGAAGAGTGACACTGGCGCAAAGGAGTACTCGCCAGAGCCCCTTGGAGGACACATAACTAAGTGTTCGGACCCCGAGGTTACTCTGTTTCCGTGAGCACCCTTCATGTATCACTGACATGGAAAGAGGGAGGCTTGTGAAAATGGGCTGAATGAGCGAGTGTATTTTTTTTTTCTGGAAGACATTAGTGAATGGAGAGGTTAGTGTGAGTGAGATTTAGGAGCGTATACGTGGTCGGGATGTTAACTTAACTTTCAACCTTCTTTCAACTGAGAGAGAGATAAATATAATGCAGCCTTACATGTTTGTCGTCATTAAAAAAAACACTGCATCCTAGTAGTTATAAAATGCGTATTAACTACGAGTGAAAGGACTCCAGTGTGTGAGGAGTGACCGTTCACTATGACACATTCACTATATGGTTTGCAAATTCGGAATGCTTTGTTGTTGCTGTTGGGAAGAGAAACCTGCTGCCATAGCTGCCAAATTATCTAAATATGTCCCAGAATGGGGGAGCAGGTTTTATTTTCAGATTTTCATTGTGTTACACGATGAATGTTTCTTATTGAAACCCTCTTTGGAGGTACTTCACTTCTCACCTTGCATTTAAAACACACAGCTTTGTGCCTTCTAATGTATCATCAAAGATGGCGATGGTTTCTAACGTAGCGTCTCATCTTTTCTATCGTATAGTGAACCTGTGGAGTTTTTTGGAAATGGAATTCATAGAGGTGCTTTGGCTATGAATCACTTCTATGGTGAGAATGTTGTTTTTTTCAGATTTTCAGACTATATTGAATGATCGTTTGGAATGTGATTGCAGGATGGAAATGACTAAAACAACCCACCACAATAGAGAATATATAATATGCTAATTATTAGTAAACCGTTTTTTACTTTTATTACCTGAATTGGGAGGGAGAACACAGCAGATGCTAGTTTTTGCTACCACTTCACTGCTCTGTCCAATCAGCCGATAGTAAATTGCTGCATCTCGTCTCGCGGAGATGAATGAAGTCACGGCCAATTAATGACATGGTCCTAATGACTGGGCGTATTGGCCCAACTGGGTGCAGAGAGGAGGTTGCCATGGTAATAGAGACATAGGTTCTTAATTTGCTGTAAACGTGCTCTGTTCAGCCCACTGGTTATTTTGGTAGGGCCGAGTATTTTAAATATCCAGATTACTGGTGTGCTAAACAAGTATCTGTGCCTGCTGAGAAGCCCCGTTCTGTAATTAACTGCCAGTTGTCGGTGCCATGTTCCTGCTGCGGATTAGACTCTCGTAAACATGTTATCTCACTAAAGTGTTTCACGATACGTCTTCAGCAAAACATCAAAGACCTGTGAGATTTCTGCCTGGCAGACATGTATGGATATTAATGAGAAATTATTTCTACACTTTTTAGGTTTATCTCGCGTGGGAATGATGTGTGGTGGTCATTCTAATGGCTGTCTTATGTTTGCCCGAGGGCTTGTTTTTCCCATAAATTAGGGATTAAATGAAACTGCTCTGAAACAACGAGGTCTGCTCTCTAATCTGGCTGGAAATAGCTTCAAGTGTGACCACAGGAAAAAGATTAGCCAGTTTAAAGTGGCAGAAAGCGTCGAGTGGGATTGTATGGGGGTGGAATCAGGGTTATTAAAGACCATTTGGTAAGTACCCAATGTTTTATCCCTCCAGAATATTCCCATGCTAACATTCATATAATCTTTATAGCACACAAACACACATGATAAATTAAGCCCGGTGATTGAGAGTTTAATGTCTACGCCCCCTGCATGGAAAAAGGAAATCAGGATTATGTGTATCCTGTGAAAGTGGGCCAGTTTCACTCAGCGGGCTGCCACAACAGTTGAGCAGCATGTTTAATGTATTGTGCGGAGCCCCTTTTCCAACCGAGAAAACGTTTAAGCCCGACTGGTGGGACCATTAAATCTATCCATCTGGGGCTGTGGATGACACATCATTGTCATTATGCAAATGGATGAGGAGGAAAAAAATATATATACAAGGCTTTTTTGATCCTACGTAAGCTACTTCAATCAAAACCCAAGTAGGGGAAAATGCTAAAGGTCAACGCATTTGAATTTGTAAGCACTGCGTGATGCTCTCGGGCAAGGCTGTTTGCGAAAAGTGGCCGGTATAATTTTCCTGTGCTGTTTTCGTCTGCCTTTTGCACCTGTGCTCTCAGTCGGGGGCTGAGGAGTGCAGCAGCGTGCAGTCTGCAGGTTCAGGGTGATTAAGTGCTTAAGGTCACACCGCTAATCATCTCCCCGCCGTTCCTTACCTGACAACACGTAGCTGCCACCCCCCCGCCCCCCCCCGTTGTCACGTCGACGGCCTTATATTTGTTTCCATTTTCCATTTTTATTGCACGCCAATGAATTTGTTGGCAGTACAGTGCCTCTCGGTTACAAATGACAGGAAAACATTTTGCAAAGAGACGCATAGTTGACCGATCGTTCCAAAGGGACAGACTGCTGCAGGCGGCTGTTAACGCACACAAAAGACAACCGGTTTCAGTTTCAATGTGCTTATGACAATGTGCTAAAAATTCACTCAGCCGAACCTACTTTAAAATTACCATAGATGGTTTCACCTCCTAAAGGCAACATGATAAATGGAAAAAGGAAACAAGGATACAGATTGCGACTGAGACATTTTCATCTGCTCTGACAAAATATTTCCTGGATTTACTGTTGCATATTTCCGCGCTGCAGTTCCAGATGTCGGATGTTTCAAAGTGCCAGATAGCTGACTGAATGTCATTTCTGCAGAACAGTAATAGGTAAGAAGCCTGGGGTTTTGGCTTCAGTTATAGAGTGTTATTTGTTTTCTGGATGAAGGCCAAAATTACAGATGTGTTAAAATACAGTCCCTTTGAGTCTGCAAAGAACCTCCTCGGACACCTGCAGAAAACCATAGAAGCTGTAGTTTAAACGCCCCTTGCTAATTATCACTCTCGCCACGCATCTGCACGCCTGTTGAGAGTTTGGGTGAGACGGCAGCCTCCAACGCAGTCGGCTCTTGCCTCCCTGGTTCTCACAGTGCCAGCTTGTAATTAATAAACCACACCTGGAACTGTGGAAGCCACTGTGGAACTCGCATGATGTACTTTCTGCTCGCACGTGCTCTGGGAAAGTATAGCGAGTGGCTGCTTAACACGCTGTGCTCCGTTTGAGGCCGTTTAACACCGCAGATTGCTTTGAAAGTCCTCAAGATTAAAGCGATTGCCCGTGGTTTGTAATTTAGAGCGTGCGGCTGCTCGTGGTGTTTCTGAACTCCATTTTAAACGTCGCAATGATGCTGTCAGGATCAGCCAGAATCATCCCTTCTTTTATGCATTTGCATCAGTAGTGGTCCTCAGATGACAGAAATGTGAAGGCTTATTTGCTTAATTAGGTTGCCATAGCGCCACGTGAAGGCCGGCCGCTGTTGGAGGTGCAGCTGTGTTGTGTCTCCCAGGCTCTGACAGGGCTGTAATCTCTGGACTAACAATATCGGAACCCCTGTGAAGATTTGTTAGGTTTCAAAGTGTTTATGCAACAGCAAGCCAATCGAAGCACGCAGGGTTTGGTGCCGAGACTTTACCGGAGAAGGCAATGCTTGTTTCGCTAAATTGTCTCTTTTGTGATTGAGGAATATTCTCCCAGGCAGAAAATGGACAAGATTTATGAAGTGGCGTCCATGCTCGTGCCTTTTGGATTCTGGATATTTTTAAATGTGTCATCTGTTCTCATCATCTAAGCTTCTTTCAGGTGGATGAGAAACTTCTTCTTCATATCTTTTGTTTATTGAATATTCAGCTTTCAGTCAAAGGCCTGAAACTGTTGTTACAGCTGTTTTTTCCTCTTCCTCGCGGTTTGATCCACCTCTCCAACAGACGTTATGCTTTTCTACAGCAGCACTACACTGCGATACATAATAAGCAGTGTTTTGCTTTGTTGTATTTCTCTGTAGGATTCATTCATGCTCCCGGCACCCTCGGCTCCGCTGGGAGTTTGCTGGATGGATTGAACACTCCACGTTACCTCTTTGCTCCATTTTAAACACCCAATTTCTTTCTTTCATGAGATGGATCTTGGAGATTGAATCATTTTCACAGTCGGGAGGCTCACTGTAGGGCTGAAATGAAATGAACTCCCAAATCAATTTCAAATGGGATCAACAAGTGAGCTCTCCCCTGCATAGCTGGAATTGGATTTGTTATTGAAAATGAAATGAAATGTTTTGTTTTGTTTTTATTTTATTGCAGATTACGGCCTTGTTCTTTTGCCCGCGATGATTTTCATCGATCGAGGTTAATTTGAGAGCCTTTTCTTTTTATGTCAGTAAAAGTGTCACTCTGAAAGGTGGCGGTAATTTCTACCAGGTGATTTATTGTTTTTAAACGGGCGCCTTTTCCACCTTTCCTTTTGTTGCCAGGAGTTAAGCACCCATGAAATTGCCTGAATAATAGTGTTTAAATCCAATCTTAGTTTGTCCCGTCAGCTTTCCCTCACACAATTCAATCAGCAGTGCTCTTGGTGATTGCTTTTTCCATCCGCAGCAACTTTTCTTTCACAGTTTAGGCCCCGAGCTTTTACAGTACAATCGGTTCAGGTTCATAAAAGCATAAAGTGGAACAACATTTCAAAGGCAGGAAGTGAACTAGCGATGCACAAATATTTAATCCTTAACGATTCTTTTGATGGAGGTGTGTTTCAATTTAAACAAGAAAACCTTTAAAAAATATATTGTGCTGCAGTTACTACAATAAACTTCCGCTTTGCTCCTGCTGCCGTGGTTAAATGGCTATATGTCACCAAATAAAAGTCATTGGAGCCATTTCAGTAAAAGCAGGCCCTCCTTGCCAATTCCTGTCTTTTGATTCCCCAGTGTAAACCACATTTGGTTTGAACGATGTCTGAACAAATTTCATTAAGCACTGATCAAACAGAGCTGGGGGGGGTTTCCTTCCCGAAAACGAGTTTATACGACAAGTGAATGCTCGCTATCATTCCCTAAAACAGTTTTCGATTAAAAGGAAACAAGAGAACACACGGTTTCCCTCGGCTGCTTTTAGACTAATGAATTGTTACTGTTTTCTTTCCTCTCAGGGAAGCCAGCCCCCATGATTTCTCGGTACCCTTCTCCTGCAGAGTTGGATGCTTTTGCCCAGCGGACCGCCAAGAGCCCACTGTCCATCAAAATCTTTCAGTCTGAGGTCCGGGTGCCACAACACAAACAGCTGAACAAAACGGTCAACGGGTTGGACACCACAGGCCAACACCACAGCCCCTATTCGCACCAGCACTCGGGAGGCCACCGGGGGCTGTTGGCCGTCATCAAAGCCTCCGTGGCAGTCAAAGGTGTGGTGAAGAGCTGCGAGGGCAGGAGGACTAAACACGCCAGCGCCCACGCCACTTTGCTGCCGTATGATAATCCTCTGAACAACAGCTACGCGGCGAGACACGGGCACAAGGCGTATCACACGAGCTCGTGTAAGCCGCGCGACGTTCCCGTTGAGGCACTTTGTGCCTCCAGGGAGCCGAGCCTGGCCCCCCAGTCTGAGCTGGCGGAGGTTCAGAGCCTGATGAGGCAGATGAGCCGAGTTCCCCACAGCCAGGCCCCGCAGCTGGGGGGAGAGGCTCGCGCCAGCCCCTCTCTGCAGGCCGTGGCTGCGGTGGCGCACTCGGACTCGGACTTTGGCCCGGGGGTGCCGCCCCAGAGCGGCCTCGCTTTCACGGGGGCTGCCGTGCTGCCGACGCAGAGTGCCGACGTGGCCAAAGCCGGCTACTTGGAGAAGGGAGACTACGCGATGTGGCAGCACAAACATCAAATCCAGCAGCAGCCCTATCAGCAGGGAGCAGTGAGGATGTACAGTCTGAGCAACAGAGAGTCTCCTGGCACCTGCCTGCCCCTGCCGTGCTCCTCCTCCCAGCTGCCGTACAGGCCTCACCGGGAGCCGGACGGCGGCTCCGCTCTGAAGCGCGAGTTCTCCGTCGGACAGTACTACGCCCCGCTCTGGGACGGTGTCGTGGCCGCCCCTCACAGCGACCGCTACGCTTCTCAGGTGCTGGAGGCGGCAGCGGCGGCGGGCACACGCGCGTCCAGGCTCGGGGACCTTGGGCTGCCCCTGCCCCATCCCCGTCTGCACGCCGGTCACCGGCATCACTTCGCCCCGCCGGCGAGACGCCAGCCGCAGCTCCACCCTCCCGTCCCGCCCCCCCACGCCCGGCCCTACGGCACGGACCAAAACCCGTGTTGCGGGGCGCCCGGTTCCAGCGTGTGCCACGCGGCAGTGCTCGGCAGCGGCAGCAGCAGCTGCCTGCAGTCTCTGGAGTGCCTCATCAGTGAGATCCAGCCTCCCTGCATCAAAGAGCGCATGCTGGGCCGCGGGTACGAAGCCATGGGGATGCCTCAGCTCCTGGAGCACCAGCAGCAAGCCCACATCCAGCTCCCCGTCTACAGATGAGGCACACAGCGGGACGCAGAAGAAGAGACGAGCCTTTTGGGGATAATAGCAGTGTGTCAGTTTAGATTTGTGTGAAAAGGAGACATGCCTTTTTCGTTTGTGCATGAAGTCTGTATGTAGACGAGGCGTTGAAAAGGTGAACGATAATCATGAACTAAGATACAGGTTTATCTCGAGGACTCGTTTTTAATATTTTATATATGAAATGGCCATTCAATATGCCGGCTGTTCCTCATTTAATGCTGATGCTGAGCACTTAATCAGAATTTCCCATTATATTTGAAAGCAAACTGTGCTTTGCGTGTTATTCCTCGGTAAGCCTGTGAAACAAGTTGCTGAACAGAAATAATCGTTGTGCCCTTCTGAAACATTTCTTTGAAGAAGGGTCGTTCGTGACAGATTTTTGTGAATATGTTTCATCTTTTTTTTATACATAAAATGTCTCATTTGAACATTACTCAGTTATAAATTGAACTTTTGGTTGTCTTCTGCGTTTTTAAATTCCGTCCTCTCTTTCAGTGACTGTGGTAACTTCTGCAGAATGATGCAAATTTCCTGGCCGTCTTTTGAGGAAGATTTTGATCATTTGTATACAAATGTGAATTGTTTTATTTGGTTTTGTTAAGCAGCCATAGAGAAAGTTATTCAAGCCAACCTCTTGATTGGTTCAAAGTAGTCCTGCTCAGTATAATGTATTGGGATTGTCGCATATCCAAACCAACAGGCCAAGCAAGATGTGCCCTTTGCTTGTGTTTTTCTTTACCTTTTTTTTTATTTGAAGAGGACGCTTGGATGAAATAATCTCTGGAAGGTTGCGACACTGTTACATATTGCCTCGGTATAGATGAGTGCCATGTTGCCGAGCAGGCCACCATAATCATTTACGTCATCTTCGTTGTAGGGCTATATTATCTCTGCTGGTGTGAGACGTCTGACTGAGTAGTTTTCTGTGTGTCTGCACTGGTTCTGTGATACTATTTATTCATGTCGGCCTAATGAGCCATTTGGCAAAGCGTCTCTATAATTATGAAGTGCAATTATTATACATGAACAGGTGAGCGCTCTCCGTGAAGTATGTTGTTGAAATAACTACATTTTGCATTGTATGACCCTAATCCCTCAGCCCTTTTGCCTCTTCTTAATAAGGATTGTGAAGTAAATGGAATTTTCTAAAACTCAGCACATAGTTTGTGTTATTACATATCATCTGCCAGACTCGCAGCTGCAAAGATGCATTTATTGTGATCATGAACGTTTTAGTCGTGAAAGATGAGACATTTTTCTGGTTTATTTCAAGGGGATTGAAGGCTTAACCACCTGACAAGTCTCATTTTCTAAAGATCTCTCTTTTCATGGAGGAGCTCGTGCATATAATGTGATGTAAATCAGTCCTTTGCTGAAAGCTATTGGATTGGTTGCCAGTTTGTTATCACAGCAGATTACGTCTAGATGGATGGCCAACGTTTGAGGCAACAGCCATTGATACTTCAAAATACATATGTGTAAATTAATATATACAGTCCTTTGCTTATATAAAAAATACATTATTTTCTCTAATTGATCCACAATAACATTACCCAATACATTATGCAGAAACGAGCTTGCTGTCACCCAGCTATTAAATTGCTAATCTTAGACAGCTGCATGCCTGCCAGCATCTCTTCTTTTGCCTCATTTGTCCTCCTAAATTGGATGCTATAGCAGTAATGTGGTTTCGGTCACCATAGAAATACAAAACGCTCCCATCTCAAGTGGTCCATTACAAAAAAAATAAAATAATAAGGTAGATGCTGTGAATAATGGCTCTGGATGCACTTCTGGGAATAAACTGCAGCATTCAATTGATGACCTCATTGCAGAGTTAAAAGGCTGCGGCTTTGTTGTTGAGGCATTGTTGTGAATGATTTTCCTCCCCATCTTCAGCCTACTTTGTCCTCTCCTCGCTTGGAGCTTTTTCCATCCCATCTATCAGTCAGGCCAGACCAGGCCGCTGCACTGATAGACCTACAGGATCACAGCTCCTCTGGCTCGGAGACGATTAGCTCAGGCCTCCTGTGGGAGAGGAACCAGAGCCACTTCGGCATCTGGGACGCACTGCAGATAAGTCAGACCGGGCCGAGGAAAAGGTTGATCCAGGGGATTCGGTGACATAAAGAGTGAGGATTTTTCTCCCCTTCACTGCGAAATATTAAACACTAACCAACTGCTGCTCGCGGTTATTTTAGATTTGCCGAAGACTGGAACCATGTCTGCATTGCGTACAACGTTTGATTTTTTTTTTTACCACTGACCGTAATTTAAAATATTTTATGTAGTAACTTGAAGACAAATGTGATTAAAAAAAGAGATACAAGTAAACATCGCCACCTAGAGTAGATTTAATGAACTGTAAATCAAGAGGAAGACAAATTCGTTCATAGTTTAATCCACTCACTGTAGACAGCGTCTCAATAAGTATTCACTCACGTTGAACGTTGATCAAACGTTGCTATAATCTATAACTTATTAAGAGACGCGCCTTTCGATGCGGTGAAACATTGTTTGACATAATGTGCTTAGAAGTTAGTTGAGAGAAACAGCAACGGAAACAAAACACACCCTCAGACTCAACAGGCCTGAGGAGGAATAGATCCGGCTCGGTTTAATTTCGCTTTGTTGGGAAAAAAGAATCAAAGATATTGATTGAAAACATTGTTTATTTGTACAGGTCAAACAAGGCACTAGTGGATTAATGCACAATTGAAATGATTATTCTTATTCTTATTATTTTTTTTTATATACTCCTGTTGCTGATTCAGGAGGAAACTCCAGGGCTCAGGAGCCAGAAAACATCACAACGAGAACCTGTTCACAGTTGTGTATTCTTCACTTGACAGGTTCAAATACACCTGTTAATGTCATAAATAAAAGCCCCAACCCACAAAATACCATCTTTTTGCACAATATATTAGATCACAAAACATAATCACCTAAAATGTTTGATTTTAAGGCCATTTCATTTTTTGAAGACCAAATGTACAGTAGAATAGCAGTAATATTTAGTAAGATAAAAAAATCAAAGTAATAAATATCACGCTGCAGAGAAAAAAAACAATCGTATTAAAAGCCGGAGAGGTTTACCGGGTGTCAAACGGTGTAGTCCAGCTCCGCGTTCAGATTGGTGTACATATCGTAGATGGCGTCCACGGTGGCCGTGTAATTACCGAGGAACTGGCGCACGTTTGCCAAGCAGTCCTCCTCTTTTACTTCCTCTCCTTTGGACAGAGCTTTGAGGAAGTTGGACTTGTAAGGAGCCGCGTGTAACGCTACCTGCAACAACCAACAACAAAAAGTAAGCGTACCACATTTAAATAAAACAAATGTATAGTTAAACGCGCATATATATATATATATATATATATATAATATATATATATATATAATATATATATAATATATATATATATATATATATATATATATATATATATATAAACACACACATACACACTTGGATATATTTGAAAAGGAAAGGTGATATTTTCCTTACGTTGAATATCTTCTGAACTACCCAGCCATGATATTTCTTCAGTGCCTGTTCATATGCTTTGGTGACATTCACCCGAATATGGTTGGGGTTGTTCTCGTCCATCTCTCCATCCGCCAAACTCTGCAGCAGGACCTGTATGAAACGGAGACCCCTGCAGGAGAAGCCCAGGACGGTTCAAACACACCATTCAGATTCGGATCGGTGGCTGAAAGTTCACCACACAGCGTGGCGGAGCTCCACGAGAAGATCAAGGAGCGCTCACCTTTTCAGCCACATCAGAGCCAAGGTTGCTCCGACTTTGGGCCATTCTGCCGAGTGGGCTTCTCGCTCTGCCTCCACGATGTCCTGCAGGGTGACGTACTTCGCAGGATCCTTCAGATACACCCCTCGAATTTTCTGAAATTGCGCAATCGCAATTGAGTTTATCATTAACCTCCAACCGATATTGAAATATCCCCCCAGAAATGGTATGTGGACACAACGGTGCACTAGCAGGAGGCACACAAAAAGGTCTGTATCTTGCCTGTATGTTGCCATTAATGTCCGATTTGATGATTGAAAATACGTTTGATCCCAAGCAGTCTGGAAGAAAAACAAAAAAGAGACACGAGAGAAAGGCAATAAAATATGAATGACTTCATCACAGGTGCCCCCCCCCCACCCCCCTTTTACATACAGCCCGCGCGGGGAGGGGGGGTGCAGAGAATAAGCACACAGTCTCGTGCACAATGGGGCCAATGTGTGCTCAGTTCAACGAGTAAACAAAGAGTTTCTCTATAAGCTAAAACTACCGACCTCGGCGGTCACCGGCACCGAGCAGCTCCGCGTGAAACCACCACATGCTGCGGACCGACTCGAGGCAGCGCGTCACCGCGACACGTCGGCGAAGTAGTTCCCGTAACGCGGAACGATACGTTTACAATACACAGGTGAATATACAGTGTGTGTGTGTGTGTGTGTGTGTGTGTGTGTGTGTGTGAGAGAGATACACTCACCGAAAAACGACGGAATGTGCGAGACCGACTCCAGGAACAAGTTGGTGTCTATCGCCTTGTCGGGCGGCAGGTCTCTGAATCGGTTCTCCAGGAGAAGCGACATAGTTCCGCGCGAGCAGCTTTTCTGCCGGAGAGGAACCCGGAACTCGTGCTGCGAACGCGGCCCCCGCCCCCCGCCGCCGCCGCTCACCCGCAGGTGGGACGGTGCTCGCGGGGCGTGTTTGTTTGTTTGTACACAATCTCAAAACACGGGAAGGGAAAAAGGCTGGTTGAGGTATGAGTGATATTTTATTTAAACCTAAGGCAGGGAGGCAGTCTGTACAGGGAATGCAATGCCAGGTTGAAACCAGAGGTGGAAAGTAACCGAATACGACAGAGTCCTAAATAGTGACTTTTACATTTTGACATGATAAATAAAACATTTTCATCTATAAACACACATTGCTTAATCCATTTCCGCAAGTAGTTGTGATAAAGTAGTCTTACTTGGTCTGGTAACTAATGTTAGCTAAATTTAGATGAAGTGGGAGTAAAGGGGACGTTACCTAGTTACTGAAAGTTAGTTTGCAGAAGTACAAAAAGTACTTGGGAAAAAAAAAAAATATTTGTGAAAAAAACCCCTCCAAAACAAATGCAAATTCAGTGCAACGTAGGTTACAAGCTCACAAAACAGTGGACCGTGAGTAAAGTTGTGCTTTTTTGTATATGATATGTACAGAAGATTTTTTTTCTGTCCTCACTCATTTAGAACTGAACAATTAATCAAAAGAATGAACTTTTCTCCCCTCACGCGGCGTATTCTGGTTCTCTTTCCACCCCGGTTGAAACTGATCTGGCTCACAACAAACAGGCGACACTTGAGAGCTAAAGTTCTACAACAGGTACAGGACCTCAGTGGGCGCAGTCACTTAAAACAGCACATGTAAACCGTATGTGACCACAGGTAGCATCGAACACACTGGAGTTACAGCACCACACCAAATAACCACAGAGCACAAGTGGCCCGCTGAGACGTCCCAAACCTCAGAAGAAAAGTTGGTCTGTGAGGAGCATCATGTTAAACAGAAGCTTATGAAAATAAACATTGATCTTTTCTTAGAGGTATGACATACAGTTTATAAATAGAATAGCATTTGGGTTATTTTGATAAAGAATTACATGGATACGTACATCTTATATATTTGCATAATGCTTTTAAAATTGATTTAAAAAAAAGAAAAAGGGATTTCACACGCGGCCATTGAGGCCATTTCTGTGACAACAGCGCCCACATACACATACACACACACACAATATCAGAAGTATGGTTGTCACCTTATAACTGCTGATACTTTGCAGAACAGTAAATTCAGCTGCTGGATGGAATGATGGTTCGCACACTTGGTACCGACGGCCTTACATGGAGCTCAATGCACTGAAGGGACTTTCAAGACCACAGTTTGCTCACTAAACAAACAGTTGAACTCAAGCAAGTGGTAGAACTATGGTTCAAGATTAAAATACTGTCATTGCATCTTAAATATCTTTAAAAACGGTTCAAAGGGAAACTACGCTGGACACTGGTATGAATCTTTTATGAGCTGGGAGGCCGGGTGTCTCGCGGCTTTAGTCTTCACCGGCACGCCAGACACCCGACCTCAAGGGGCTCAGACGATGACGTCTACGTGGAAAAGCACGATGTGGAAGGCTCAACCTCTTGCTGTTGTCATTCCACCCACACCCACACACACACCCACACACACACACACACACACACACAGGATTAGTGCTGGATTTGTGACCCCTTATCTCTTTGTAAGGGAAGTAATAGTAACAAAAGTTTACTCTATATGATGATCAAGAATGATGACAAAATAAATGCTTTTAATCTAAGTTTGTAGGTCACATCTTTTAAAAAAATATTTATTCACGGAATGTATTTAAATGCTTACACTGATTAATAAGGGAAAACCAAAAAAAATGCTGGGTAACACTGACTGAATTGAAATGAGCAAGTTATTTGATAAATACTTCTGGGCGTATTTGAGATTGTCTTCACGTTTTAAACTAGTTGTTGTTTTCTTTGGTTGTCACAGTGACGAGTTGCTTGGCAGCTTTGGCAATGTCATAGGCGCACTGGATGACCTGCTGAGTGACCAGCTGGATGTCCGACGCGCGGGGGTCGTGCTCCGCGGCCTTCTGGCACTCTCCGTGGAGCCGGCCGGCACTGGAGGTCAGCAGGCACAGAGAGCCTCGCACCGTCTCCGAGGACGGCCGCTGTGAGGAGAAGGAGGGACGATGGGAGACTCAGCAAAGGCTCGACACGACCACCTCCGTAAATAAACCCCCTTTGTGGTCGAGGGGCTTTGTGTGCGTGGACATACAACAAGCCCTTTGGCTGTTTTTAAACCAACAACAAATCCCTTAATTGTTGGAGGGAGTACCTTACCTTGGGAAACAGGGCGGCCATCTCGGTCACAGCCATGCAGATCTTTTCTGAACAAAGCAGGAAGCTGCAGGAGGGAGAGGGGGAGAAAGCCTGAATGGGTGCTCAGAAACATCAATGCAAGACAACGGCCGCAGACAGCACACGCCCCGTCATGAGAAGAGCCATGTGCCAACAGTAAACACCATTTATGAATTGAGTACCGAGAAACTGCATGTTTTCTTCTAATGTGAAATGTTGTATTCCGCCGCATGGCCCAAAAACACAGATTTTAGTGGTCGGGCGAGGTGACCGGCTGACGGGGGGGTCTTTTACCGTGACCTGGTCGATTAAAAAGTTGCTTGCGAGGCGAAAAAGTGTTGCCACCCCTGGTCTAAAATATGGACCTAGTGTCTGGGAGAATAACTGAGAAATGGAAGTCGTCACGTTTGATACTTTGTGGTAATAATACCAATCAAATGCTACCTACCTCTCATGTTTGGTCTCCTGTGCAGCTCTCAGAAGCTCCTGTATGTTCTTCGTGATTTGCTCCGTCTTGCAGATGACGTCCTCTGTGCACGGCAGGGTGGCGTCTTCCTCTCCCTCCTCCCCTGGCTCCACTGCTTCAGAGGCTGGAAGAGGGCTGCTGTAAATGAAAAGAGAAAAATACGTACACACCTAGGTTTATGTACTTTAAAAATATAGAAGTGGTAATATTTGTAGTATTGGATTTGTGAATGAAGCAAAATAACTATACTAACCCTAACCCAAAATAACTAACTATACTCCTGCAGAAATGCAGTCTTTAATTTGCAATTGCAACAAAGCAGCACTGATTAGGGCTGTAGATTATGGGAATTTTAGATTTTTTTGCAACCTGCAGCTTACTTGAGACAGTTGCAAGTTAGATATTAGCTGATATGCGAACTTAGTCCTACTCCCTAGACTCTTCCTAAGCACCTGAGCTAATGTTAGTCAAGCTTCCTCCTCAGTCTTCTACGATGATGTAATCACCTTCAGCAACGAAAACACAAAGAAAATATGATTTCATTTTTCAGACATTAATAAATGTCTGAAAAAGTGAACTGATTGTTTCTTTGGGCTGTATGATTGGTGAAAACATAAAAGTGACTATTAGATATGAATATGTATATTTACTAACTAACTACGAAGAAAATAGTGCCTAAAATCAAAAATAATTGACAGCAAGTGTTGCAATCAGTGCCTTCTCTGCATTCGGTGGGTACAAAGTGTGCGCCAATGTTCTCACCCAGTGTCCTCCAGTTCGGAGTGGTTTGGCGTGGTGTCGTAATCGCTCTCCAGCATCATACTGTGAGCTTCCAGACTGCAGCCCTAAAGAGACATCAGCCAATTGCAGTCAGTCAAATACAGCATATAGGGTGTTTGGCTAGAACAAACACACACACACGTTGTTACCACAGCAACTGTCGGCACATACGAATCAGAATCATGCATTTCCGACAGTTCATACCATCAGACATTTGGTTTGGAAGCAGATGAAGAGAAAGAGACAACCAGGCCTTGTGGTGTAACGGTCTGCAGTGGAGTGGATGCGATTAGTAGCGATGAAGTCCTGATGTAAACTTTGGGTGCACTTCGCAGCCAGCTAGGATCAACCAGCACTCTGTGATTAGCCAGATGTCATCCATCTTTGGACTCCGCCGTCTCATCATTCATAAAAACAGCCACCATCACTTCTTTTGTGTCCTTTGAGCCAAAGCAGCTCTGGACCCGTCCAGACAACTGAAGCAGAGGCACTGTTGTGCATGCAGGAAGGCAGGCGATGCTCAATAAATAAAGCAGTTTACAAAAGACACAGGTCAGGAGAGAAGAGACTGCGAGGGTGAAGCAGGGGGACAGTTTTCACCGTCCCCGAGGGTCTGTGTCTGAACCGGGGGGGGGGACGGGACTTCTGTACTTAACCCTTCGAGACCGCTCATCCCACGACCAGGACATGGAAGAGGGGAAGGTAGGGAGGGAGGACGCAGCCGTCCCCAAAGGACCCCTCCCAATCTAGAAAGTGGGGGTCAAACCAAGTTCAGCATACTCTATTGAGATGCAATCAATGAATGAAATCCATGGGGGAAAAAAAAAAAAAAAAAAAGCCAGCCCCAAGCCAGGCACCATTTCTCTGTTACGTGATGACAATCCAGCTAGAACGTCGGCGCCGCCGTGCTTACGTTGATCGGGATGGGCTGCAAGACGACTCCGTCGTCGCGGCGGCTCGCCGCTTCGACCCGGTTGGGGTAAGGCCTCGGGGACGAGCCCGTCTCGTACATGGACATGGCGCGACCTCCGCGGGGGGGCGGCTGTCGACCGGAGGGCCCCTGGAGGGGTTGCTGTCCGCCGGGGGGTTGCCATCGCAGCGTCGTGTTTTCACTCTGCAGGGAGTTCAGCTGCAGAGAACAAAACGGCTTTCAAGTCAACTCTAGCGGGGGGGGGAGGGTGATGATAACCTTACAAAAAGCTTGCAGAGACATCAATAATAGAGCAGATGCGCCTCTGGGAGAAGTGCAGTTCCTGTGGGTCGAGTTCTTAGGCACCTCTTTTGTTCTGTGTTTCACTCACAAGTAAAAGTTTGAGTCTTTGACAAAAGTGCTGACAACCACCTCTGAAGAGGAACCCTTGAGAAACTGCTGCACATGGGGGGGGTGGCCCTTATTTACTCCAGAAACTGAATAGAGCAACGGGGAACAATATTGGTTGTTTTCAGTCAACAGTTGCAGCCTGTAGTATTACGTGACTTATGTTGTCAAGAGAGCAGCGCGTTGTGATGACAAGGTCTCTCAGCCAGACGAAGAGACAATTAGAATTGACTCTGGAGAGTTTGGATGGGAGGAAGAAAACCAAATCAAATGCTGCGGTCTCCCATAATGGGTCCATCATAAATAAATCTCCATTGTTTTTTTTATATAAACAATATATTTTCAATGGCCCATAAGATAAGACAAATGCAAAAAAAAAAATTCACCAGATCATCAGCTTTGATCTGTGGTTGTCTGTATGAAGTATAAATACATTGAAAGCAGAAGGCAGAAAAACAAACTAAACTGGATAACCAGGACGTTGTTTCCAGAGATCTTAACAGAGAAGGACTAAAACAGGACTTGAACTACAAACAAATAAGGACCTGAAAGCAATATAACTGGACCAAAGAAATATGTTGAGACGGTTTGCGTGTTGTTGCTACGTGCTTTGTGGAGGCGTCGCAGATCTAATTGAATGACGGTTTTGTAATGCGGAGTGCTGAGCTGATGACTGAGGGCGTTCTCCCAAACTCCAGAACCATCACACTCCAGAAACTGTCTACATTATGCAGTTGTCTGGAATGTGATGGTCTTTAAATATTTACAATGACTGATCATAATGTCCACTGTGGTTACCATTTGTTGATTATTACTTGGTTCTTGACATATACAACTTCTGAATCCTTCCTCTGGTTTAGACCACAAAGAACTAAAACACCCGATTGTGTTTGGCCATTTCACTGGGCAGCGAAGCAGAGGAAGTCCAAAGATGAATCATAAGAGGAACTTAACCCCCTCCAGTAACATGGCAGCCATTTTCTCTGCAGTAGTGAGTGATTGCAATAAAAATGTAGATTGCCGTGACCTTTTATTTCACTTTCATCTACTTAAAAAGGTAAAAATCTTGTCTTCTATGCAACTACATATCGATGGGCTGTATTATTCACACATAGTTCTGAGAGGGGAAGACGTTACGTCAGAAACATTCAAGGATCTAGTCCAGAGAGGAAAGACAGGAGATCAATGCCAGCGAGTATCAAACCACAAATCCTGCGCTGTGACGCTTCATTTGGACACACGCCTGCAAAACATAAACGTGGACATGATCCGCAGTGCGATTCCCACACCGATTACACCAGTATTTACATACCTTGCTCTGCATGCTGCGCAGCTCATCGCTGAGGTGACAGTTTACTTTAAGAAGCTGCTGTATTTTGGCCTCTGAGGCGTTGAGGGCGCTCTTCACCTCCAGGAACTCTTGCACTGTGATTGGTCCATCAGAGAGGTCAGATGACTCAGAAGTCTGGGGGAGAACATGTGACGCGGGGGGAGGCATTAGATCCATTCGAAACCATTAAGCGGAAGACGTTCTAGCTAATATCTCAATATCTCAAGTCATTAACCTTGGTCCTTCTATCATTGCAGCTGTCCCCGCAGGTGGCCTCCTGCACCGGGTCCTCGTCGGATGCCACACTGTCGTAATCGGGTTGGTCGTTGTCCTGGCTTTCACTGTTATGGCGACTGTCTATTCCCTGAAGGATCAACTCCACGCTCTCTGCAGAAACACCACCAGAAACAAAAAGCATTAGAGATCAAACAGGCCCTGCTGGCTACAGGCTGCTGGATATGTCAAATTGCTGAGAAATTTATTTTATTTCAATTTGACTGAAAAATCAGCTCTAGCTCACTATCAAAAAGTGTGTGATGTGATCTGCTATCATTACAGAATCATTTCACATTTAAATACGTATTTGGTACCTATGTGTACAAACATAATGAAGTGTGGTCTACATTCCTGTTGTGACCTATATAGCTGAACCATACGGTCAACATCTATATGCTAAATTCCACACTGGCCTCCTGAATCTTGCAACAACCACCTCAGGGTTCAAAGCTTTTTCTCAGTATTCTCTTAGGTGTAAATGCTATGAATAAAACAAAGTATATTAGCAAGGCAATTCAGATCCACTCAAAATAAAAACAGAAGTATATGTTGTACCTTTGGGACTGTCGCAGGAATTTCCCCACTGCCGCCGCTTAGCATCCGTCAGAATATCAATAACCAGGGTGGCAAACTCATGAGCACTAAACCTCGCCAATTTTTGACGACCCTGCGAGCATAAATGTATCAAAACATACAAAAGGGCAAACACATATGGCATCAATGTTGAGTCCAGTATTTAAACAACAAGTTAAAGTTAGTGTTAGAGTTGGTGCTGGTCCGGTTACTCGCCTGGTTTCTGGTGGAGGAGTACTCGGGATTGACGGGCAGAAAAGGCACAACTGTGGTGTCCGTTACAAGAGTGCTGTGGTTCTGCGTAACCAACCACACTGAAGACAATTTAAGGAGATAAATATGAGATCTAAATCAAAATACAGGCATAAACAGAATTATTCGTTTGCATAATTTTACAATGCTTGCAATTTTACCTGCGTCCGTTTCTCTTCTGTCCACCTCATCGTAAACGTCCATGGCGAGTTCCTCAAACTGATGGTTACTTAGCTGGAAAAAAATGAAGCAGAATTTCTCTCACTTTTCAAATAGTAAATATTGGGACTCTTGGAACCTTTTATCACGCGTCAAAATGTCTCACCGACTGGAGCTTCTTCTTTGCAGCTTTTGCAAACTCGGACAAATCCAAGCTGCTGAGAGCAAACACAATGCGACACAAATCGATCATTTCTCTGGCAGCCGGTTCCACACCGACAAAGAGGAAACAACGGCAAAACATACTTACTTATTTCTTATCCATCAAAAGAATGCAGCGTTGGATGTGATAAGCATAAGATTGTAATTATTTTAAGTACAACAAATAGCATCGGCGAGTAGCTAGCTAGTCGGAGCTTACTGTATCACCATTTTTCTTACTGAGTATTAAACGATCTGCAAAACAAGGAGGTGCGAAACAAAATCCAAATATGACTTCAACTGCCACGCCAACTAGTCAAGTCTCAGTTTACTTCGATGTCTAAATGTCAATATATTAGACATCTGGGTGAAATTGTCAGTTAGGAGCCACAATGTGTTGTGTTTGACCACCCAAAATCTAAATTCAGTTCAGTTCATTGAGTTCAACCTGACGCAAATAGGAGGGATTCCCTCCAAGCTTTGCTGATGTATCGCGTTCGCAAGAACGGACGGTGAAGACGGGCAGATGAAAATATCCGTTACCTGTCTGCCATCTGCGGGATAATGAAGTGTTGTCCGTTTCTGTGATCTACGACAAAACAAGAACGCCAGAGTTAACGGCCGCAATAGATTAAGAGAAACACGTCAGCTCTGCAGCAGCTGTGCTTCCTACCTGGTCTTCTGCCACACAGGTAAAACGTTAAGCGGTCAGTGAGCTCATACTGGATCTCCACCAGCCTCTCCGCCAGATCCTGATGGCCGGCTTGTCTGCACACATTAGGAATAAAAGGTTTATGATTGAGGAATAGGCCTCGGTTCAGAGGGGGGGAGGGGGGGGGGGGTTATGCCCAGGTCTTGGTTCCAACTTTTTATAAAGTAGTTTGGCGAGAAAACTGTGCAAATGATTCGTTCCGTCCTCCATTGGCTGCTGGTGCTCTTATTGGATTTCTCAGGCTAACGGACTGCCGCTGGCTCAGAGTGTAGCGCTCATTGTAGTGCACGGCATGCAGAATATTTCTGCTCACGGGTAACTGGGCGTTTTCTAGCGGCTTTGTTGAATTTTTTTAAGCTTACGTTACTTCCCTTTTGAGTCCGAAAATACAGCATTTCCTCATAACTTTGAAATATATTAATACATGCAGTTGTTTTTTCCTCTGTGTACAACGGTGTTCAATCTGCAAAGGATGTGCATCGTTTCCTGCCACTCATGAGCTGGGCTGCGTCTGCTCAGGCGACGCTTGCAGCCACGCTTAAGGTTAGTCATGCGAACAGTAAAAGCCGTTGGCCATGTTTTCTACCTCACAGAGATTTTAACACAGTCTTCAACCCCGTGAGATCTAGAATGCTGCGCCTCTAGAAGAACGTGGTGTTCTTAACTCGACACGGTGTTGGTGCGAACTTACAATCTGGTACAACCTGTTAAAAATGATAAGCAGAATTAATAGCCTTGCATTTTACCTTGCATAATCAATGGGGGTCTTTCCACTGGAGTCCAGGGCCCCGGGATCAGCTCCATAAACCGCCAACAGTTCAGCCTGTAACATTTGTCCTGCTTTTGCTGCTATGTGTAGCGGAGTGTTCCCTTTCTCCTGTCGTCCCAAACAAAACAATGAGAACGCGTCAGCATTGTGTCAATGTTAACCGTGCAAACTCATAAAATAGGTGGGTTTTCTTTTTGGCTTGTTCCCTGACACCCACTGGATGGAAGAAGTTGGCCTGTGCTCCCAGAGATAAGAGCCGTAGGCAGGTCTCCAGATTTCCAGTCCGAACACTGGAGTGGAGTTGCTGAAAAGGAGATCAACAAGTAGTTTGATTGGATCCAAACATCACAGATCGGATCGACCCGCCCAAAACTGAGTGACAGATGGGATTTCCCTGCTGGAAATTAAAAAAAAGTTTGATAATCGCAAGTGGAATTCAAGAACAGCCATTTCTTACCTTGCTGAGGTCGTTTGCGGTAACACTGTCATCCTCCCGACAAGGCATCCGATGGACATACACCAACATCTGATACTTGGCTTTGATGAACTCGGTCTTATTGGGGCTGGAAACAACAAGACTCGCTCACATCGAACACCAGGAAAACGCAAAATCTGGACAACAGTTGCTATTTTAAAGTGACTACCGCCTCGCGTTCTCATATGTTTGATGAGAATGTGACAAACATCTACCGGGGAACATATCGGAACGGAGGATCTCCTGGTGTCTAACGTTGAAATCAAACACAAGACCTCTTCTTTTGAACAAATAACTTGTGTACAGATATATAAGACAAATGGGCACTACAGAATACTACGTTAGTGTGGAAGCCGGTCACAGAATGTGCTTTTAAAGTTAACAGACAATGAAAAATACTTCCTTATTTGGTGAATGAAGGAAGTTGGAGCAGCTGCAGGGTCTGACTTTCCGGCCAATTACACAACTCTTCCCCAATAGTTCCTGAACAATCAGAAACTACAATCCCCTGCAAAGGCGACTTGTCTTTTCAAACCTGCAACTATCCTACTGGTACTAAAATCAGTCAGAAGTTAACTGTCGAAACACGGCTTTATTTCCTGATTCAGCCCTTACAGCCCTGTGTGCGATGTAAACACCCGATAGGAAGGCACTGATCTTGAATCCTCTGTTAGGGCCCGAGGACAGCTGCCTCCGTTCGGTGCCGTTTTCTGTATGCGTTTACTCCCAGTGTGTTCAGCGTGGCTGTGTTTACATGTGGCCGACTGTTTATCTTCACTGCGCTAGCCACACCAGACCGGCCCAAGTGTTTATACCAGGCAGTGGATGACTGCATCACATCGGGGTGTTGGTTTTGGTCTTCTGAGTCAGTACATACTGTTTGTTTGAAAAGGCATTTTGGGAAGAAAAAAAAAAGCAGCTAAATGTTTGTTGATGTGCCTGTTCATAAGTAAATGGAGTTGGATATAGCGCTGGCATCGGTGGTGGTGTTTCCCGTCTGCATGTGACCACGTCCCTCCATTCCTTACAGTTACTTGAGAATGACTGCACACGAGTGGCCAATTCTGCATGTTCACTGACCTGAACCGTGAAAAATCAATAATGCCAATAGAGCTTTATATCAAGCACTTACTGAACTCTGTCCTGAGGGTTGGCTTTGCGTCTCCCCCCCATTGAAGAAGAAGGGTCCAGGAGGCTGTGCTCCCATATGGAATTAGCTCCATTGCCATAAAGCGTCTGCACCATCTGAAAACGTGAAGACAAACACCTCCATTTCACGTCCACATCCTCCACTATCACAGTTGCATCGGGGCGTGCTGAGGGGTGTTGGGGGGGTATTTGGGGGGCGTGCTGAGGGGTGTTGGGAGGGTATTTGGGAGGTGTGCCCGTCTCCTCACCTGTAACTGGCAGGGTGGCCATGGAGAATGTCTCAGGTGTCGGACCTGAGAGCTGTGTCGCCCCAGACCTCGATGGATGCTGCAGCACTCATCGCAGATCAGCACGCCCCTGTTGACGGAGGCCCACCGTGGCTCTGGAATAAGATTTTAACGGGGGGGCAAAAAAAACAAACAGTTAACGTTGTGTCGATTCGTTCATTTCAAACCACACGAGGACATTCACCCAGCAGCATCCAAAACAGCTCAGCTGCTTCCTAGTCGCATCACAAATGCAAACCAGGCGCGCGGGCTTGTTGCGCGACAACGTTTTTAGCTCATTAAAATTAAGCCCCAGCGAGCGAGTGGCGGCACATTAACCAGCCAATGTGCATTAAACCTTCGCTCGAGGGCAATTCGAGCAGAGAGTTGAGACGCAGACAAGGTAACGTGATCAACGCCGCACAGACTAAACACAGACAACGACACGTTTTTATAAAAAGGTTTCCACGGGAGGGGGGACTCGTGTTAACAGCATTAACCCCCCCTCCCCTGACAAATACCCGTGTAGCTCTTTGCTAGTGCGTATTTTCGTCGGCGTTGGCTAGTGGGTTAGCTAGCTGGACGCAACGTTAGGGCTAGCGGGTTAGCTGCGCGGCTAACGCTAGCTCGTCTGACATCATACCCGGGGCACTGCAATCAGCGCAGACCTCTCTGCTTCGGACTCGCTTTGACATCCCTTTTCACAAGTCCCGAGGCTCCAGGAAAGACAGATATTTGAAAGATACGTTAAGACACAGCTTGACAGAGATATAAAAAAATAAAATAAAAAACGGGATTGCCCGCCCTGGTAGATTGTATTCACCGACTCGGGCAAAGCAACTGTGCGCTCGCCTGTCCCCCCCTACTGTTGAACAAAGCAGTGCCGTGTTCCAACACTCACACACCCTCCTCTGTGCCTCCTTGTCCACTTCCGTCCTTGTTTCCTTGATGTCCATCCTAGGCAACCATATCGTCGGACCAACTCGCAAATAGAAAGAGGCTATTTGCTAGGTGCACTGTGCAGCTTAAGTTACTGTATGTGGATGTAGTCTAAGTAGATAAAACAAATACAATAAAACACATAATTCCCAAAGTTCATTTTTACATATTTTGTTAGTTTTAAACTGTTAATGCAGTTTTAATTCCACTAGTCCTGCTCAATGATTTGGAGCATTGTGGGGTAAAACCTACGAATATAACATAAATGTCACAGACAGAGAGTATGTGTTTATATAAAGGTATATATATAAAAGTTTAAGAAGTATTCAAAGCGGATGTATTTTCAGAAAACTTCATGTTGTGTGTCATCTAGCTTTCTACATCAAATGTTTTCATTACCACGGTGAATATTTTATTTGTCGTGCATGATCAAAAACCGACCTTCCTGTCTGGTTATTGAACATCAATCTATTTATCTCAATAAATGTTATAAATCATGTTACCCCCAAACATAGGGGTAACATGATTCAAATGTAAAATAGTCTTTATTGGCATGATCACAATGAAGAAGTCCGTATTGCCAAAGTAAGTTGTATACAAGTGTTTTACAATAATGGAATGTATTAGATGACACAACCATATCGTGGGGTGGCTTTTTTATAAACGCGCTATATAATTAATCTGTTATTCTCTAATCACTTCCTGATTAGTAACTGTGACAATTCATCATTACCTGTAACCCTCGTGTATTTATCAGCCTCTGCATAATCAATAAAAAAAACGCCCCTTTACGTAAGCGTTACGCACGGCGTGCAGAATAAAGGTGTCCCCGTCCCCATCGCTCCATGCGTGCGGCGCGCAGGGCTACTGTGACTTTAAAGGGGTGTTGGTTCCCTGAGAGGTGACAGATGGGGTTTAGTTCCCTCTGCTGAGAACGCATCGCGCATCTCTGCATTTTATTTCTTGGTTTGTGTCCAACCGGCAGCGTTGTCCTCGTCGCTCTCACGCAGACCCCCGCAGAGGAAAAAGCCGCGCGTGTCCGCCGCTGCAGCCTTCTCGAAGCGATGGGAGGTATGAGGCCCCTCATCTGCCGCCGCTGTTATCTTTTTTTATTTCTCCCCCTTGTCGCGAGCCTGTGAACCAGATTATTTCACACAGCATCCCCATTCTGTCCTTATTTTTGTGCGTGTGTGTGTTCTCCCGTCACAGAGGCAGAGACGCGTCAGAAACTGCTGCGCAATGTGAAGAAGGAGGTGCGTTGGATGTCGTTGCCTTTTGCGCCTGAATCCGTTTATGTTTACAGGCGCTGTGTTTACTGGATGTGTCTGTATGTGCGTGTTTATGTGGGCATCGTGACGACGCCACAGGCCTGTTTATCATGACATTTACCATTATGGACCATTGTGCTTGTGTAATATAAGCGGATGCAATTAGGCAGCCAGGAACATGGCATGACTTAAAGGCTATGCAAGATGATGCTGACGCTGATAGTGAGGATGATGAGGATGAGAATGATGATGATGATGATGATGATGGGGGTAGTGAAGATGATTTTATATTTTTATAAAAAACTGCAAATTTTAGGAGCTGTGTACATGATGCTTTTCTTTCTATATATTCTCTCTCTCTCTCCATCTGAAGAAATCATGGTTAAACCGTTTTCTACAACACACCATCCTATTCTTCTAACAGTTTCATTACCGTTTGCAATGCAAAAAAAAGTCCAACCTAAGCTGGCTGATTGTGACTGAATTAGTATCCATTTGGATATTAATCTACATCCAAATTGAAGACAGCACAGCTCGGAGTGTTCCAAACTGCTCAGTGACTCCCCGACTCCCCAAGGGGGGAAAAAACTCCATGTTTTATTCATTGCCGAGGAAGACCGGTGCTTCCATTCTGATCGTGTCCGTGCTCCCCCTCACCTGTGACTCATTGCCTCTCAAACATCCATGTCTCTCTGCTGGATCCTGCAGCAAGGAGGGGCTCAGCTGTGGTGTGCAGATTTAAAGCACAGGCGGATTCGTATCATTAGGATGTTCTATTCAGGTTCATAATGCCGCTTTCTTTTCTTTAAACAAGAACAGGGAACCAAACATGTTGTGGGCATCCGACATCCCCTCTGCAATTATGGGATTCTGCTCTCATGCCAGTTTTACAATGCAGTTTTGCATTGCTTATCAATACACTTCAATAGTTTGTAGAACATTTGTTTTTCAAGGTACATTTGTTAAAGCAACAAGCTCTACCACAATAAAAGGTCAGTCTCTAAAAGTGTATCGATCGATGATGACTGTGACGATGATGATGATGATGATGATGATGACAGTCCATGAGCCGGTTAAAGGAACTGACATTTTACTTCTTGACTTGGAGACGACTAATATCCTTCGCTATAAACACTGAGACGATACCAAGTTGCTTTACGGGGTAAATTGCGGCCCCTGCTGCTTTGGTTATGAACATTTCAAAATAAAAAAAGGAAATTATCCAACTTAAGTCCACTACTAGATTGCTGGAATGCACCTTAAAGATGCACTATGAAGAAAATAATACTATCTGATAGTGAAAGCCCTATGCATCACATTTGTAACATTCCCAGAAGATCAATAACGTTTTGTCAGGATGTTAAGTAGTACACATGAGTTTAAGGACTTAATGAATCATTCGGTCTGTATGGTTGACACATGAGTGTGTTGTGTGACTGTGCTGCTCATGCGTTACTCATCAGGACCTATTCTCACTTATCCCCCCCATTGTTTCTTGTTCGTTCTCTCTGTGACCGTGTGAAACAAACCAAGTCCTGTCTCACCGTGTACCTTTCTCTATTAGGTGAAACAAATTATGGAGGAGGCCGTCACAAGGAAATTTGTGCACGCAGACAGCAGCCACATCATATCCTTCTGCGGTAAATGTATTTTGTGATTGCATTGCACAATAAGCTATGTTCCTAAATTCAGGGTGTATTCTCTAAGCTTTGCTTAGGAATCAGTAGGGGCTGTAAAGAAGGGGACGCTACATAAAGTAAATAGACACATTTTGTTTTGTCCATCTTAGAAAACCTCTTTTTGGTCTAAAATTGTTGTGTTCACTTTGGGAGATAACAGCACATGCTGTCTTTAATCAATCAGCCACAGTAGTTGTTACTACCTCATTGACATTAGTCCGTGTCAAGTCGTCACCTACCAGTGAGTTCATCATCAGAGGGAAAAACTGCTCCCTGCAGCCTGTTCAAGCAATGCGAATGCTAGCAATTTATTTTCATGATGCCATTAGTCATCATGTCCATTCATATTTAATAAGGTGGCTGGGTGGATACGTACCAAAGTACGCAAACACTCTTCAAAGGTGTTAATATAAACCGGGAGTGAGGCGTGTGTGATTCACATTCTGCATATCCTAGCAACGCTGTGTTGGGCAGATTTTAGTCTGTTTCTACATGTGCAAATATGTGCTTGCTTTTCATCGTTTATTTACATTTTTTTATTAAAAAAAAAAGATTCAAACTTGAGGGTTTCACAAAAAGGATACTATATCTCGCTCATGAAATAAAACAAACCCAAGGGCAAATTCACAATTCCACCTTAAGGTAACAAAAACATGGACAAAATTGAATCGATTTTTTTTTTTAATCAAATAATGGTTGATCTGTGTGTTTGTCTGTGTAGCTGTAGTGGAGGCCTGCATGCTTCATGGACTGAAGCGGCGTATTGCAGGTCTGCTCTGCAGTAACAAGGTTGCATCACTCTTCATGAAGGTGGCAAAAACCTTTTTGCCTGCTGAGGAACTCTGCCACAAGGTCCAGGAGGTGGAGCAGCTCATCGAAAACAAGTGAGATGTTTACTTCCGCTTGTGCAAGGCTGGTTCACAAAATGAGATGCATTCTGTTTCTTTATGTATGCGTGTATGTCTCCCCCTTTGTGCTCCACTTATGTGCCATAATGCATCCTAACGCCTTGTCCTGTCCTAAGCGTCTGTTCCACAAGGTTTCTCTTCTGTTTTTCAGCAAGCAGAACAATTCCTCACTCAGTAATGACCGCAGTCGTCAATCCAAGTTGGCCAACCTCACCCCTCAGGCCCTGAAACACCTTTGGATCCGAACTGCACTGATGGAGAAGCTCCTAGACAAGATTGTCCTGTACTTGGTGGAGAATAGCGGGTATTTTTATGTATCATTCAATGCAATTATAAGCTAAAATAATTGCTATTGATGGTTGTATCCTTCATTCAATACTATACTACGATTTTACAGTATTTCTCTGTAAAAACTGATATCAGCTTTTATTCAAAGCAGCTTTAATCTTTCCAGCTTTTCTCCTATCATACACACATTCCATATTATGTGGTTAAAGCCACGGTATTCTTACGGAAGTTTTGTTAAAACATCCTAAAATGTTATGAATGTTGTCTCCTGCAGTGCCTTCTATGAGAAAGAAGCCATGCTGATGGATCCTGTGGATGGACCAATTCTTGCATCTCTATTGGGTATTTATAAGCCGCTCTAACCCGCTCATGCACCGCACTGCCTCGCCGTATCTGAACGAATTGAAATGTGTTTGACCTCGTTTCACAGTTGGGCCTTGCGCCTTGGAGTACACCAAAGTCAAGACTGCGGACCATTTCTGGACGGACCCGTCTGCCGACGAGCTCGTGCAGCGGCATCGCATCCACAGCGGCCACTGTCGGCAGGATTCGCCCTCGAGACGGCCTGCCCTGGTTAGACAGCGAAGAATACTTGAGCAAATAATCCGCTATTAACTACTGTGTGCGATACGTCTGACGTATTCTCAACCTGTGACAGATCCAGAAGAGACAATCCAGCGGTAGCATGGACGATCGTCCTCTCATGTGGGTGAGGGACTATGTGGAATCACTGCACCAAAACTCCAGAGCAACACTTCTGTTCGGGAAGAACAATGTGCTGGTGCAGCCGGTGTGTGTTTTTTTTTTTCTTCTTTTCATTACGTCTCGAAATACAACCGTAATCCTTTAAGAGAGGCTTGTTTATTTTCCCGGGACCTGGGCGCGTCTGTTCTAGCGCGGGCGGACGCGGCGTGCTTTTAAAGCTCTTGCTTTTGTCTGCAGAGAGACGACATGGAGGCCATCCCGGGCTACCTTTCTTTACATCAAACCGCAGACGTCATGACGCTGAAATGGACACCCAATCAGCTGATGAACGGCAATGTGGGGGAGCTGGATTCTGAGAAAAGGTTTGGCACATAGAACCCAATCAACAAAAAAACACTTTTATTATTGCATTGTTTACTCCACGGCTCTTTTCTCTTTTGCTTTTTTCTCCTCCTTCTCGCAGTGTTTATTGGGATTATGCCATGACAATTCGTTTAGAGGACATTGTGTATCTCCACTGTCATCAGCAAGGTACAGTAATTCCCTCTCAATGTTTTAAGCGTCACCAAAAAAGTGTTTTTAGGAGATATTCAACTTTTTAAAAATGATTTTGTTTTCAATCCAGTGAACAGTGGGGGGACGGTGGTTTTGGTGAGCCAAGATGGGATCCAGCGTCCTCCTCTACATTTCCCCAAAGGAGGCCATCTCCTCCAATTCCTGACCTGCCTGGAGACCGGCCTGCTACCTCACGGACAGCTGGATCCACCGCTCTGGAATCAGAGAGGAAAGGTCAGCGTGAACGGAGGACAGCAAAAGCACTTCACAAGCGTCTTGTTTTCCTTTCTGCATTAATGCTGCGTTCACCTCCAGCTACGACCCCTTATCACAATCTGTGGCGAATCACCGCCTTTCCACTTTACAGGGAAAGGTTTTCCCTAAACTGCGAAATAGGAGTCCACACGGCTCGTGTGATTCTGTGTCCGACAAGGAAGAGGACGAAGCAACCGATTATGTGTTTCGGATCATCTTTCCTGGCAATCAGATGGAGTTCAGTGAGTGTCTTTAATCTTCCTTTTCTGTCTCACTGTCTTAATCTAATAAAACGTAGCCAGGGAGTGCATCCTCAACTGCATTACTCTCTTAATACTGAAACACCGATTAGTCCCTTTCAGTTTGGATAAACCTGTTTTCCTCAGTCATATATCATAGTAATATCTTTCCACTATTTATCTCTGGTATTAAGCTGCTACACGTCATGTCCTTGTTTTGCCTATCTGGTGCCTGTGTGTCCCATTGTGTCCATCGTAATTTCATCGGGTTTCACTTAACTATGATAATGACGGTAGCACTGATACAAGCCACCCCGCTGTGCAGTGGCCCTGGAGCTGATGGACCAGGGCGTTACTTTGTGGCAACCCACGGCCAGAAAGTCCTCATGCTCCTCCTGCTCACAGAACGGCTCCTCCGATGGCTCCCTGCCCAACGGCTGCAACCAGGAAAGGTAAACATCACCTACGTCCAGGCCCGAATATAAATTCTGATTAATCCAGTTGAACAGTGCCATTCCTTTCCTACCAGGGCTCCCTTAAAGCTCCTTTGTGACACCATGAAGTACCAGATAATCTCCCGTGCTTTCTATGGATGTAAGTAACAAAGGACCGTCGGTTGACTTTGATTCTTTTGGGAAGAATTTAATTCCTAATGAAACGAGCGCTCTTGTCAAAATTAAAACTTCTATCGTTGTCATCCAGGGCTTGCATACTGCCGTCATCTATCCACAGTTCGTACGCACCTTTCTGCCCTTGTCAACACCACTATAGTTGACCCGGATGTGCCATGCGACGCCCACGGAGGACTCTCTGTGGAGGTCTGGGGCCGGTTCCTCAAGGACAGCTCTGTAAGATTTACACTGCAACACCTGGCCATAAGATTTATTTTGAATTCAATTAAGTAGACCATTAAATGTTTCTCGTGAACAGTCAGCATTACAAAAAAATCCTTGTTTAGGCGTATGAGGAAGAGGAGATACACAGGCTTGTGTATTTCGGTGGTGTTGCTCCCTCATTACGCAAAGAGGTCTGGCCCTTCCTGTTGGGACACTACCGCTTTACCATGACGGAGACATGCAGGCGAGAGGTATTTCCACCTTCCGTCAGACGTTTTGATGGTCCGACTGTAAAGTTCACACACACGCCACAAGGGGGATGCTGTCCGCGCGTGTTAACGCAAGGGTTCGGTTTCAGATTGATGAGCAGATGCGGACTGTGTACGAGCAGACCATGAAGGAGTGGAAGGGTTGCGAGGCCATAGTCGTGCAGAGGGAGAGGGAGAAACACGCCGAGGCCCTCGCCAGATGTTTGTCCGGCGGCAGTGTGGAAAAAGGGCCAGTGCAGCGGGACTCCACCATCAGCACCGATGCAAGTTTGACCTTTTGGCATAAGATATCCTGCGTTGTATATAACCATGAAACACACACACATACATATGAAATATACGGAGGAGAGCTGTTTATAATATCCTGACATTTACAAGCAAGTTGACAGGTTTTTTTCTCTCTTGTGGTGCTTTTCTCCACTGCAGTCGTCTCTAAGTAGCAGCTCAGATCCACCGAATACTCACACACAAAGTGATTCCATCAGCAGCGGCACACAGGTAATCTCAACAGCACTGATGTTTAGATAAAAATACAAAAGCACACCATTGTTTTGTGTAATCCTGGTGTTACCCTACACTGCTATTTTTCATTACAATTATAGTGTAATGCATGGCGCGGCCTTCATTGAGTTGTGTTCCCTTCAGTTTCTACATTATCTGGTCATAAATCAAAGAAATGGACAAACTGGCCGAAAGTGTGTGACCTTCATAATGGCGCTTGATGAAACGCCAGAGTCCTAAATAATCCATTTCATAGTTTACGACATGTTACTACACAAAATGTCAGGGGAATACCACAGTTATTGGGAAACGTTGACTGTCTACACAAAAGGTTGTGTCTATTCAGCAAATAGTTGTTGAGCTATTTCACAGGATTAGTGAAAGCTTCACCAGGGCTCATCCTCTCAGGGACCACGAATGCCTGCGAAACTTCAGAGCCTTTCCATCCCATCATTCATAGATTTCTGCAATGTTTTCTTCAACATTGGTCCGTTTCATTGGTCCAGGATTCAGAATGCATTGCATGCTGACGCCTCTCCTGTGGTCAGCAGGTATCTGAATTGGTTGAGGCAGTGGATCAGATTGGGACCGAGCTCAAAGTCGGGGAAGGAGAAGCACAACAAAGTACTCCACTAAAAGACGTCACAAGTGGCACTGCGGACAGCCCCTCCTCCCCAGGTGCGTCAACTCAACATCCGAGTTCAGCAAACAGCCCCCTAGAAACAGAGACGGCCGCTGGAGCGGCAACCTCTCAGCCGTCGGAAGCATCACAACAAGTCTTACATGAAAAACCCACAACTGGATCACAGTCAGGAGGCGAGGAAACGATGGAGCCGGGAGCCAAAGCTGTGATTTCGGAGGCAAAAATGGAGAACGTTTCAGAAGGTGAGATGGTCAAGGACAGTGGAATCAGTGAGTTGACAACCGAATCAAAGGAAGAACCTGAATTAGAAGAACGAAAATCTGAGAAATCTGAAGATTTCAAAGCAGTCGACACAAAATATAATTTAAGAAGTATCCCAGAGAGCACTAACGTCCTAAAGCTAGAAACAGAGATTCATAATGAATATTTTCAAGCACCTCCACTCGGGCAAACCTTAACTTTTCAAGCACACAAGAGCAAAGATCTGGAAGTGGAGCCGCCACGTCGTCCTTTAGCAGAAAAAGAGGTTAATCCAGAGGGTGAAAGAAAGACGAAAGAGACTTCTGAAAAATCGGAGCCAGCTTCTGAACAAAAGGCCTGCATCACGTGGCCGGAAAGAAAGGATGCTGAAGGAACCGCCTGTGAATTGGCGGAAATCAAAAAAGATAAAGCCGCAGAAATTCCATTCGAGAAACCTGGTTCAAATTCGCCCGTCAGGCAGGTCCTGAATGCCCTCCAGTCGGCGTCGAAGGGCAGCCTTTCGTTACCGTCCCACTCCCGGCAGTCTCCGGACGCGGCGGATTCGGATGACTCTCCTTCGGCCCTGGAAATGGAGGACATTCCTGCAGGGACGTGCGTGACCTCAGATGACATCAAGGCCAGGCCTCTGGCGGGTCTCGCTGCTCCACCTGTCCCCCCTGCGCAGAGACGGAAGATGGCATCGGAGGACCTCGTCCTAGATCGCCATCTGGACTCGGCGTGCAACACCAGCCCCGAGGGCACCGACCCGGGCCTCTCCGAAGAGGAGGCCGAGATGGACATCGCGCTCGCTGAACCCGAGCCCGCAGAGTCGGGAGGAGACACGAAACGCGACGTCCCCTCGGAAGAACCCACCTATTCCGTAAGCATCACGCACGACACGCAAGACACACCTCTTCTTTTGATCGCCAGCGCGCTTACAGAATTCTCCATTGTATTTCGCAGCAAGAAACACTGGACATGTACTTGATCAATTTACATCGCATTGACAAAGATGTCCGGCGCTGTGACCGAGCGTATTGGTACTTCACTCCCGAGAACCTGGAGAAGCTGCGTAACATCATGTGCAGGTAACCGTGTGGTAAATGTCTCCCCGACGTTTATGTCTAACCCCCGAAAAACCATCACGTCTGAAAAAAACTAATTGGCTGACTTTGCAGTTACGTGTGGAAGCATCTGGATACGGGTTACGTCCAAGGCATGTGTGATCTGCTGGCTCCTCTGCTGGTTATTCTGGACGATGGTCAGTGACAGAAAACTCGACCCTTTGCCTCAATGCACATGAGTGGCTAATAGTCCTTCTTTCTTGTGCGTGCGCTTCACAGAGGTCATGGCATTTAGTTGCTTTACCGAATTAATGAAGAGGATGAACCAGAATTTTCCACATGGCGGTGCGATGGACTCCCACTTTGCCAATATGCGTTCTCTTATCCAGGTATGTACATGTATGTGCACCGACTCGTGTGCGCCTGCATGCATATACAACAAAAAGTCGTAAAATAAAAATAGCATTTGTATTGTTTTTCAATGAATAGATCCTGGACTCTGAGCTGTTTGAACTGATGCAGCAGAACGGAGACTACACTCACTTCTACTTCTGTTACCGCTGGTTTCTACTTGACTTCAAAAGAGGTGACGGCAAACCCATGAGATTTACTTGAGTTGTCAGTAAAAGAGCATTTTGAAATTTGTACAACTCACCTGTTTGTCTTTTTTTTTTCGCACAGAAATGGTGTATGATGACGTGTACTCTGTTTGGGAAACAATCTGGGCAGCCAAGTACACCTCCTCTGATCACTTTGTCCTCTTCATTGCTCTGGCACTTGTGGAGATGTACAGAGACATCATCCTGGAAAATAATATGGACTTTACAGACATCATCAAGTTCTTTAATGGTAAGAAAATACAGGAAAATACAAGGAAAACAATGTTGCCAATTCATTAAATTCAGTAAAATCATTTCAAAATATAAATTCCACTCACCCCAAAAATAAACTACTGATTATTATAAATATTACAAAGCATTTTACCTCTTGGATGTTACAATTCTCTTCTCAGAAATGGCCGAGCGACACAACGTTCCGCAGGTCCTGATGATGGCTCGAGACTTGGTCAATAAAGTGCAAACGCTCATTGAAAACAAGTGATGCTGCAGCTGTTCGCACATCTCATCTCTGTGGTTGATCGCTTCAAGATACTAACACAACCACACACACAACAGTAATTTATCCTAGAGGAAAGGAATACATGTAAATCAAATGCAGTGATTGTTAAGTACTCAAAAGACAACTGGTAATTATTCTTGTTTTCAGTTGCTCCTCTCCTCTCATCTTCGGGAGACGCAATTGTTGCCAGTGAATTTCATTTGAAAGTGTTAATTGTTCACCTAGTGAATGTACCCTTAATGCTTCAGGATGTGATTTGTTTTGCCTTAAATTCAACTGTTTTTTCAGGGATACAGCAACCAAATTGCGTCACGGTATTGTTCTTCTGATAGGGTTGATTGAGTTCTCGTGATGCACTTGAATATATTTTCGACATTGCTGTTATTTTCGCTGAATTTGTAGCTAACGTGTCTAAACATCTGCTTGGATATATTTCGGTAATATCACCGTCGGGCATTATGAGATTATTTGCTTTCAGAGGAGGTTGTGTCCACGTCGTATGTGCGGTTCGCGTCTCAGTAGCCATTCGGAGGATATCTCGTCTCTGAGCCTCGATGGTCCTGTTCCCCGGTTTGCCTCGTGGCTCGCAGGATTTCCAGACTGAACCTGTGACCTCTGTGAAGCCTTGCATGTTTGCACATAGTTTGCATCAAGTCCAGTCCCTTTCCTCTGTAAACAAACGGCCATACTGGTGCCCCAACTCTCTCTGCACACTTCTCTTTCCCACCTCAACTTTGACATCAGTTTAACGTTTTTCTGCCCTTCTTCGTCCTGCTGATCTTGGTTGCCTTGTCTCTAGTTTGCTCTAGTTTGTTATTTTGACACGCCTAAACTTTTAGCAACCAGTCTGACAATGATTGCTGTTATTTTCCTTGAGTAACAGTGCATTTCTCTTCATTCATGTCTATATCTTTTGAAGAAGAGCTCTGCGTGCAAAACACTTGAACTCTCAATTGAGGCTTAAGTCAGTATCACAGGTTCACTTTAGCTTTGACTCTTTTCTCTGTGACATTTAGTTTTGTGTAAAGCTAGTTTGTGCACAGAAAGCAGCCTCCGCCTCGATGGGCTAACCTATTTCCCTTGGAAAGAGACGCCCTCTTGTGTTTAGCTTGTTAAATCAGATCCGGGGCTCTCCGGTTCCTTGGGGGCCTCTGATTTTAGCAAGGTTGAAATGGTCACTAGATGTATCTATTGTACACCTCCTCACACAGTTTCTGTGCATTGCGTCTTAACAGCTACGTGCGTCTCTCATCTTGTCGGAGCCCTTGTCTGGTTTTCACTGTCTAGTAAGTGCAAAAAGGGTGAGGTTAATACATAAACGGTCAGTTCAGTGGTAGCTATTCTGTAGTATGTAGCCAGGCAGATGGTTTCAGTTTTACGCGTGAATGTTTACACCATCCTCTGCTGCTAATGCAACACCGTTGAAGGTAATCGTTTGTTCTGCTGATAATTAACACATATTGGCAAAGTGTATTTCCAGAAACAATGCGCTGGACACCTCGATGTCCTTCTTTAAATTGGTTTCCCGAGATCTAACAAAGCCTAATAGGGGTTTGTGAACCTGATCTAGATTGCAGTAATTCTAGATGAATTAAATCTTCTAATCTCCACAGATGGATACAAAAATATCTACCAGCATAAGTATGTCAGAAAATACGATTTATTGGTTCCACTGTCAAAAAATAGCCATAACCCACCCATGTTTGGTTCACTGTGGCTTAAATACCAGTGTTTTGATATCTCTGCTGTGTCTCCACATGATCTTCTAAAACGTGCCCGAGTATTGCTGTTTGTGCATTGCTGTTTGTCGTCAGAAGATTAACTGTATACAATGTGATAATAGTACATTATTTATTAAAGGCAATACGATGTCTGTTTATGGGCTTTATCGGATTATAAAGGTAAGGAAGATAAAAATGTGCCATTGGAAATAAATAAATATATATATATTTTTTCTGTCTTCTCAAATTGTCACCTGGTATAATTAATTTATTGTGTATTAAAAATATTATATTTTGCATCCCATGTGCCTCATGTATATTTTCACACTTTGTATATTTTCCTACATAAGTTACTTTATGTGGTCAGCACTCGTGACTCGTTTTGTCATTTGGCCTTTAAACGGTTGTTTCATTTTGTTCGATCCAAGCAGCCTTTCTTAATGTGCCTGCACAAAAGTTTAGCAGAACATGAGACAGGCTTCTCCATCTCTCTCGCTTTGAGGCTCTGATTCTGTATGGTGGCACCCTTGAATAAAAGTGTCATTGATAAGGCAACATTATCACTTCAGTGAATATAGTAACACAGTAATCTATAAAAACAGGCCTGATGACAAGGAATTAAACTGCAGTAGAAGTTTGCATTTTATTGGTAAACAAAAAACCACAGTGAAGACCTACAGGCCACCTCAGTATCAGGTTCAAACATTAAAGCGAGGCTCACAGTTAATGTGTGTAGCTACACTAAAAAAAGGTTATCTAATTGTATGTGTTTCAAATCGGAGTATGAGATTTTCTTGGATTGGCAAAAAGACGTCATACTTCACAATATAGACTGTTGATCATTTAAAAAGCAGCGTGACCCGTAGCCAGATATCTGCAAAATTTGTTTTGGACAATAAACATTACCATTGCTGTCAAGGTTTGACATCACAACACAGGATTTCTTTATAAAAGAAACCTCCAAAATGTTACATTGTAGAAGGAAGAAATAAAAACTAAATCAACAATCCCAATTCCACATAAACGATTCATAGAACAATGAAAAATGAAATCTCCGGCATTGGGGAGAAGCAAAGTGTTCAGCTAATCATGACAATGGAATGTGTGTAGAAAGAAACAACAACGATCATATTAAACAAGGAGGCCTGTGGTTAAAATGAAAAATAAAAAGAATTACAAAACACTTTCCCCGATTCCTCTAGAAGTGGTCGGCGATTCTACCGATAATGACGTGGCGGTGGGCTGTGGTGCTGTGGCGGGTGCCTCCTGGGGGGTGGACTATGGCGGGACATAGAATGGCGTGGAGGCGACTGGTAGCGTGCGGGTGGAGATCCTCGGTTATGAAAGGGAGGCGAATAGCGACCTCTGGATCTGGAGCGGGAACGCGACCGGCTGAAGTTCGGGGTGCCCCTCTCCTCGAAGACGCGGATGTACGCGGTCTCTCCCTGCAGAGGGGAAAATAACTTAGCACACCCAGTCCTTTCAGGGCCGGTAAACCTCATCATCACAGGGACTCACTTGATGCGAGCGGAACTCGGTCCGATCCAGCCTGCGTAACGCGTACTCCATGTCCTCTCTGCGGAGGAATTCCACCACGCCCTCTCCGTCCCGCTGCACGTCCGCAAAGCAGACGTCTCCAGCCTCGCGCATGTGATCCTTCAGATCCTGCCAGCTCCCAGTTGGCGGCAATCCTGGAATGGGTGGGGGGGGGTGGGGGGGGGGGGGGGGAGACAAAAACTTACTTTCTTGCATGCTTAAAATGAACTGGCGCTCACACATTATTGCGGGGATCTTTTGCCCTTGAGACAAAACTCTGAGGTAAACAACACCTTCACAAAGTACACTTAACAGTCACTTAAATTGAAAAGCTCAAAATAAGACATTGGTCGATGGTTTCCGCAAACTACAATATGTCCAGATGTTGCACACCAATACATCTGCTCTAGTTTGACCGGCCGGGTCAAACTAGAGACATACAACATAAGCCTTCAGAGGGATTGGTCATTCTACAGCTTATTTTAACATGCTTGTACAAACACAAGAACAACAAATAAAAGGTAGCATGCTACGAGTAGGTCAAATGAATGATAGACAATACAAAATCACACCTACCAGTCACTACAGTTGGTGTTTGGGATTATGCAGCAGACATGAACGTTTTCAGTTTACTATTTCGTTTTTTTTCGTGACTGAAGGAGCTGACTTGACCCCATCCACTTAGTCCCCTTGTCCTCGAGTCCACCACGACAGAGAGAAACATATCTGCCTAGGACTCCTGATGCCTTTTACTAGTCCCATTGTCCTCCAGTCCGCCATGAGAGGGAGAGAGACATATTGGCCTACGGCTCATGATGTCTTGTGCTAGTCCCCTTGTCCACCATGTTGGGAGAAAAACATACTTCCCTAAGACTCATGATGTCCTCTACTAGTCCACCTTGTCCTCCAGTCCGCCATGAGAAAGAGAGAGAATATATCTGCCTACATTTCATGACATCCTCTACTAGTCCCATGTCCTGTGGTCCGCCATGAGTGAGAGAGAGAGAAAATGTCTGCCTATGACTCATGATGTCTTTTACTAGTCCCATTGTCCTCCAGTCCGCCATGAAAGAGAAAAATATCTGCCTATGACTCATGACATCCTCTACTAATCCCTTGTCCTCCAGTCCGACATGAGAGAGAGAAACATATCTGCCTTCCGACTGGTGGTGCGTTTTACCATTTCCCTTGTCCTCCAGTCCGCCATGAGAGAGAGAGAAACACGTCTGCCTACGACTCCTACGTTCACCCGTCTATCAACCCCCTTGACATCCACGATATGGAGCGAAATATGAACCGGCTGCGACTCGTGACGTCCACCTACCAGAGACTATGACCCGGAATTCAGATCTTCGAGTGGGGGGTCCAAATCTTCCCCTAGGTCCTCCTCTTTCTCCATCATTACCTCCTCCTCCACCAACACCACCTCCACCCATAGGGCCAAATTTAGCACCAGAAGATCGAGGATACTCCACACGTAGCTTGGAGTCTCCATAACCATATCCATTCCTTCCATAGACAGCATCGTCCGCATCCCTAGGAGAAGAGAGCAAAGAACTCCTTACCAACATGTGCTTGTTTCACTAGTGGACAGGTCTCCATCCATTTCCTGCCGCCAGTCACTGGAGATGATTTGTATACCACGTAAACTTAAGTTCTCCACCAAGCGAGGTGCGATTTGACTTGGCAAAGATCTTCTAAACTCACCGTGGATCCTCAAATCGGACAAAAGCAAAAGGAATAGTGCCTCGATTGTTCTTCAACTCGATGTCACGGATTTTTCCATATTTGTAGAAGAGATCCTCAATGTCTCTCTCCTGGATGTCCACGGGGAGATTCCCCACATAGATCCGGCCATCTGACATGGTGGTGGGGATGTTGGTACTGCTGAGAGAGAATGGAGGCACCGGCAGACTTGATCACTTCTTTTTGTTCAAAAATAGCGATGGACGTGGTCCTTATCTTAATCCTAGTTCCAATCCCAAATTTTCTTCTTCTGCCTCGATTTCCTTAATTTAGAAGAAAAAATAAAATCTAAACCAGGACCGCAGACATGAGAAAATAACGAGCTCAAAAGCAAATGGCAGGGGCCTCACAGATCAGAGCCTGGAAGCTTTAAAACACAGGTTAATGAATCCCAGATATGCCTTAAAACATTCTTAGCGGCACAATAGTTATAATTTATGGTATTATACGACGTTAATATTTTTACATCATGTGCCACATAACATAATGAACTATGATTTGCATCACCAAGCTATAGCCTTACATGTTACAATAGATTTAAAGACAACACACCACTGATCATTCCCCAAACAAATTCCTATTTCAACGATAACAAATTTAAATAGGCTCCGGCTAAACTAGCCCGCAGCTCCCGGACTAGCTCACTCTATTTAGCTTTGGTTGCATACGGTTGATTGGTTGATTATTTGCTTGCGATAACAGTTTCTGCAGCGTGAATCTAGTACGAAACAGAAAACACGCCAGCGGAACAGTTCCGCTTGATGATTTTAGACTGAAAGCTAAAGACGTGTCATTTAGCACAGAAACTACGCTGTGAGCTTCTTTGTTGGTAACGAACGGTCAAGCTAGTCGGGCTTACGGGTCTGTTCCAGCTACGTTTGAATGCCCCAATTGTTCTCACGCGCGGAAATACTCATATTTGGAAAGAAAATATTAGAAGTATTCTGTAAAAAACAACGAGCACATAACAACGTATCCTTACCTTTCAGAACAAGTAATGGTTTCCTCTTTCGTGGATTTAACGCTAACAGCTCGCACGCCGTGTTACTTCCCTGTTGGTTAGCAGCGTTAGCATGTAGCCTTGCGTCTTCTTCTACTTCCTATTTCCGGCGGACAGTAGTGGGTGTGGGCGCATTGCCGCCTCCTGTCGGTAGGGGAAAGGAACTTTACTCTTGGTTCTTTCTCTTTCTTCCCTCCCTTACACGAGAACCCAAAGCCGCTCGCGAAACAGCATTTCAACCAACTGACCGCAGCGGCCTTAACTCAGTTTATTCGAAATAAATCAGTGATATGTGATTAGTGTCTGTGGTGCACCTGCATGTGGAGTGTCCTCCTCAATGCAGCCTTGCGAGTCCTGACTCGTTAGATCGCCTCCAATCGATGCTCATATTGTTCTTTTCGTGTTCTGTACTCCGCGCCGGCTGCATCCTGTTCTGGTTGGTTCTCTACAGAAATGTAAGACAATAAGTCCCTGGGGGGGTTGTTACACAACCACTTACATAATGCTGTTTTTTCTTCTAATTTTACTTTTTCAAGCGACTGGCAACCTTTGATGAGTTATGTTCTCTGATTAGTATATACATTGAATGTAAACAGTGATTAACGGTACATTTAAAGAAATGTAATATTGTTTCGCAGTTATTCCATTCTGTAAAAACAAATCTGCATCAAAAGGTAAAAACGAATGTGCAACTCAGCCAGGGAAATGCCACTTACTCATTTATGATGATTATCATAAATTCTGATTGTAGATGGGTAACACATATTGCAAATAAACATGCAGCCGGGGACATATGCCATCCCAAAAAGACATAAAACATGGAATGTGTTTAAACATTTATGTCAGCGAAGTTTGTGAACAAGTTAAGTGTTGGAACCAAATCGCCGTTTATTTGTGAAGAAAGCTAATTGAGAGAGAAAAATAAAATAAAGACATAAATGAAAATGTAATCAGTCGTTTACATGCGTCTGTAAAGGCGCCTTTGAGGTCCAGAACACGAGTACGCGCAGCGGCAGATGCCAGGCGGCGCGCAGCTCGCGCGCTGTCAGTCAGAACGCACCCGCACGGCGAGAGGCGAGCTCGCGACTTCCGGCTGTGTGAAGCTGTTTCAGGTGACGGGAAAACAAGACAAAAAACAAAAACAAAAACATGTCGTACCCGAAGCTCGTGGCAGCTCTACTCCGCTCCAACCCGCGAAACAACGTCCGAGTGTCACCCGGAAGATGTCGGAGCACGGCGGCGTCCCGCCGGGACGAGAAGCATCCACGCATCGACGGCTGCCCCGTGGTGGAAGCGGCGCCGGTGGAGCTCATCAGCGGGACCAGGCACCCCGAAAGCCCGCCGCGGAGCGCGGTCCGCGTCGACTTCGACAACACCCAGGAGGCCTACCGGAGCAAAGGGAACATCGAGCTGCTGCGAAGTCTGCTGGTCTTCAAGCTGTGTACCATCGACGTCCTGGTTGAGAAGAACAAAGAGGTAAGCGGGTTTGTGCTGAAAAACTTTTTGCCACTTTTCATGCTTAGCAGTGCGGTCACTAACTTGTTGTCCCCGGCGGCTTTGCAGCTGATGGATCTGAGCAGGAAGGTGCTCGGTCAGTGGATGTTTGAGAAGCTGATGAAAATGACCTTCTACGGCCAGTTTGTGGCGGGAGAGGATCACAACTCCATCAAGCCTTTGATTCAGAAAAACCAGGCCTTTGGAGTTGGGGCAGTTTTGGACTACAGCGTCGAAGAGGACTTGACACAAGAAGAAGCCGAGAAGAAGGAAATGGAGTAAGTGACCTCCTCATCTGCGAGTAGTCTCCCTTAAAACATGTTAAGTTGCATCGTGTGAATGCGTTAATGAGTCAGTTTTCAACATGAATATGTGCCATATGTTAAGCGCATGATGACACGTTTCTGAGGCATGTAACTTGTTGAGTCAAGTTTATTTGACACAGCCATGTGGCCTATAGCTATAAGGTTGTGACCCAACCCATGCTCTCACAACAACGTACTCTTTAAAACAAACAGGAAGAAACTACAGGAGGCCGCTACCATGGAGACAGACCCCCCCCCCCCTTTTTCCACGGCTCTGTGTTAAACAACTAGTGTACAGTCAGCTGGTTGAGCCAAACCTGACACAGGGGGTGTAGAATTTGTTCGCTAAATGTCATTTCATGTCCAAAACCGCACTGATATTTTTATTGAACCTTGTCTAGGTCTACTCCACCCCACATTAATACTCTCTCGTAGTGATTTTAGGAGTCTTTTCATTCCATGTAGTCCCCTCTATAAGTTATCTTTTGACTACTTAATTTAAACATTCCAATAAACCTATTTAGATTCAAAATCAGTTCTTATCTTATCACTTTAGTTCTCCAGCCTCCGTTGGGATTCTTATCAAACCAACAGGAGTCCGATTCTCTGCTGCATGGCAGCCTGTAATAGAAACCTAATAATGCCGGTCCCCCATTGGTCGGCTGGGAGAGCCCCCCTCTCTCCTGATTGGTCGAGCAGGGGGATGTACCTTCTGGGTCCCTACACAGGCACGCGCTCAAACGCCGAGTTACACAATGTTCTGAGGAGGAAATGAGCTCGTTTGCTTTAAACCACGGATCATCTGACTGGGCACAAACATTCACATGCCGAATTCACCGAAACGTATTTAGGATCAAATGTTCTTGATCGAGGCCAAACTTGTAGGGCCCACAGAGAAGCACACCACTGCAGAGTTTTCTTTTTAATAAAAGAGTTAATAAAAAGATGATCAGTATTATAGCTGCTGCAAAAGGTTGCGTACTGGCTGGTCAACTAACAAACTAAATTCCAAATTATACAAACTACGTGAGCAGTTATAAAACAGAGAAAAAGTAACTTCCTTCATCTCTTTATGTGTTTTTTTTTTAGGCAAATTCATTTTTTTGCTGTTCTCTTCTGACGACAATCTCTTCTTCTTTTACAGTGCATGTGTTTCTGAAGCAGAGAAAGAAAGCCCAGGTTTGTAGTCCTCTGAGAAACAACCGGTTTATTGTGTGTCATTCAGTCAAACTGTTCAGTTTCAGTCAAACTGTTCAGACTTGTTTACTCTGATCTAAATGCGACGCGGGTCTTAGTCAGTCAGGGTTGGTATGTAGTCATGTGGCCCCACGGCATACTGGTTGCATCAGGTTTTAGTGGGGTCTGAATGCTACGGGGAGAAGATACTGTTCATGTAACGTGGTTGATGCTTAAAATGGCAGCATTTCATTCCTACTGCTGTCTCTAGTCCTATTTTTAATGTGTGATGTGGTAATCGATGATCATTTAAACTATAACAGTGCTGGCTACCATATCCTTTGGGATGAGAAACATTGTTTGGACAGACCTTTTTAATTCATTTGAGTTATTTATATACGCATAATGCATCAACTGAACTTGAACCGTCTATGCTTGTGATTTATTACTGTTATTCTGGCATTAATTAAATAACGTACAAACGGATTGAAGTAACTCTGATCTTCTTTAGTGGATCATCGTGAGAAGAAGTACAAGGCCCATCGCCAGTTCGGGGACCGGCGTGGGGGGGTCACCAGTGCTCGTACATACTTCTATGCAGACGAGTCCAAGTGTGACAAACAAATGGAGACTTTCATAAACTGCATCAGAGCCTCTGGTAAGTAGGAGTAAACAATAACAAGTTATTGTTATAACTGATATTGAGACACTAAAACTCTCATGTAATATAGATGGTCTTGAATAATATACATTAAATGTGTTTTCATCTTCAGGGGGAGCTTCAACAGATGGATTTTCGGCCATCAAAATGACTGCTCTTGGACGCCCACAGTTCCTAGTAAGTTTAACTTGATGTCTTCAGTATCAACGGAAGTCATTGTCGGTGTGACTGGATTCGGTCGGCAATCACAGCGATCTGAAATTCTACCACTACAAAATAATTGGCCAGTAATTACAGGGCAATTGGATAAGGAAACATTCACTTATTTCCTTTGCGGTTTTGCTCCGATGCCAGTTGTTCGTAGGTTCACATCACTGTTATCACTGAAGCATTTGGCGCTACATGAAAAGTGGCAGGAAAATAAAGGGAGCGGGAAAATGTTTCAAAAATGAAAAGAACGGGCCAAAGATAAAACCCCGTCGTATCCGTCTGACCACATGATTCAAATACAACACCAACATCGTCTCATTGACTCAATTGCTCTGTGTTCGAACAGCTCCAGTTTTCAGAAGTCCTGGTTAAATGGAGGCAGTTTTTTAACCTCCTCTCGGCGCAGCAGGGGAAGTCTGACATGACGGTTTTGGATCAGAAGCTGGAGCTGGAACAGCTCAAGGTACGTCTCCAGGGAGTCCAAAGCAGATCCATCATTGGTGTTTCTAACACCTTCTCCGGATGTGCTCATGGCGTCATGACACGAAGTACCACATATTTTGTGAAGGCAGTATTCAGCTTCATATCGCCGAACAATGTCCTTACAGGAGAGTCTGGCGGCGATGGGCGTTGGAGCCGTGGATGACAAAGAGAACTGGTTTACTGGAGAGAAGCTGGGTTTGTCTGGGTAAGAAAGAGAGTCACACATTGCTGCAATGTGCCGCCAGTTTATTCGTCACGTTAAAAGTACATTCATTCTGTTCTTGAATCGTTCAGTCATTAAGAAAACCAGTGCCAGCATCATTTTAATATACATGTTGTCGCATCTTATTGGCAGAACCATCGACCTGCTGGACTGGAACAGTTTAATCGACGATACGACAAGAATCTCCAATCTGCTGATGGTGCCAAACGTTCAGGTGAGTCGTGTAAATATGAAGTGGTGCCAAGGACTCTGACAGGAAGAAGGGAAATGTTTCATCTTCTCTGTTTGCTGGGACCTGTTCAAAAATAAAAACACAGAGGGCCTCAAGAAGCAGGTTTTCAAAACTGAAGCCACATTTTAAAGTAAAAACATCTTCGGTGATTAGTTTCTGGTTTTAGAAGGAAAAATGCAGCACTCTTCTTGAACTTCAGATTTATGTATTTAAGCATGTAATAATACAGTGATTGCTTTCACAAGCAGTTGATTAATATAAATGGGGGTTTTTTACCTTCTCTTTCGAAGAAGAAAGTTTGTGGAAAAAGTTGCTCCTTTTTGTTTTCACAAGTTCAAGCAAAGGTTCTATCTCATGAGGGGAAATCACAATTTAATTTGGGACATTTCGAGGCAAGTTAAAGTGCACATGTTAATGTAGCCGGTGCTGTTGTGCACGTTTAAGAAAAGGGACGTTTGAGTGCCTCAGACCGAAATGTCTGAGAAAAACAAAACAGCTGGATGCTTTTGTGTGTTTGTTTCGCAGACGGGCCACCTGGAGCCTTTGTTGAACAAGTTCACGGCCGAGGAGGAGAGGCAGATGAAGAGAATGCTGCAGAGAATGGACGTTCTGGCCAAGGTGAAGCTAATTAGCGCAAAAGAAATGGGCATATCGTAAACCGTTTCACCGAAATCTTAAATCCAATTTATTGCAACTGCAGACTTTGTGAAAAGGGAATCAAATAAATCTGAACCGCATTGTGCTTTCTGACGCCTGTTTGCCACACGTTAACCACGCGTCCCTCGTTAAACCCTGCACACATCGTGAACACTGTTTGCGTGTGCTCCCCAGCATGCCGTGGAGAACGGGGTGAGGCTGATGGTGGACGCCGAGCAGACGTACTTTCAACCGGCGATCAGTCGACTGGCCCTGGAAATGCAGAGGAAATTCAACCGGGAAAAGCCAATTATTTTCAACACTTACCAGTGTTACCTCAAGGTGAGACGACGGCTTTTGATTTTGATTAGTCATCTCTACAGATCCTTCCGGTTTGTCGGATGCGATACCGAAATCATATTTTTGGGAAACGCTGCTGGCACATTTGGAATTTAGTCGTGTTGTTTTTTTGTGTTTTCTAAATGCTGGTAGGAAGCCTACGACAATGTCACAGTGGATGTTGAGCTGTCCCGACGGGAGGGCTGGTACTTTGGTGCCAAGCTGGTCCGCGGGGCCTACATGTACCAAGAGAGGAACCGGGCCAAAGAGATTGGCTACGAAGACCCAATAAACCCAGACTACGAGGCCACCAACAGGATGTATCACAAGTACGTTTATTCTGAAGGTTGCCCGTGACTTGGCTAGAAGACGTCTGAATCCTAACCATCCGCCCCGGTGTTTGTCCAGGTGTTTGGAGTACGTGCTGGAGGAGATCGATCACAGCAGGAAAGCAAATATCATGGTTGCTACTCACAACGAGGAAACGGTGAAATTCACCCTCGAGAAGTACGTTTCCTCTCACGCCTGCTAGAAAAGATCCCGACCCCATTGGGCTGTGCAGATGTAATTTGAACGTACACAAAGCCTTAAACCCCTTGTTCACCGAGGATTAATCTTAGTGGTTCAAATAAATGCCTAGCAAGGGAGACTTAAGAAACCGTAAGCAATTACAGGATTTAGAGAGTGAAATTGATGGAATGCCACACTGTTGTTGTGTAACGGCCCTTTGACATGGATCTCTTTTTTTCCCGTTTTCCCAGGATGAATGAGATGCGGCTTTCGCCCACAGAGAATAAAGTTTACTTTGGACAGCTGCTGGGGATGTGCGACCAGATCAGCTTCCCGCTTGGTATGTTGCACTCCGCTCGGGTCCTAAAAGCAAACAATCAGTTATGGAATCAGGGGGACGTGCGTCAGAGTCTCTGCACGCGTCCGCTTTTCAACGCTCAGACTCCCTGACCTCAGAATTAGTCTGTCCCGTCTATCCAGTCTATCCAGTCTATGCACATATTGGGAACCAACAACAAGTTCCTCAATGTCCTGAGCTGTCTGAATACCAAATCATATGCAAGTTTAGTTCAGAGCTGAAATGCATCCCCAAATACTCAGGTTGAGGGTAAACATTAATGAGAAGGAATAAATGTATTCTGGTTTTGTTTTTGTTTGTGAGTTATAGAAAACGTATGACGTTGCTACTTCGGTCGGTTTTAAGGGCGCTGACATTCTGTCTAAAAATGTGTTGCACCACAAGTATTTGTGTAATGATCAGCTGAAATGAGTAATGCTGCAGCAGCCCAACGCTTTCCTCCAGTGGTGAGAAATATGTGTTCATCATAACTTAAGTTCAAAACAAAAAAGAAAACAATTGAATGTTTTTATTTAGCATTCGCTCACTTTCTAATATATATTGTCACCTTCAACAATATGCGGAAATTAGATACAAAACCGTGACACACACACACACACACATAGGAAATCTATCAAAAAAACGTCCTTGCTCTTTTGTTGGAAATAGGTCAAGCAGGTTTCCCGGTCTACAAGTACGTTCCATATGGCCCGGTCAACGAGGTCATTCCTTATCTGTCTCGCCGCGCTCAAGAGAACCGCGGCTTCATGAAGGGATCCCAGAGGGAGCGCAGCCTGCTGTGGAAGGAGCTGAGACGCAGGGTGCTGGGGGGGCAGATCTTCTACAAGCCCGCCTACTGAGTCGCCGCACCACGGCGTACCAAACCGCAGTGCATTCCCTTCCTTGAGGGGGGAGGTGGGAGGGGGGGGCCTGTTGGGCTGAGAAGTGATGAGTGGCCTCACAATGTTGGTGAGTTAGCTAAAATAATGCGATTATAATCCTGAGAATTTAAATGACCTCTGCAACTTTTTAAAAGCAAATGTTTATGCCTCTAAACATGAATCTACTCTTTTAATATACAGCATGGCGATTTGTTCTGTAGAGGCCAAGAGAGTATATTTTGAATGTATGGTTACCAAAGGGGGCGTGCTTGTTTATAAATATTTATATGTAGATATATATTTCCTTTTGGACGTTTTTATGTTGATCTCAGCTGTGGCCGTCACTCAAACGTTCCTCACGAATGTTAAGATAAACCGGAAGCAATCACCCTCCGTACAACTAAGTCTATTTTTGTAACTGTTCACTCCTCTGACGTGCTTGTACCTTTTTAATTTTAGCTTATTTATTGACGATGCCATGCATCGAATTATAATCAATTCATTGGCCAAGTCTTCTGTTTATGTGCAAACAAGCCGAGCACCTGTAAGGTGTGAGTGACTGTTTGCAGTAGCTGACCTTCATTTGGCCTCGGACACGAGTAACTCCTCTCACTGTGCTCGGTACGAGGCTGAAGAGTGTGTGTGACCCACTCCAGGGCAACGAGTAGCCAAACAATAATAGCAACAGGTGCCCAAAGCACAAAGGCAGGAATTGAAGGTGTACGTTGTCCAAAAACATACCACAGGTACTGATGGGATTTTCTGGAGAAAGCTGCTCAAAAAGTACTCCAGCAATACCTACATTGTTGCATAAACTGTGTTCGGTTCAATTGAGTTGAAGTCATGAAAAACATCTTTTCAATTGAAATGCTTTTAGTACTAGAAAATAATACATTCATTTCAAATTCATTAATTAATTTTCAGTGTTGGTGTGGAGGAAGGAGTTTGTGTTGTCGAAGCTCTTTGTTTTATCATTTGACAAAGTGTGATTTTAGAAGATGAAAGGCGCAATGCCTCCTGTACCTTGTGTATTACGAGGTTCACAATATTTCACATATGGGTTTGATTTAAATGCATTTCCTGATGTAGTTCTTTTCTTTGTGTTTGGTTTCCTTGTCGCTGCTGTTTAAGTCTACTATATTTTGTACAGTTGTATAATATATATGAAATCATTTAACGCAATCAAATAAAGTTAACATTAAAGTTAACCAGAATTGTGTTTACTCTTTTTTCAACTGCGGCCATTGGAGGTTTTACTTAAATTGAGTTAAAATACCATAAGTTGTTTTAGCAAAGGATCTTTTGAGAACTCAAAGGTTTCACACCATGGCTGAGCTCTTATTTCATCATTTGTTGTGTCATCAGACACGATTCAGCCCCAGCAAGAGTCAACAGCAGCTCAGGCACCACCTGGGTCCAGGTATCTGGAGAATAAGACAAAAGCAGACCCCGTTGGGTTTGCTCTCTGTGCCGCTAAGTGCTATTATTAATGTCGTCGTTATGACATCTTCAATATGCTCAAAGACGTGATGTACAGTAGGTATTCCTGTGATACTTTCCTCTCACAGTAAACATATAATCTAAACCATGTTTTAGCTGCATATTTATAAATCCTGTTTATGTCTGCAATCATCCAGCCATCTTGAGTTAAAGAACATTGTTAAAAAATAAATAAGTTGAATGGGTGGACCAGTTTTTTTATGATGGACGGTGCAGAACTTGTTAGTCTATATCCTCCGTAATGTCATTCTCTGATCCGCTGCTGGAACTAAGGGGATCAAATCCAGCATGGAGATATTGTAGCCATGGCAACTAGATGTTGGTAGAAGTAAGCAGTGAAGTTTTTGGGTGAAAATAATGTACCTTGGTTACACTTAAAGATGCAATTTTCATACATACGGTTTTTCTCCAGTCTATTTAAGCACATCCAACGCAATAACACAGTGGACTCAATTGAATTCATGTTACTAACTCTGAATACATAAAATACACATTTCCCAAATGCTTAAGTACACTTTCACAACATACAGAGCCTACTTTTTAAGATGATGTGTCTCCCTTTACCCTGTTAGAACAGATTTCTGTTTAACAGCGGCCCATTTTACAAAACCACTCCAGCCCCCGTGGGAGGAGAACGTGCCTCTGATTCCCGTCGCACCTCACAGCCAATGAGACACGAGTTCAGAGTGTGTACAGCACGTTAAACAATAGACCGCTGTGGATAAGTCTCACTCCGACACTTCAAACGCCGGCATCTGCAGGTAAAGAAAGCTCTTTTCTTCTGCACTATTTCTCCCCGACAAACATCTACGCGGCGTTTCATTTATTGTAGTGACGTCATGTTTTGTTAAGAGTTGAATTCTTTGCAGGATATTGAATCAACAGAAATGTTATCTGAAGGTCAAGGGTGTTAAACGTGTTGGCTGTAACCAATTCAACTAAAACTACTGTAACATGCATACATAGATGTATATTTTTTTAATCAAATTTGACATACAGACTACAGATGGGCATCAATGTTGAAGATAAGACGTAAAAAATTACATAGACATCATCTGTCAAATGTCAACCGGAGAAAATCCATTTTGATGTTTGGCCATTTTCCTAAACCGTGAGTTAGATTTTTATGTAAATTTCCAATGCTTTTATAGCGAGGGGAATTTGAGCACTGTAAACATGTTTAAAGTGTAAACATGTGGGCTCCGTGTTTTATCTGACAGGAAGAACGATGCAGCGGTTTTATTGCTGCCTGTGTTGGCCTTCTTTAGTCCTTTTTTTCCCACCTTTACTTCATCATAAAGATATTCATCTTTTAAGCAGAAATGAATACCAGGTTGCATCTGTGGTATTGAGGGAGATGAGGGGGGGGGGTGAAGTAGGGGGAATTAGTCGTTACCTGATACGGAATTGAGGTCCCAGTTTACATGTATGGGAACATACTATTTTAGGAAGAGGGGTTTTCCGTGGTGCACCACAAGTGTGTGTCCTGGTTTGATCCTTGCTGTGATCTTCACCTGCATAAACGCGTCCTCGCTCTGTCTTTGCATATGCAGGATAACGCTTCAGTGTTAACGATGTCTGGCCTCAAAGGAAACAAGTGCTCATCTGTGGTACGAAGGCTGATTCTCTTGGTTTTGCTGACCAACATCTTACTGGTGCTGTACTGCTTGACGAACCCACGCCAAGGAAACAATAGGTAAAGCTTTTTGGATAAAGCATTATTAATTGAGTTTAGGTCAGTTGATCCGTTTGCTCATCCTTTTATTTTTATTCAAAGCAGCTCCCGGCGAGCCACGTGTCCTCTGAGTGCGGCACAACTATTGCAGAAAAATGTGAGCGTCCCTCCTCAAAGCACCAAATCAGGAGAGTGCTCCCCCAAAGTGAACATCATGTTCATGAAGACCCACAAAACTGCTAGTAGCACCGTACTCAACATCCTCTTCCGATTTGGAGAAAAGCACAAGCTGAAATTCGCCCTCCCCAAGGGGCGCAATGACTTCTTCTACCCGTCACCTTTCCGGTGCTCCCAGGTGAAGGACTACCGACTTGGGGACTGTTTCAACATCGTTTGTAACCACATGCGCTTCGACCATCAAGAGGTGGCTAAGCTACTGCCTGCGGACGCCGTGTACATCACCATCTTACGTGACCCGGTGGCCCTCTTTGAGTCGGCCTTCCACTATTACCACCGAGCGGTTCCTCTCACCTGGAGGATCGACGGAGAGGACAAACTGGCGCGGTTTCTCAACAGTCCTCAGAGCTTCTACAGCGCAAACGCTTTCAACTCGTTCTACCTCAAGAACTTGCTCTTTTTTGACTTTGGATTGGACAACCACCTCGAGGCCGACGATCCCCGCATAGCGAGGGATATTAACGACTTGTCAAAGCGTTTCCATTTGGTGCTCTTCGCAGAATATTTCGAGGAGTCTCTTATCCTGCTGAAGGACACGCTGTGTTGGACCACGGAGGACATCCTGTACTTTAAACTCAACGCTCGCAGGAACTCATCCGTGTCTCGCCTGACCCCCGAGCTGAGAGCCAAAGCGTTACAGTGGAACGAGGCCGACTGGAGGCTCTACCAGCATTTCAACGTCACCTTCTGGGCCAGAGTGGAGGCGTACGGGAGAGAGAGAATGAAACGGGAAGTCAACGAGCTGAGAAGAAGAAATTCTGAGATGATGGAGATCTGTATCGAGGAGGGAGGCGCAGTTGAGGCCCAAAAGATTCAAGACAGACGTTTCCTGCCCTGGCAGCCAATCGGAGAGTCTTCCATCCTGGGGTACAACATGAAGAAAAATATTGATCCCAAATTCAGGACAATATGTGAGAAAATGCTCACACCTGAAATACAGTACTTGTCCAGCCTGGGCGTAAGCCTGTGGCTCACAAGACTCTGGGGCTGGTTAAAAGATGCAGTTTGGATTTAATGCAAACATTTAGAACATACAAATTCATCCTGTAACTCGTGGGTATGATGTTTTTCAGTATTCTTCTGAATAATGCCTCTATAAAGTTCATTTGTATTTGGAAACAAAGCAGAATTCTTATTTTTCGCTTCATGGAACATGCTGTTTTTCTGTACCACTCCCAAATATGAACTTAATTGCTTTATTTTTCTTGTCCGGTACCTGCAGCACTAACAAACACTGAGTCATCAGTGGTTGATGTGATGTTGGCTGGTAAATAATGCTAGCAGGCTCCTTAGCGGCTTGACGCGTATAGTTGCAATGACTTTGGATTGTAGCAGCCTTGTACGACCCGGTCATAGCTATTTATTGGTCCACGCCATTGAAGGTTAGGTATTGCAACTTCATTGTGTGCATTTATATATATTTTTGATAACGGGTGAAAGCCTGACAGTCAACTATACTCTGCTAAAGCTTCATAGCTGCGCTCAACGCAGACGTCCGTCTACTCACTTTGACACTTGATCACTTTTTACCCTTCAAAAGATATTCTAAACCAGATTAAAACAACTGATGTATGAAAAGGACACCATGTCCATTGCATCTTTGAAAAAGTAGAAACAAAAGCAAACCATCAGTATTAATAGACGTGTTATTATGCAAAGCAGGTCTAACCAATTTACTCATCTCTATATGAAGCCAGTGACACACTTTAGGATGATACTAGATATTGCATGAGCATTTGCATGCATTTACATTAGGTATAATAAATCAAAAGGCTGAAATATATGTATGACATTAACACGTTTAATTTAACAATTTACAATCTGTGGGGAGAACGAAGGCTTTACACACGACAGCAAGAAAGGTGGTGACAGGAAGCATCGCTCCTTCTTCATGGTGGTCTGGACAGTTCGTCAGCCCCCGCAGGTCACACCGGGGTGGACTTGAAGCACACTGTCCATGTTGACTGGTGTGTGAGGTTCAGTCGTAAAGTTATGGGGTCCAGGAAGAATGGATGATGGAAGTGTGACAACAGTAGCACTTCAGCCTTGGGTAACCCCGCGGTGTCCTATTCTTCCTCTTTCTTCTCGTAATTGTGTTGAATGTGTTTCCATAGTTTCTATAACAAAACACGAAGGAGGATGACGTTAGATGTCTCATGTGAATAAGATAAGTTAGGTTGTCTTCGACAGAGACACTGGATATACGACGCAAACGCTTGACTAGCCTCGGTAGCTTAGCTTAGCGAACGTTAGCGCCGCTTCGTCCTCTGCTTACAAGGTCAGGATAAAACGAGCATTAAATCACCGGAGGGAAACACTCACCCCACGATTCATTTGCTCAAAAATCGCGTCGCCACCTTGGTCGAAGAGTCGTTCAAAGAAGACTGCTCCGACCATGATGGTTATGGCGAAAGTGGACGTTCTCCTGAAGAGCAGATTGTAGACGGACTTAGCCAGCGCCATGTTGGTGGATAGATCTAGTGCGCAGGACCGGAAGCTGACGTCACTGATAGTCTGCTTCCGCTTCATATGTTATTTGGTAGAAGGAGATCTGTTTTTATTTTTTCACGTTAAAAACAACGTTGCAGTTTTCACGTCCTCTCCAAAGCAAACCCTACTGAGGAAGTCAGCCTGCTTTCGCCAATGGTTTGTACTCGTTGATGTTTACATTCAATATAACGTGTTACATACGTATTTAACTCACGTGTTCATTGATACAACGTTAATACTAAGCATGTATGCTAACGTTAACAATACAGACTCAACAACGCTACCGACAAATATTTAGGGAAGTTAGTTAACGGCTGCACCGCTGATTTATCCGCGGACGTATTTGTTCGTCTACATGCTGAGTAAGATTATAAACCGTTTTGTACCTTTCACATCATCGTAGCATTAAAAATGAGTGCATCGTCTCTACTGGACCAGCAGGTGGCAGCAATCAGCCTTTGTAAATGCGAGACCATTTTATAAAACTTGAAACCTTTTGATTTGTTGACGCCTTGGACTATGGGATACTGTGTTCTGCATGCATTTTATTTCTCTCATTTTTAGACACAACTAATACTCCATAATCGAGCAGCCGGTGCTTATGTTAATGCGTCTGTGTGTGCTTGCTGTCTCTCAGCAGTTTAGAAGGTGACATCATCCTGGTTTGACCACATAACGGGCACCATGGGGAAGCGATACTACTGTGACTACTGTGACCGGTCCTTTCAGGACAACATGCACAACAGGAAGAAACATCTGAACGGAGTTCAACACCACCGTGCTAAAAAGGCCTGGTATGACTACTTTAGAGGTGAGAGGTGGAACACTATTTCTCTGAGATGTGCTCACATTAAATGTTTCCCGTGTTAAATGTTAGATTTCCATGACTTGTTTTGCTTTTATTAAATTTACAAATGTAAAAGTCTTTAAAATGTCTCAATCTTATTTAATTTCAGTGCTGCATATTGCTCACTTTGTGATGGGATATTATGTGAATAACGAAGGACGTGATTATTTTTCTTTTTAGATTCTTCAGCCATTTTATGTGATGAGCAAACAAAGAAACCCTGCCGGAAGTTCCTCCAAAAAGGTAACAGAATGGTTTGAGAAAAAAAAAAAAAAAAAAAAAAAAAAAATATATATATATATATATATATATATATATATATATATTCAATAACCAGGTATCTATTAAATACCCTTTTTATTAATAATATGTTCCATGGGTATTCCTTTTTTCTTTTTGTCTCTAGGAATTTGTGATTTTGGCCCAAACTGCAGGTTTTCGCACATGTCCGAAGACGACATGTTTGATTTAAAAAGACAGGTGGAAGGTGAGCTGTAACCAACAGGTGTTGCTGTCTACCAACGCAAAATCCCACACATTGACTGCACACAGCATTTGCAAATATAAATAGTATTATCTAAGTGATTCTTTAGTAATGAAGCAAACATTTAATACTTCACTTACAGCTGTCACACAATATCAACCAGAGGAAAAGCTCAAATGTAATGCAAGAGCGTAATACGTAGTACCTCCGGCTAGCAATTTCTTGAGCATATCTTTAAAAAGTGTATTTAAAAGTATTGAAATAAAAATAGTTCTTTTCTTCAGATGATCGTGTGGATTGTGAAATATTGACGGCAGTGATATTGAATTTCTTTCAGATGAACGACGGCTCAGAGAGGACTACGTAGACCGAAAGTTGCCTGGGCGAAGTATAGAAGACTGGCTCTCTAGATGGGAGAAAAAGCAAACTGCCCTCGGCAGCAAAGGGTGTGCTCAATTTTTTTTCTTTAAATGCATACATATTTAGCATTTCAAATGGTTATTCTTGGTCATTTGGAATTCAACCGTTCAATTATTTATCCCTGCAGAGATCTAAAAGATAAGGAAGACAGCGAAGAGGGCCCAGAAGAAAGTGACATCCCTCAACACCTCCTCTCCCTCGCTGTCCTCCCACCCTCTCTGCTCCCTCCTCCTCCAGGCGGATGGAAGGTCAAAGGGAACACAGAATGGGGTTGAATGAAATTCACTGTGTGGTTCAAATCACCGTTAAGTGCGTGTGTCACATTAATAGGAGGAATCCATGTGTTTCCCGGAATGGAGAATGAATTCATAATTGATCATTTCAGTCTGTTTTACATGTAAAGGATGCCCTTTGAGATCTGCTCCTCTTTTCTCCACCTCTGTACTTGAATGTCTGCAGTGAATTTTTTTTTTTTCTTCTTTTAAACATTTTTTGTATTCAACTTTTATTTGCAACCAATGTCCCAGTTGTAAACCGATAAAAACAAAGACCATGCTCCTTTTTAGTGTTTATTGGACATGCATCTAGCCAACACTTACATTAGTGTATTATAGATGCATTTACCTCTAAATGTACATTAGCTACAGAAATGAAAAACCACCGGCTAATCTCAATCTAGACATTAAAAGTTCTTTCGTAATGTCACATAGCAGGATTATGCAAATGGTAACTAGAAGGTTCGAGGGACTTTTATCAGGAAGAAGGAAATATAATACATTACTACTTAGTGGTACTTGGATTATTGTAAAGTCCTTACAATTCAAAAATAGATTTAACATCACATTCATTATTTTTTTTAAACTGGGGAAGATTCTTTCTTACGTTACTTTCAAGCGAGTTCAGTTTTTTACTCTGAATGACAAAGGCACAGGACAGAAGACATCCACAGTCCAAATCAATAACAACCATTGACACAATCCTTCAACACAGTGCACAGAAATCTGCTCAGTAAAGCACTAACACACAGAATATTACAGTAATTGCTTATATGTCTTAAGACAAGATTTGACACGAGATTATACATTCACACAAAACCCACACCTTGATATGTTCACATGACGTGTTCACACAGAGAGGTAATGTGATGTCATGTAGGCAGCTACTACAAACAAAATAAAATATTGGATTTATTGCCAGAATGATACAAGCGGTTTCATACATTTCCGCTTGTGATATAGCTTTGATAATTGTTAAGATAAAAAGAGCACAAAATATATAGCATTTTGTAAAACCTGTCAATTCTGACATATTTGTTAAATAAAACATTCTGAAAAATGCGAGTGCACGGCCTTAATACACACAAGAACTTCTATCCGAAGGTCCAGCCAACCTGGAAATGACATCAGAAACCTGATATTTTTGTAAATCCTTTGCATTGTCGTTTTATACAAAACAATATGCTTACATTCATAATAAAAACATGTTGATTTAATGTATCACTTTTCCAAGTAAGAAAATATAATCATGTTATACTTTAAACACTGTGTTGTTTGGTGGCCAATGTAGAAGTCAGAAAACAACATTTCTCATGATATGTTAAATTATTGTTCACAGCATACCGCTCCATACAGAGTTTTGAGATGTTCTGCACGTCCACAAAAATCGACATTTCCAAAATGTCAAATTCTGCTTGGTTTTGAATAATTACTATACAAATTGCATAATTCTTTGAATACATACAATAGCGTTCTAAATTTGATTTCACACACACAGAACACTTAATTCTAGTTTAATGTGCATGCAAGTGTGTTTTCTTGTGAAAATTGCTTTAAATGTTAGTTTGTTTTGTCTACATCTCTTTTCAAGGTAGACTTTATTCACAGCTGGTAACTGAAGTCATAAAGCAGAGATATTGTCTGCTCCGGTTTCCCTTTCACTCATTATTTTGACTCACTTTGGTTCCTAGATTCACAGATTCTAAATATTTATGTAGTATAAGTAGTATTGTTCATGTATCGCTGGTATGAAACATATTTTACAGGTTGTGTGGTCATAATTTGTCTTGAAGGATTTTTCAATGAATGGATTTTGTCACTTCTGAAGTGACACACTCCTAATGTGTCACTTCTGAAGTGACACACTCCTAATGTGTAACTTCAGTTTAATTCTAAACAGCGGTTCTCCAAAGCTCAATCTGTTCTTTAACACAATGAAAACCTGTGGGATCGTTTGACTTTTCTACACAACATGGGTTTATGGGTCATGGTTTGTGTCCTTATATAATTCAACCCTTTCTGTTTTTGAATGGTGTGACTTTGTTCCCTGCATTAATGGATTACTACGACTTGACACTCGACACGTTTTAGATTCAAAGAAAATGCCAAAGTAATTGGGACTTTTTAATTGGGTAATCTTTGAGATATTTTAGACTGGGTCATGAACTGACTGATATTGCTTTTATTAAAACCACACGGGTGGAAGGGCTGACAGAAGGAAGGGCTGTTGCAGAAAACGTTAAATACCGCGTTGACCAGTGATGTGTTCAGACTTAGTGGGGCTCCTGTTGTGTGAAGGTTCAGATCCCAGAGGATGTTTAGTCAGATTCCTCTTTATCTAATCCTAGACACCAGATGTCGACTTAAAAGACACATTTTGGAGGAAATAGTTTTTTATCATTAACTAACCAGAATATAGTCATTTATAGTGATTTAAAGCAGTTCATTTAAATCATGTTTATATTGCTTCGTTACTATCATCAGTTATTTCATTTTTGGGTGCATTCAAAACGACAGTAATATGCTTTGATATATTCGACACAGCACAGCTTTTGTTTACTACAGTACGGACTTCTCCGATCTCATCTCTCAGAAAACAGCATCATTTTGAACTAACGACGTGCTCGTCTTTTCATCACTAATCAGCCCTTGAAATGTGTTTTTCTTTTTACCTTTATGTTTTTTTCATTCCTGGTGATTCAAAGCCGCCGCGTGACATCATTTCGTTAGCTATCGAGAGAAGCCGTGACAGAGTCACCCCGGGGTGATGGAGGTGAGGCGAACCGAGAACAGTGTGTTTTGGTTGATGTTTCAGTGTCCGTTGTCCCCTCTTGGATCTCTTCGTAACCAGCTGGTGCAGAATTTACTTCATTCCTCTGCGCAGCATTTGATTCGCAGCGATGAGCATGACGCTGATGATGAACGCGATGGCGAAGGCACAAATCAGGCTTTTACGCACACAGGTGTGTTTTTCCTGTTGAGTTGGGCTCGCTGTGGAAAGACGTAGCAGAAACATTAGCACATCTGGCCTTAACAATGCGTGAAATTAAAAAAAACTGCACGTGACATACTGTCAATGTCCACGTGGGACTCCGGGCTGTTCAGGTGGTTCTCCTCAGTCATGATGATGTTCTCAATGTCTTTCATGGTGAGATGGTCACGGAAAGTGTCGTAGAGGAGTCTCTTAAGCTCATCCACAGTCAGTTTCTGCATGTCACACTGGTGGAGACACATAAAACGCAGGGAAAGGTCCCAATCAGCAGAGGAAAAAAACTGCGGTCTCAAAGCCCCTCAGAGGGTTGCACATGCTGCTTGTGACGTTTACTTCATTATGGAACTAAATGTAAGGAAATCCGCCTTTATGTGTGATACTGCTTGTTACGTGGTGTATTTATCAGAGAGGTGTATTAAGCCAAAGCCATTTGGAAATGAGTGAGGCATGAATATTATGCCTAATGCGAGAATAATTTAGAATGACCTATTTAAATGAGTAGCTTTTACATCACTAATTTCTATATCGTCATTTAATTGAAACAGATGGTGTCATGCATCAGCGGAAAAGCTAGCAGGGAAACTTACTTCAAATTAGGAAAGAGTTGAATAAATGACACTGATGGAAAAAAAAAAAGGTACAGACTTGCAAACTGTACCTTTGTACTATGCAAACTAATGCCAACGTATACCTTCCAAAACACTGAATCAAAGTCCGCTCCGTGGAACTTATCAGGCATTCCAGCTGCAGAGAGTTTCGGTCCGAGCAATGTGACAAATTCATCGAAGCCAACTTGACCGTCACCTGATGAAGCACATGTTGGGTTATATGCAGTGTTGGACTTTCTGACACACACACACACACACACACACACACACACACAGAGAGAGAATTACCGTCTATATCGAGCCGTTGGATGATGACCTCTAGCTCCACCTCGTTGGGCATGTAGCCCAACGAGCGCATTGCCATTCCCAATTCCTGCTTGGAGATGAAGCCGTTCCCATCACGGTCAAACACTTTGAAAGCCTCACGGATCTCTGTTTGAAGAGAAGAGGGAAGTAATCATGTTGGGGCTTGAGAGGAAGGAGCAGCATATTAATATTTACAATTTCAAACCGCGAGCGACAGCTGGCTCAGTTGAGGATGTTTGTATTCAGATTTTAAGGTAACTTATAGGAGTGTTGTGTGTTTGTGTTGATTTAATAATCCTGTGCGTTTAAAGTTAAAGCTCAAAAGCGAAAGAAATCTGCTCCTCGGATAAAATATTAACAGCACGGTGGTCATGAAACTTGAAAGTGTGTAACATGGGGCCAAGAAAGAACCCATTCAATTTCTAACTGGACTCGCCTTAGTGGAGCGCTCTCAAAGTACCCTCCTAGTTTATTTCATCATCTGACCGGTCACATTATAATAATGATCATTTTTGAGTTGCGATCGTATGTTGTAAATTCCTGTGTTTGTTACAGATGTAAACCACGAGTCGCCTTCACAGCCACGACACCTGGTAAAATAACAATACCGCAATTGATTGTGAAAGAAGGCCGCGAGCAGGTTCATGTGGTGATAATTAGCTGCAACCTTTGGTAATTACTCCATACCAGTGGCAGCTGGTGGAAAATGTTCGAGGTAGGGCAATTAAATCAATATTGGCAAACACCCCAAGTTGATTTTATGCAAAACAATTAAGATATTAAAACACATTACTACTCAGCAGTTAATTCCTTAATATTTATTCCAACATGGAAAAAAACAAACAGAAAATAAAACTTTGCCAATCTTACTTTTTGTCACCCTCACAGGCAATTCAGTATGATATACCATATACATCAAATAATAATAATAAATACTGAATATGTCAGTCACGTCTGCTCAAGAACTTGACCGACCTGACCCGTAAAGGTGCGTCAGATCCCGTCCAGTGGTCGGAGCAGTGCCAGCAGGCGTTTGAGAAGGTAAAACAGGCTCTCTGTGGGGAACCACTTCATACCCCTAACTTCTCTCTCCCATTTATTCTGCAGCCAGACGCGTCGAACAGGGGGCTGGGGGCTGTTTTGTCCCAGGAGGTGGGGGGGGATGGACTGCCCCGTGATGTACATCAGCAGGAAGCTGTCCGGGAGCGAGGCCAGGTACAGCACAGTGGAGAAGGAGTGCCTGGCCATCCGGTGGGCGGTCGACTCCCTACGCTACTTCCTCCTGGGACGCTCATTCACCCTCTGTTCGGACCACGCCCCGCTCCAATGGCTCCACCGCATGAAAGATGGCAACGCCCGGATCACTCGGTGGTATCTGGCTCTACAGCCTTTTAATTTCAAGGTGGGCCATAGGCCATAGGGGGCGCAGATGGCTGTGGCTGATTTCCTCTCCCGCTCCTGAAAAAGGGGGGGGGGTAGGTTCAGCCGGACAGCTCCCCTGCCTATGTCGGGCGATGGGGGTATGTGGTGGCGGGCGTGGTTTGGCTCGGCTGCAGAGGGGACGGAGAAGGGAGTGGCTCGGGGAACGGTGCCAGGAGGAGGCATAATTGGTCTCAGGTGAAACTAATCGTGTGTGTGTGTTCTGCCTCAAGTAGGGGAGATCCGGCGACAGCGGGGCTGAGCGAGGAGGCTGGAGCCGGTCGTGTGTTGTTTTGAAAACATAAAATAAAGAACAGACTGCTGCATTCTCGTCATTCTGAGACCCCCCCATAGGACGAACCTGTCACACCTAGAAAAACGTGGTCGACGCACTCTGAAAACGCAGAAGCATAAAATGGGATTTAGAACCGCCTTCTGCAGGAAGTCTTGGGCTTGCTCATAGCGCAGCTAGAAGATGCAGAAAACACATTTTGCGCAGAGATTATATTTTACAAATATTACTTGGTACATTCGATATTTAAAAAACATCTGATATGATATTTTCTTTACTTCCTGGCTCAAGGAGAAGCGCTCCAGGTGGGGCGACGTCCCATTTCTATCAATTGGCCAGCCGCCACTGCTCCGTACACGTTGCCATTTGGCATCTATCATTTGGCATCTCACCATGCATCAGGATACTCCGTCAAAGGCCCCAAACCTCTGTGGCTCTTTTTTGATGTACAGTACATCCTCATATATGCAAACCTCTTCAATGCCTGTTCATCATCAGATAAAACAAGACATGCAGTTATGTAACATTTAGTATATGAAATCATCTAGGAGTGTTCACGTAGAACGCTAATCACATAAATAACACCGCCCTACCCCCCCCTCACGCACGTTAGTCCATCTGGACTCAAGCAGGTGATCACACCTCAACGAAAGCTAAAATATGGACTCGCAGCTACGTTCAGTTCTCCGACGTCGTCTTCTATGGATCTACGTCAAAACCCCCAGTGAATGCATTTTACTGGCCGCTTCTATAATTGAGAAAACTAATTGGCATGCACGGACGTGATTGGGAAAGCAGCACCTGTAATTTGTATTCAAACCCACAAGTGGACGAGCATCTATCATCCATCTTGTATACATGAATGACTGCGAGGCCGCAGTTTACAAATGAACCCAAAGTGGCAGAATTTGTCCTCGTGGGACGATAGAAGTGTTGCAATTCATTATTTGGTGCCGGCATTTCTGAAAAAGTGACACCATCAAACCTTGACACGGCAGACACAACATATTTGTCTGAATTACAGCCAGCGGTGCTGCTTGAGTTTCTTTTTTCTTTTGTATATTTCTTCAGCACCACCCAAGAGTCAATGTCGTGACCCCTGGCTTCCAGGGACAAATGATGAATTCTCTGAGCCAGCTGAGCAGTGGTCGGACTACTGATGCTGCCCACCACGAGAAAGGAATATGGGGATGTCTCTGCTTCATTATAATATCTTATTTATGACCTGGTTCAAAACATAGAACTAAAATAATGTACTTTCTTCAAGGCAGTATTTTGGCATTACTCTATTTTCCCTCTTTGATATCCAGCCTTCCCCATCACAGAACTTCAGCTCATTTACATAATTGAAAATTTGGATATTATATCGAGCATTTCGCATATTGTAAATCTTAAAACGAATCATTATAGTTTTTAGATGACAATACCAGATCGACCAGATGCATTTAGACCTTGCTACAATACACATATGTATAATGAGTCTACACATGATGCCACCGAACCACTTAACTGAGAACAATATGTTCTAACAAATTGAAGAAATAAATGTGTTGGATGGGGAAGTTGATAAAACATCTGGTGACGGGTGCTGCATTGTCTGAGAAATGAGTCACGGGTCCACAGAGGAAATATTCAATATTGTTAACAATATGTTTGATGTGATGCAACGTATCCTGTGTTACGAATATTAGAGGATTGCATCGCGTCAGGCCAAAAGCAAATTTTTATTACAACAAACCTCCTTTTCAGTTTACTCAAACAAAAGTGATTTGACCAATCCAATTCATCACTATTGACTGACAATTTCATGGCAGGTCGGACCAGGATGCTGATTGTTTCCTGAGGAGCAAACAGGCGGGTTGATGTGTTAGCGCATTTGACCTGATTATCTTTCTTTCCTCCTTCTTTCACTCATAATCTTATTTATTTGCAAAAAATAAACAGTAAAGAAATAAATGAATATCACTGTACAGGAAGAGGCAAAAACGCTAACTGGGCTTATTTGAAGCCTCCACCTATATACTATTAAAACCTTTACAAAATTACAAACATAAAACGAAATATGTATGAGATAGAAAACAAAATAAAAGGAAAAAAGATATTAAACCAGGTGTTCTCCTCATCCTTCTCAGCTCTCTGATTACTTCTCTGCTGAATCACAGACTTCCCACGAAAGGACGAAGCCCTCAGAAACCTTCAGGAGCTGCTGTACAATTTGCGATAAGCTTGAATGTACCGCTTCCAAACATCAAAGAGACCCTTTTGCCAACCCTGAGATCCAAACCCAGGGCTTAGTCCGCTGACCCTCCGAGCGAGCTCCAAACAGAACACGACCAGCAGACCGATCGGCAGAGTGATTCATGCCGGCCGTTGGGGCAGCTAAAAACATCCGTGAAATTGGTCCGTGACGAGCACTGATGCCAGGAGGCCCGCTGCTGCGCGCTGGCAGAGGGCCGTCGCCACTGGCAGCAGCAGAAAGGCCATTTAAACTCGCTCACCTAAATAATTGGGAAAATCCCAAATAATGGCTTTAAGCCAGAAGAAAAGTGTGGGAAACAAACACAGCGTTTGATGAGATGACAACGTTGAACCTGAACCTCCATTTTAAATTGAAGAAGAAGCTAACCAGATATTCATGATATTTATGAGAAAGAAATAACACGTTGTAATTAAAAGATACCACATACAATGTCAAAATGTTCAATATGCATTAGAATAGATATGCAACTTTGACTAAACTGAACAGAATGGTTAAATGAATGGTGCATTGTAGAGCATTGTATCAATTATCTCCTAAATGAATCAAATTCATGTTTTGGCACTGTTTGAGTGCACATTTGGTTCCTCTTGTCTTGTTTAAAGACTGCTGATATTCTTCATTGTGACTATTTCTTTAATTACGTTTGTCACAGATTTGATTTCTATTTTCATTTGATTTCAAGATTTCAAACTAGAAAGATATAAACAATGTTTGTCCACTCAGGGATTTGTGATTGCTTGAAAATGTGATGACTCCTTCCTTGGCCCACGCTAAACCCTTCCACAATCTATCATGAAAATCAAGCAATGTTCCTTTCGTAATGCTTCTGACAAATAGACAAAACAAACCAACGCACAAACAAACCAAAAAACGCAACTGAAAACATACCATCCGATAATAGAAACTCTGCAAAACATTATCTCCAGACTGGAAATTGTCTTTTAAGCAGGTCTCTCCTGGCGCTCTGCCTTTATCGGTCGCTTGCCAAACCTTCTGTGAAACCACAAGTTCCTGTGAATTTGCAAGGACTGTTCGCTGGATGGAAAGTACACAAAACTGAGCTTTGTCGGCATCAGTCCAAAGCGCTGAAGAAGACGAGGGAACGTGAGGGGTCACGTGAGAGGCTAAGTGTTGTCTTTATAACAAAGAACCGTCTTATCCTTGAGGTTATCCTTGAGGAAAGTAGCCCGACAGCGATCGTCCACTTCACTACAAGAATCCCTCTTCACCCTCAGTAACGATGATGACTCGGCACAGGAAGCGTAATGGAGTTACTGCAGCAGGAGGTAAATGAAGAGGCCTCTTCGCTCCACAGGAACGGAACAGAGGAGAGTAACAACGGGCGGTCTGCAGTCTGCAAAGTCTCTGAATGTGCACGCGTGGACATAACTCACAAACAACCCTGTTCACAACAGGCCTCGTCTCAAAACCCTCACCTTCATAGACACATACAGCTTGCATCAGATGTCAACCAGCGTGAACCAGCCTTTGTGGCGTGGAAAGTCCAGGTGAGACTATCCAAGCGGTCGGCAGTGGGTGGGACCTCGCACAAAATGAAGGTGATTTTCTTATTAAAAGAAAACTCATTGAGGTAGTTAAGGAAAATTTGTCGGAGGATTAAAAACTCTTCCCCCGTGAAAGGAATCAGAATCTTTTCATTAGATAAGAGCCCCTCCCAGGTGGTTATGATGATAGCGATACGATGACACCCGCGACATCCTCCTCTATGATGTTGGAGGGGGGGAACCATGTGAATCGCATTTAGAGGCTACAAAGAAGAGAGTGGCGTACAGCTGAGGGCGGCGTAATGGAGAGCAAAAATAGGTCTACGCGTCATACAAATACTGTAGGAGCACTGCAGATGTAAAACACAAAGAATGCTTTTGAAAACACTACCAGAAAATCCAACTGATGTTTCTGTCCTACTAGAAACCCTCAAAATCTCACCTCATTTATAATCAAAGAGGAATTCATTTAAATGTACATGGTGGGTAACTCGTGGCTTCATATGTTTTGACTTGTATGCTCAAGTCAAAACCTCATTATTACAACCGGATCACATAAACACAGAGTGTGTAAACTGAGTTAGTCAGAAATACAATATGATGATGCTAAATGCACACAACAGTACTGTGTTGCCCCTGCAGAGATTCTTATAACAACACAAATGAAAATGATCAGTCACCTCATCATCCGGAGTCCCACACATTTACACCTCATCTCGCAGCCTCTTCACGTCTTCCACGTTTACACACAACACACCGGAGACGGAGAGAGGACGTGCGCCTTAGCGCAGCTCCTCGCGTTAAATCATGTTTTAATGCTTCCACTACCCGCGGCGTTTTCGCAGTCTGAGATGAAACTATGCTACGTGATCCTCTACGGGAAATCAAATAATTAAAAACAGCCAGAGCTTAGCTTTATTATACCGGCGGGGGGGGGGGGGGCGGCACGCGGCCTTTGTCGCTGCCGTGGTGTCACAAACCGTGCAAGAAAGCGTTCACAAAACAGGTGTGTAATTGAGATCAAATGAAGGAAGGGTTGAAAGACGGGTGTCATAAGATGAAACCCCCCCCCAATAAAATAGATGATTAAAAAGTTAAAGAAACAGGGAAAGCGGCTGTTCTCTTATTCTGCAGCGCTGTGACGTTTTGTGTCTCTCTTACAGGTCGACGGAGGCGCGGGATGAGGGTCAAATAGGTTGTCGCACTCCTAATTTACATCTTGTCACCGTGTTAAATGAGGCTGTTTGTAACTACGATGGTGACAACCTTAATGACCACACAACCTGTCCGCAGAGGAAGCCCTAAGCGACAGCCGAGGAGCACGTGCCACGAGTGGCGATGGTTAACCTTGTAGTTAGTTAGTGTGCTGAGAAATACACAAAACGATCAGTGTGTGAACAACATGTCTAGTGATTGTCAATCTGACCTGATAAATATAAAAGTTGCGACGCCCTGACGTAGCACACCTAGTCTTTTAAAAACGTTGCAGCAAAAAAAAAATACAAACATTCCATTTGAAAGCGCAAAGACAACAGCTTTGCATACAAAGTGGAAGACGGTCTGTACGATTCGCAACAAAGTCTGACGTCTGGGGATTTCTCCTGCTGTGCTGTGATCTATTAATACGGTTCACATCCTCCGTCTGTGATGCACCGAGGAGCGATGCGAGCTCCATGAGACCTCCAAGAGTTTAACTGCCGGGAAGTCATGACTGTTGAGCCACGAAACGAGAGTCTTATCAGTTTCAACACATGTGTGCGTCTGCCAGCTTGAGTCATGTGTTTTAGTAATTGTAATATTGACACGTTAATATGCTTTTTTTTCTCAATAAGACCTTTTATATGATTATTATGCATTCCTTAAATGGTGTCTTTAGATTTGTACTGGTAATTTACATTTACAAGTCTAATCATTCCAAATATTTTCTACAGGTCAGTCTACTACTAACACATCTGTTCATCCACATTATCACACCATTAAACATCGCTTTTTTGTACTTTGGTGAGTCTAAATATACAAGGCAATGGAGGAATGCTGATGCGTTTGGCTAAAGTATCATAGATGTACCCAGTTATCTCAGTAGTTCATGTATAATTGCTTGGCTTTGGCTCTGGAACGTGGTTTTAATATTGCGCTCATTAAATGGGAAAACACTCGGCACAGCACAAAGTCCACATATTTGAATAAATGATGCTCAGTGAGTGTAACTCCTTCTCACAGGGTAAACACGCACAAAATGAGATGGGTGTGTTGAAAACAAACAATAGAGCAGGTTACTGCTGCGTCACTGTTGTGAATATGAGCATTGGTGACAAAGGGGGATTTTATTCAACTGAGAGAAATCCTTAACACAGAGACTTCCCAAGAACCAAACTCCCTTTGGAAAAATGCACATTATTAGAATAACAAAACTTCAATCTGACATTTTTTTGGGGGGGATGAGACATTCAAAAATCTCAAATCCATAAGCATAGGCCTTTTACACTTTTGACAAAACAGTGTGTTGCTTGCTCGGTAGTGATGGTTTGAATACAGATCAGGCTTCATGACACCTGCATGACACACGGGTGAAGGAGAGGAAGCTCTGCCGCTGACCCGCCCACCCGGGCAACCATCTGTTCCAAAAACATTCCCTGCAAACCGCTGTTCCATTAAGAGCCGTGAGTTACTTCATCGTATGTACATATAGCCGTTCAGTCACAGTCAAATCCGTTTTCTCATGTGATCCCAAATCACACACACACACACCTTGGAATAAGGTATTATCATAACCATAAACATGATTTTGGGAGAGTAATTACATCGGTTGCTCATCAGTGAACTTCTGCCTCAACCATTTGAGGGGCGAAACACCAATGTACTGTTTTGGCTGTTTTTCGGACATCTGAGACAAAAAAAGAAACATTTTCACAAAGAGCGGACCGTCCGGAGTGCCGTTCAGCAGCTCCCACGCTGTGTGCGAAGGTGGAGCAATTCTAGCGTTGAGGGAGGGGGGGCGAAGGGGGGGGCTGTTCACTAAGTGGGAGGTTGCTGATTCAGTCGATCCGAGGACCAGTAAATGGAAGACCTCCATCTGGAACTCTCTTGCCTCCCTGCACAGCCACACAGGCAGCGTTCTTTAACACGCCGGTGAAGCTGCTCGGTGACCAAGCACAGAGTCCCGGTGACCCTAGGCCCCCCCGCCGGGGTGTGAGGCTGCATTACTGGGCTCAGTGAATTCCCCCCCGGGTAAACAGAGTAGCGGTTGACTTGTCCGTCTCTGTTTTGTGGTGAATATTCACTAGAAAATTTAACTTTTACTAGACATTTTGAAAAATATGTATCTAGTACTTGGAAGGCTGTGTCATAAAACAACTGCAACCACCCCAGACGTGCACGTGGCCCCTCGCTTTTGTCTCCCCACCCCCTCAGCCAACCTTTAATTAAATGTATGTCGTCACTGCTGATAGTGGATTTTCAATGTCAAATGGGTGGCTCAAAGGAAGGGCAGGCAGCCACTTGTGGGCGCGGGCAACCTGCAGATAAAAGAAAGGGAAATGGAATTCCCTCTGAATAAAAGACTTGGTGATATCAAATCTGATGTGAGTTATCTCTTCTTTCTAGTGCTCCGAATCCCTGGCAGCGGTGCTTTCTCACCGAGAGGACCCTCTGCCAAAACAAAACCTTGTTGTTAATGGCTATGCACATGGGTTTCTATTGAAAGGAACAATCAAGCTCTAATGAATCTTTCGGATGGGCTAAGGGCAACACGTTTTTAAGCAAAGACAAAATAGACAAACCGGAAACAGATGAGACGATTTAATTTGACCCAAAAATGAATCAATCTCTTATCTTATTAATGACTTTCATGTGAGATTCATTTCCTAGAATTTGTATTTGAATTGGCTTTTTTATAGCTTTGGCATTTCCATTGATCACAGAATTCTAAGTCCCGTCTCTTGACTCAAGCACGAACGTCTCACATGGAATCCAGTGCAATCAATTCCAACAGGTGCCACGTTCACAGCCAGCAGATATTGTACATGACAATGTGTTTTAATCACAAGATCATGAAAATGTGCCATGTGTCCGGAACCTGGCGGGTGCTGAAAAAGTCATCAACTTGACCATCGTTAGAGGATGATGTGAAAAGAAATTGACCAACAGTTCATTTCGGAAAGTCGGTTTACAGAGATGCATATTGATATGTATAGATTTGAGTAAACATTTAAATCCTAAATCATAATCATAGCGCACAGTGCACTCGAATTTGTGCATCAGGAGAAAATGAGCGCGCGCAATCTGGAGCTCTCCAGGGTCCTTAACTGGCTCGTCGGGTGGACGTTGCATGAATGCAAACAACTCTCTTAACATTAACAACAAGCACACGAGACTCACCTTCCACCTCATCCTCGGGCAGGATGACCGGGGTCCGGTAGGACAGGACATCTGGAATTGTGCAAAGTCCCTTGTACATGAACCTGGTGGTCACGGCGCGCACTGGCATTTCTGCGAGAGAGAACCAACTGTGTGGCGATCCTCATGTATCCGCAGCGCCCGGAGTATCGAGACCAACCCGTTGCCACTGTGTTTGTCTTGTCTTCTCCTCCTCCTCACCCCCCTCTCTCTCTCTCTCCCCCCCGCGCAAAGTTCTACCCTCGTTGTGTTTTAGGTTTTTTGTTTTCTTCCGATAAGAATGAAATGAAGCGCTGCACCGAGCAGCGGGATGCAGCGCGCACACCGCCGCAGGTTTCACTGTACAGCGGATTATGTGGAGATATTAGGGAACAGCATTTATTTAAAAAAATGAAAACTTTTACTTCCTAACCTGTTGACCGCTAAGATATTGATTAGCTCGATGGAGTCAAACAGATTATCAGTCTACTTTGACAAAAAAAACGTTAAGAAAAACAAAGACGATTCACAAATAGAAACAATTTCGACCTTTTTGCTGTTGTTGTTGTTGATATTTCCTACCGAAAATAATTGGCTTCACTTTTGTCCCCGTCGCGCTATTTCCTTAAAAGAAGAAGACAAAAAGCGGATCGATGAATTGAACAAGAGCCCCAGTTGTGACTGACCGACCGAGGTACAAAACACAAACGTGTATCATTTTCTCTTCCTAGAGAGCCGCTTAGAGGGATTCCAGAGTGACTCCCCCTTCTCATCTGATACATGTCCAATATGAGGCAGTGATCCCCTCTCCTCCCTCTCTCTCTCTCTCCCTCTCCCTCCCTCCCTCTATTTCCCTCCCTCTCTCCCTCACCCTCCCTCCCTGCCTCTCTCTCTCTCTCTCTCTCTCTCTCTCTCTCTCTCTCTCTCTCTCTCTCTCTCTCAAAGGACACGCTGCTGCTTCTGTCCATTGACCGTTTCCAAATTATAAAGGGATTAGCCTAATTTTTTTTTACACTCTGTGATGGATGTTAAAACACGTCAGAGTTGCAAAGTGTACAATATTGCGTGTTTAAAAGCTTCATCACAAAAATGTAATATTCAAGGAGTGAAGCTTTGAGCACTTTGCCTGCAGGCCGAATAGAAGGTGAGGGGACTAACAACTGAAAAATGTAATTAAGGCCGCAGGCAACTTGCGGAGTAGATTTCAGGCAGTCAGTAAACAACTCATTATCAAACATGAATTCAGTAAAAATTCAAATCTGAGCTATGGTTTTGAAAGGCCTGAGGCAACTGAATCAATAAGGCTAAATAAGTAGTTGAACATTTAGCTTATGGAAAAAAAGCCCAAGCCCACTGAAAGGGTTACAGGCAGCCCATTACTTATTTATCTACACCCCAAACACCCCTAGGACCCCCCCCCCCCCCCCATCCCTCCTCCCAAAAAATGACCATTGAGAATGCCTGCATCTTGCATGGCGATGCCCTGCGTCGGTATCTCTCCTCCCTGGTTCACGGCAGATACGTGTGCTGAGAAAGCTGCATGTGGTTCCACTGGTTGGTTTTTCAAGTGTTTATACGCTGACAGGTCTATTCCCGTTGGAATGAGAGGGGAGCGTCTGCTTCTGTTGCACCTGAGCCTCCTGCTGGCTCCGTATTCACCAGGCAACTCAAAACCAGAATAACAGGCTTTGTTCTCCCTCCGATCCTCCACAACATGATGGATGTGTGATGGCTCCGGCTCTAAGACTTTAATCATTTTCACACATTCTTTAGAGCTTTGGAAAAACATGACGATATCCAGTGAAAGCAAAATATGCTTTCAAATATCGGAGGCAAACACTGCATCTATGAAACATATTCAATGTATTCATCATTCATCTGATGATATACAAATCCTTTAAATTAAAAAAAGGACTACTTTTATTGATAAAACAACTGAAGCAAGATGCTTTATCATTCTCTGGAGAGGCTGGGAAAGCTTCTTTGAGCAGTTAAGTCCAACTCCTCACTCCCAAAGAGTGTTAGAGTTGCCTCTGCATTGCAGTTGACGGATGCAACCAAAAGTGAGTGAGAATAGATGCCTCCTGGGTTGAAAATGGAGCCAAAGTGGTCGTCCACCGGAGGGCTGACACTAGTTTGAGACCACCCTCGTCCTGACATCCATCTTTACGTCCTACCGTCATCAAATTAAGCCTCCAGGGAGGACTGACAGGCTGTCTACAGAGGCAACAGTCCGGAAAGCAGGCAGGTAAGAGACATCGAAGCCATAGCTGCCGACACCCAGGAAGTCGAGGCGGAAATATTCTACGCTGGATGGAGGAAAACCCTTCTGAATTCTTCTCTAACACCCGTTATTATTATTTATCGGAAGTGTACAGCGGTGACGGCGTTTTCTGTGACTGACCTCTGGCTGACCTCAGACTGCATTCACCCTTTTAATCCATAACCCAAAAATCCATACTGAATTAATTAAATATATTGTCAAGAATCTGACAGCTTTGTCTCAAACGCACAACAGAAAAACACAACACAACAAAAAGTTCCAGTTACTTGATATTCATACGTGGTTGCGTGTCTCCATTTTTTTGTCCAGGTGTTGATCTAGTCAGACGTCACTCTGCCTGGAATGAGGTTCATGTTTATCTTAAGGAAACACGGGTCAAATTCTAAATGAAGAAATTACAATAGCATTCTCCCTCCACGGAAAATGCAATCTACGAAACTAACAGTGCAGAAAGAAGTTCCAAAAATCTCATCAATGTCACCTACATCGAAACAAAACAAGATTAATTCAGGATTATTGATTGTTTTCGTAATTGAATAAAGAACCTCTGGTTTCAGAAACTTTGCGGTTGCACAACAGACACAATGCATGTGAGCAGAATCGTAACACTGAGAGTCAAATACCAATTGTTACTTTCTCTGGTTTTCCATTTGCATCTGAGCTCCCAGTCAGTAGAGAATTAAATCTAGTCAATTTTATGTATAAACCCCATTTCACAAATATTAATAAAGGAAGAATTCCGCAGGGAAATTTCACGGGGAGCAACAGATGCAAATGGAATTTGGGTGGGCAAAGAAAATTATAATAGAAAGAATTATTAGAATCTTTGTTTTTGCAATTCATACTTTTTAGTATGTGGTCGTTGTCTGATGCAAACAGGTTAAGAAAAATACACTGATTAAGATTTAAAATACTCCAAATGTTCTGAACCTAAAGAAACATTAGATTATGTGAATTGTCTTACCGGATGAGTTCCCCCCAGCTAAATTTAACACACCATTGTGGTGAAATAACTGAAACAATGTAAGTATGTCAGTATCCTCCGAAAGATGGAGCATAAACAACGTGTCGGGTTCAGAGGAGACTTTGACACAAAAAATGTGTGTTTCTTGCGTCTCCGCCGTGGAGCAGGCTCTTAAGATGTCAGCATTGTTGATCCATTTCTTTCTGGAATGACGTGTTCTTTTTTTTACACTAAATTCCTCTTGAGGTCATCTTCTTCCACTTATCTTCTTTAACTCTTCTTTAACTATCCTTCAAAACCCGTTCGTTACGATATTTATCATTCTGCTATACCGCTGAACTCTTTTTTTTCCCGCTCTCACCATTGTGAGCTGCGGGTGTAATTGGCAATTAGGCGTCGGGGGCGCGACATTATCCGCATCGCCCTGGCGATTCATGAATATTTCATGGCAAAGTGCGTTAATTCACATTCACACAGGAGCACCTGCGCCGGCCCGGTCGACTCGCCTGACACCGCTCTGTCCTCGGTCCGGGTGCGACTGCACCACGCCTCCCGTTGAGACGTGACTGGTTTGAGGGCTGAAAAAATCGAGGTCAATTAAAATGTGATGAGGAAAGTGCAGAGTTTGGATGCATTATTCATTTCGTTCGATGCCGACGCCGTCCAGCCGAGCTGCAAGACGTCGGGGGGCCGGAGGTCTGGAGCATCTGCTCGGGAACCGAATGCATTGTTGGTTTTTGGAGAGCCGACGACCAGACACTTTGGGCATTGTCTGCAGCTTGTGTTACTGTTTCTTTCCCCTTCACATCTGTGACAATGGATGGTGATGGATTTCCTAAATTACCTGTTGCTGTGGCAGATGGCATGCTCTGCCATCAACGGCGATGGTGAGAATTCCCTGGCATCCTGCTGAAATATTCATCATGAATCTTCATGACCAATATCAATGTAATTCATTTGTTCTTGCACCCTGAGGGCCAAATCAGGGCCAAAAGAGCACCCAGAAGCGCTTATTGAATTTTTACATCATCGCGTATTCAAGTGATGTATTAAAATATAACGAGGACATCGATTGCTGAACCACTCTGAATATGTGGGGCCGCACGTGGCTCGACTGAGGGTGATACAAACTCTCTCTCTCCCTCCCCACTTCTGGTGCTAACAGCATGTTGAGAAGCGGATTAGAGCAGGCGGGCAAAGAGATGAATGATACGACCTGACAAAACCACAACAGATCTCCACAAACGTGATTGTGTCCTCCAGTCACAATGGATCATCAGCTCTTCTCTAACTGCGTCTGCTGGTCGTTAGATGCTGAGCGTGAGAGCGAACCAAGGCAGCAGTTGGTCTGAAAAGCAATTAAAGGACACCAAAATATGATGTCAAACTGAGAGGAATTACAGAGTCGGTTATTTGGGGGTATATAATTACTCGGGAATTAAAGAAGCGACCATTTTCTCATCTGCACAGAGTTTGGTTCATTTAAAAAATGAGGTATGAGCATTTCGAGTAGAGGATGTTGGAGGGTTCGTCATGTAAATAAACAAGGTCACACCCGGTGGACTGCATTCTGACATTGTTGTGTGTGTGTTTCCATCCAATCGGCATGATGCATTAGATCAGTTTTAAAGGCGAGCGGAAATGAGTAAGTCACAAAGCGCGGTTCAGACAAACCACACATCGGCCGACACTAGTGTGTCCTCAAGAGGACAGAGTGTCGATGCTGCTTCTAGATTTCTATCCTAAGCCCGTCCGTTTAATCCCACAATCAGGAGAACATGTCTGCTGCCACCCGAGCAGACACAACAGCATCGTGACAGGTGGAAAACCACTTCAAGGGCCTCTTCATCAGATAGGAGAATCCAGCTTTTTCCTGCTGCTTTATTATTTTAGTATTTGCTTTTTGCACTTTCCCAAATCATGTGCATTCTGTTTAGTATTCGCTGTATACGTGGGACAGATACAGGGTTCACTCACACACGTCTTGGTATAAAAACTCACTCTACTCTTATTGTGGGCCTCTGCTGAAGCAAAAAGTACGTGTTCCACACAACAAATCATTGCACAGATTATTCCATCAATATACCGAACATTTTACCACGAGGACTAAAACGATTAGACTTTGAGTGGCTGAACATGAAGTCCATCTTCATAAACCGCTGCATCAAGCAATGAGATATTAACAGCAGTTAATGACCTTCACCGAGAGAGAACATTAAGTGCCCATTCATCACAGACCACGAACACATATATATATACGAAGCTCTGCGGCTTTCACTCACCATGAATAAATAAACACGTGAATTCTCCCGATAGATTAATTGTGCTGCAGTCTAATCCCAAGATGAAATGTCATAAAACGCATCGCTTCCAGGAAAAGTTTTACTCAAACTATAAGTGCAAATAAGGCATGAATTACATAAATCTAATTATCTCTGGAGGTGTAGATAAAGCGTTGCAATAACCACATATTCACAACGAGTTGTTTACCCAATTCTTTGTATATAGTGTGTATGTCCCCATTAGGTGTGATACTTG